ATGATTTCCGAGACCCACTAATTCCCAGCATTTCGAGGAGCTAAGTGGCTGTTGACAGGTGGACCAAAACTAGCGTGCGACACTCATCCACATGGGACAATGTCTAAAATTAGCAAACAAATGGAATTCAAACAAAAACACACACGTAAATAAAAGCAATTTGAAGAAACGAAACCAGTTTCGGTTCGATTGAGGGCACACTCGAGTCTCGGAGTCGTGTTTCGTTCTCGGGGCTCCAATTAGTTTTCCATTTTGCTGCCCTGGAGCATTTTGTGAGGCTAATCAGGGACTGACTTTCGACGACTCCTCGACGCGACGTAAATTTCATTTATTCCATTTGTCTTCATTGCTCGGGGCGACGACAACACCTATATAGCAAGCGACAACAGACATCGATAAATCAGGGTCAGGAATCGAAGACAGCAGCCGCAGGAGCTGCTGAATTTGTCCTCCAAGGACCCCGCATTTTTGTTTTTGCTTTTCGATGCTTGAAATACCCGATAATTGATTTTACAACAGCCGCACACCACACTCATGCAGACAGAACAAAAGCATCCTTAGGTATTTTTCGGGAACCGCGGCAGCTTAAGCGAGTTTAAAGGCAGGTATATGTATATTCGGCCCGTCTAAAATTAAACGAAAAGCGCGAAGCCGAGTAAACAGGGATCAAGTAGATTGATATTTCCTGAAAATAAAATTTTGAGGGTAGGTAACGGTGGCAACTGAGAGAGGGTAAGAGAATAAGGTTAGAGCTCACATGGAGAGAACAGCTACCTAACCGACCCTCTATATAGGATGTATTTTGAAACACACTTGCGAGATAAATAATAGGACAAGAGTTTTTAAATCTTATTCACAGACATCAAATTTAATAAGTTGTTTTTAATTAATCTATCAAGCTTATTATGTTACATAAATGAAGTGATCAATTATATTTATTTATCTTATCTGGGAGATAAATACTAGTCCAGCAGGCGGCAGCTTGTTTTGTATTGTATATTTTATATCTTATCAACAAACGCAGATAATTGTGTTTAAGTAAAATTGTATTAAATTCTTGAATTAGATGATATATCTTTGCTTCAGTTGTTAATTTGAATACAATTGGAAGATTAAAATATAATTTTATTTGCGGTTCTATTTTTCTGACCTGAACTGTGCGCTGAGAGATCGTAAACGAAAGATAAATAAGAACAGGGAGAGCCTGTTATCCAGAGAGCCTGTGAGCTGTTTATTTGCATCTGAATCACGACCCGAAACTGCTCTCAGTTTAGGTTTGAACCACGCGACGCGAACACCGGAAAATCCTGGCATAAAAACCCAAGCGACTGAAATACGGAAAAACTAGCCACTCGAAGGACATGCCTCCCCGAAGTAACTAATTCAGTGAAAATATCATAATAAACAAGAGATAAACGGCAGAACGTACAGGAAAGGGAGAGTACAAAACTTAACGAATGTCCGATTAAAAATCCACTTTAATAGGTATTAAAAAACACAATAAAACTGCATTTACTTGAAATTTAAATTTTTAAAATCGTTTAATTTGGGGGGTTAAGGGGGGACCATTTGAAACAAACTTCGCTGCGTAGGAACTCCTAGAATCTGCATCAAACAATCTTTTTTTTTTCCGAGACTCACGTTCATACGGACAGACAGACGGACAGAAGACGACAGACGGACAGACGGACAGACGGACAGACAGACGGACAGACGGACAGGCAGATCGATTTTAATTATTTATTTAAAAAAAAAAAAAAAAATTTAAAATATTTAAAAAAATTTTTTTTAATTTTTTTATACTTTTGCACGAAAACCAAAAATACAAGAAAAAAATAAAGTGAACCAGTTTCCGTGACCAATGGAGCGTCGCAAGGCTCTTGGTTCGTATGCCAAGCTGAAGGATCAGCAGAAGGTGGCGGCTGCAGTAGCGGCAGATATATTAACGCCGCAGAAGGACAATGAGAGCAGTGACTCCCTGCCCGCTTTGCGCCGCTCTCACTCCGTCCGCTCCTCCCTCCGCCGGTTAAAAAACAAGCTGCACAGTCCCGCCCTGCCACTGCAGTCTCCGTTTAAGCTGCGCACCCAGCTGCACATGCGAAGTCGAATTTCGCGAGGATCGGCCACTTTGGACAAGAGCAAGGCGGCCAAGGCCCTGCGCATGCTGGGGGATCTGGATGCAGTAGCTGTTCTGACCACCAAGGTGAAGGGAAAAAACGAATTTGTCCCACTGAAAAGGGAAATGAACTCCGATTCCTGTGACCACGGGGAACTGGGCATTGAGCGCCTGATGTCCACATTGCCCGTGGGTGCCACGCTGCCTCGGAAGGCTTGCAAGCTCCTCCAAATCCCCGAGAGCTACTGCCGGCAGAGGGAACGGGCTCCGAAGGCCACACTCGACTCCGACCTGGAAAAGACTTTGAGTGGCGAGGAATCCAGTTCTGTGCTGGCGGATATTACTCTACATGCCCAGCAGGGCATCTATGGAACGACGCGCATGCGCACGGCTACAATTCGGAAGCCGATGCCCTACTTGAACAGCCGTAGGTGTCCTTCAAACCCTTTCTTTAAGTCTTTGAAAGAACTCAAAAGTGTGATTGCTAACTTTCGAAAGTGTATTGTGAATTTGAGATAGTCGTGATTGGAAATATTATCATTTGATAAAAAATCAAAGCTAATGGCCTAAGTAAGCTTAAATACTTTTGTGAAAAAAAAGAAATCTGTGTCTACTTTCAAAACAAAGGAGAATTTCTTGTTAAACAAATCGAAACCTTAAAGATTTTATTATATGAGCACGCCGTTCTACCTGAAATTTTGTTGGTGCCCCTTAAGTCCTTAAAAAAAATGGAAATGGTTATAAAGAAGTTATTTCCTATTTCACAGTGGAATCGTTGAATAAAAGATCTTTTTGAACTGTTCCAAAGACAAAAAAGATTTTCTCATGGTGCATTTCCCTTTAACCAATAAAACAGTGATTTGGTGCCAACTTATAAGGCGACTGAAAAAGTGATTCAGTATAAGTTGATGTTTCCCCCAGTTATGTTTTGATGTCTTTGTTTGTGTTTTGCCAAACTCTTTTATTGTGTATCCATCAAGTTTGATTAGGGATTTTTACTGCCTTGTAAGTAGGTCATTGAACTATTCGAAATGGTGTGTGTCACACACGAAAGGGAAGACAGATATCCCCGCGCTTTATTATTACATCACAAAGCGGTGTTTCTTAGTATCTAGTTTGGATTTGGTTTGCCATGCATTCCATTTGTTTTCAACCATTGGGCAAACCCGTAAATCGAGTGGGAGATTCGAGATGAGGATGAATATTCAATTTAGGAATGTGCATAAATGCTTTGATATATATGTAGCAGGCTGCACACATGTGAAGACAGTATAACAGGCTTAATCCATGGCCAAATCGGGTCGTTAATTTTGTGTGCTTTTGCAGATGCTACCACGGTGATAGCACCAAAGTCCCCAATCCGCCGCAGAAGCTCCAAATGAGCAGCTGTCTGCGTTCACCGGCGGTCTTCGTCCGCCAGAAATCGTTTCACACGCTCAATGAGCTGACCAGGTTCTTTCAATTGAAAGTGTCCCCACATCGGGCCACCAACACCTCCTCTTCCTCATCATCATCATCGCCAGCGGCGCAACAGCAACGTCGCCACAGCCACTATGCTATTGATGGTAAGAGATCGGTAGCTCTCTGCCCTTCACCCGTATATTAGATAAGAAAAGCCCCCATAAGGGGTAATTAAAAAACAGAGCCAAACCATATCATCATAAATGCTCGCTCACACAACCCATATATTTGCTCTATTGCAACGAATTAAAGCAATTTAATGAAAATTGGTGGGTGGCTGTCTTCGCTGACTGGGTGGGTTGGTTCGTTAATTCGGGTCCAGGTGGGTTGGCTGCTTCATGGAGGCTTCACTTAACACACTCCACTCACGCTCTAAAACACACTCAAACAAACAACACACACGGCTTGCATCCACAACGGTTTGCGCATAATTAATTTAATTGGCTTTGGTCATCGGCGACGGCATCCCAATTGCATAGAATAATAGCGGCGATCAATAGGAGAAAACGGCATTTATGTTTAATATTTAATTAATCGCAAGCAGCAACGACAATTATTGCAATTAAATTACATTTCCACTCACATACAAAACGTGGTCCTACTGGTCATTTGCCATTGTAAATACTTGCACACACATCTGTGTTTAATTTCTATTTATCCTTTATTTGATTTTCATTTTTGCATTTAATTTGATTTTCTTTATTTATTTTTATTCAATACAAATCACACGCTCCACAGACAACATATTGCCGCAAGATAAACGTGACAGTGACATCGATAGTGTCAGGCTGCGGGAAAAGGTGGCCAATCCGAGTGCCAGCAATAATAACCAGGACAACTACCCCACCTACTATCCGGCTCCATTGCTGTCCACCAGTCGCTGGTCGGAGCAACTGACGCAGCATGCAACGGTAGCCAAGATACGCACAGCCATCTCCTGCTACTCCCAGGATCTCAAGGAAATGGAATTCCTTCTGCCCCATTCACGATCCGAGGCGCAATCCAATTCCCAATCCCAGTTGTGCATCTCGCGGCACTCGCAGCCCAAAAATGCCAAGCTACGGGATGATCACGACGAGACGGGCTCCTCTGAGTTGGACTCACCGCCTTTGGGTGATGAGAATGCCTCGGCGAATGGCCAACTTTCTGTGCACCGGCAGCCGGTACAGCTGCGCACTAAAATCCCGGGAAATACCCCACATCCGCGGGCCAGCAAAATGTCTAAGAAACAGCTTAAGTTGGCACAAGCCCAGCTGGACAAGCTGACGCAGAGCAATCTGCATTTGCATGGTATGGCTCATAAAACAATTCCAGATATTTGGCACGCATCGCCACCGCTACTAATTTTTGAAAGCTACTTATTTAGACTTTAATGGGGTTTCCTTAAAATACTAATTCGGTACTCTACTTTATTCATTCACAGCACTGTTCTCAGCGGTGGAGCATGGTCATCTGGAGAAGGCGCGCACTATTCTAGAGTCAACCGACGTGGATGTGAATAGGTGAGTTTTAATCCTAGTTGATTAATGTTGATATATTTTAAATCTTAAACTTGATCCCAATAATTTTTCACAGCATTAACAACGATGGACTTTCTGCCCTGGACTTGGCCGTTCTAAGCAATAATCGCTCCATGACCAGGATGCTGCTCCAGCATGGCGCTGTTGAGGGCTCTCAATGTAAGTGGATCTGGGCTGGTTGTCTTGCGACTGATCTTTTTAACGCTCAATCTCAATCTCGATTGCAGTTTCCGTGGACACCATTGGCACCAAGCTTAACGGCTTGCTCAAGGACGCCGAGTCGCGGATTCACGATCTGAGCGGACCGGAGGGTCTGTGCGCCCCCATGTTCGCTTCGCGTCCATCCATCTCAAGCATCATAATTGGTGAGTGGTCATCCAGCCACATTGAGAGCGCACTTAATCAGCATTTTAATATATTCTACGCAGGAAATTCAAGCGCCTCGGTGACCGGCTGCACGGGCAGCGAGGTAGAGAAACAGATCGGCATTTGGGAACGACGGGTAAAGGGACTGCGTCGTTTGCAACTTGGGTGGGATCAGGCCAGACCACCAGATGCACCCGCTTCCGTAGTGGTTGATGTCACTGGCGACAATTCCATCAGCGTCCAAATCCTAGAGCCCTTTGAGGGGGCTATCGGCACAAAATTCAAAGGTAAACTGCAGGTCTTGTAATTGGGGAGAAATTGGGGAAATTTTGTATAAATGTCTTAATCTCCTTCTATAGATTTCTTAATTCCGATTTAAGAAATCATTTCTAGCTTCAGTTTCCAAGTATTGTCTTTTGTTTCTAGTTATAATACTGAGTTTAAATCTTTGCAGTTCAATGGTCAACCCGCGCGGATTTTAACAACATTGTGGGTGAAAGTGAGCTGCTGGAATGGATTAGCTTCCATGGCACCATGGGCGCCCAATGCCACATATCGGGTCTCACCCAGGGTCGTCGCTATTTCCTGCGTGCCGCCTGCGGCAATGTCAAGGGATGGGGTGCCTTTAGGACTTCGGTGCCGGCCAGTGTGGTGCCCTCAAGTGAGTTAAATTATAATTTGAATTACCACAATTTTACTTAATGTTCTTTAACAGCTTGGCGTGATTTGGAAAATCGGGAGGATCGATTTGTGGGCCGCCACCGTATCCTAGACAATCTGTTTACCGCCGTGCGTCTGGCTAGGCCCGCCGATGTCTCTGAGCTGACCTTGGATCCAGCGAATGCCCAGCGGCGCAATCCCAAAAAGAAGACAACCATCAAACAGCTATTCTCGGTTACCTCAAAATTCCAAAAAACTTTAAGGCGGTGAGTAATGAGAAGGCTGCCAAACTTTTCAACATCTTGCTTATTTATTTACATATTTCTTAAAACAGCGGCATATACTTCTCTTGCATTATTCACTGCGATGATAAAGTATTGGTCACCAGCGAGGACTTTCCGCCGGTCATCGAGGTGGACGAATCCTATCCTAGTGCCCTGCACATGGACTACTACTGGCTGATGAAGGTGGCCTGCACTTGGGAAGATGTAAAGTCACTGCGATCTGATATGGAGCGCAATCTCACCTCCGCCGTACAGTTTCGCACCAAGCTTCTTTCGGCCGTCTGCCAAATGCAATCAGCACTGGGCATCACGGATTTAGGACAGTTGTACTATAAGCCTCTGAAAGATGCCCAAGGCACTGTGGTGCTGACCTGTGTGCAGTCCGTGAAGAGCCAGAAGGCCGTCTCCATCCTGAATTCGCGATGGCTACCAGTCAGCAAGCTGCAAAAAAAATTGGGTGCTCTGCACGAGGATTACACCATCAACGAGCTGCTCATCTCTTCGATTGGGGATCAATTGCACTACCAACAGGCGGCACTGCAGCGTTTGGAGCCGGGCCTCTATCTCGGCTACCTGAAGATGCAGTGCTCCATGGACCAGATCCAGGTGGTAGTCCCAGTAAAAACGCCGAATGTTCTGCCCCACTGCAAGGTTCGCGAAAATAGTCACATTACTGCCGAGGAGTGGCAAGTGCTTCACCGATGTAGTAGCGATCCTCTTCGGCTACCGCTGGACTTCAGCTCTCATGGAGGGGAGTCAGCTTCCGGAGGAGCACCGACCACGGAGGTTCAGCGCCTTTTTCTGTACGATCTCACCAATGCAATGCACAAGTTGTTTGCTAGTATGAACATCAAAGGGGCGGATGCAACCACCCACCGTCTGTACGACGTGGAGGTGATCGAGCATAGTCCGGATATCAGTTTTCTAGTGGTCTGTCCATCCGCTGAGTCTTCTTGTGCAGTGCCCGGCCAGTCGGAGTTGCTGCTACAGAGAGACGATTTGGCCAGCTTAAGTATCCAGGCCTTTGAAATGATTCACCTGCGAACCTATCAGCCAGCCATTATACAAAAGTATGCCCGCCTATCCTGCATCCTTGAATTGGATACTGCACTGGCCACACATTCACTGCGCGAGGCCTTCTCCAGCAGCGAGCTTCAAGCGGCCAAGGAGCGTTTGGCCACGTTGCAGGAGCTGAGTGCTAGCCTAACGATCGTGTGGAAGAGCGTGCGCTGGCTAATGGACGTGGTGGCATATGCCCGAAATAAAAATGCCCAGCCCTCGCTGGCGATGCGCGAAATCCTGGACTTTGCCCAGCAGCGACATGATGAATCAGTAACGAGTTCGACTTCGGGTTCCGCCAGTAAGCAGTTACTACAGTTGCCCATCCGCGAGAGTAAGTTCTCCAAGACGGGCCAGGGAAGAGGCAGTTGGCCAGGTCCAGGAACCAGCGAAGATCCGGCGCAGGGCAAGTCGGAGCACTCCAAGTCGGAGCAGAATCTAGAATTCAGTGCTATTACGCCAGTGGAACCTGCAGCCAAACAAGTTCATACACAGCAGCAATCCCAGCAGCAAATACAACAGCATCAACAACTTCAGCAACAGCAACAACAACTGTTACAAGTTTCCACGACCAGCGAATATGCCGGCTCCATTTGCTCGGAAGTATCCTTTAGAAAGAACAGTGGTGACTCCATGAGCTCCACCTACACGTCCCGTAGTTTCTACTCCGCTGTGGATTCAGCCTCGGATGGAAATAGCACGAACAGCGTGTTTGCCATCCCGCCTTCGCGTTCCGATGATACCCTGGCAGATGCACTGCGTCACTCTCAGGCGTTGGCTGCCCAACGCAAGCGAACCAGCTCAAATATCGGATCCCATACCAATCCCCTAATCACTGTGCACAGCTCTAGTTCGGCTCCATATCTGGCTGGGTCCAGTGCTTCCCTAAGAAGCGGAAATGGAGCATTCGCCACAGATTTGGAACACAAACCGCTTAAACCAGCAGCAAAAGCAGCCTCTAGCGCCAACCTACGCGAGGGTGGACCCTATTTAAAGAGCACTCTAGCTGAGCTACGAGCTGTGGGTGGCGAGGAGCCGGTGGCCAGTACCTCAAAGGCTTCATCTATGAAAAGCTTGTCGCGGCAGAGCAGCGAGGAGGACTCCGCCAGCTGTTCCAGTCTCAATGTAGAACAATCGCCGGGGATTATTCAAGTATATACCGCCTACAATACGGGATTGGCCAGTGGAACCAGCCTGAAGCTGCATGTGACACCCAAGACGACCGCGCGGGAAGTGATCAACCTAGTGGTGAAGCAACTGAACATGGCAGTGGTGCTCAAGGGAAACAACGGGCCCATCTACGGCCCTGAAACGCTGGAGGACTTCTGCTTGGTGGCTGTGATTGGAGCAAGGGAGCGTTGTCTGCGAGATGACTTCAAGCCGCTGCAATTGCAGAATACCTGGAAAAAGGGGCGTTTGTACGTGCGGAAAAAGCTCGAGCTACTCGCGGCCATCGAACATTCTAACCGAAAATCGCATTTGATCTGAACCATCTGATTCAAATCTTACAAGAAATGGTGAATAGTCGAGGGCGCGAAGCACTTATAGTTATAGTCCGGGTGACAAAGAGATATCTAGAGATTTAAAAACTTAAGATTTAGGTGCCTGAGAGGAGGCAAAGACACTTTATATTTTGGCTTTTTAAATCTTCAGAGATTACTCTTCCATCTTCCGTTCCACGTCTTGTAAATTTTGTTGTGTTTCGGTTTTAGGGTTCCCCAAATCACAATTCCCAATCACTCCCACCCTTTTTCAGGGTAATGATCGTTGACCAATTCCCGAATTAGACTGAATTACTTATGTATGCTGCAATGGCAAACTGATGAAATTGTATTTAAAATGGTATTATATTTTGAGTAGTTATACATTCAACGTTACCCGAAAAAAAAACACACGAATCGGACAAAACAAAAACAGATTGTTGTTAGTTGTTCTAAATTAAATAAGGTTACGACCATACATAAGTAGTATGTATATTATATAAATATTATGCGTGCATCAATGTATTTTATTGTATGTATTTTGTAGTTTAGTAAACAAATATTTTGATTGTATTTTTGCGGCATTTTTTAGGGGCACATTTTTTGATCTAAATGTTAAATCGGTAAATACGGAACACAAAACCAAACTAAATCGATGGCAAAACTTAAAGAACACGATGCCAATATGCATTTTAAGTGTCACTCTTGGTGTCTTTGATGTGTGTGTGTTCTTGAACATTGCAATTCCTTTGGATTAAAAAAATACTTTAGCTGTAATCAATTGTTTAGTATGTAAAGAAAATCATCACTCAAAAAATGATAACGAAAAAGGAAAATATTTTTTAAAAATATATTGGTACAGCTGCATGTTGAAAAAAAATAATAGGCAACTCCAAATTGAAATTTAAATATTTGTATTTATAAAATGTAGCAATGAGAATTTCAAGTCCGGACCCTATCTACTCCACTCAGCAATTGGCTCGACGAGCTTCTTACATACTTGATAATCCTATGCCCCATTTCCCCAATCTACTCAACTGTTGGCCCACTTAGAACCCATACTATTAACGTGGCTATCTCAATGTGCAAAGCCGTATGTGTCTATAAATAACTATTCTACTCTGTACTCTCTCAATAGGAAATACCATAAGTAAATTAGAGGAAATTCTTCAAATACACTTGTTTGTTGTGAACCGGTAGACAAAGAAACAGTTTCATTGTCAAGCTCATGTCCCAAATTAATTTATTTCCATCGGAAATCAATATAGATTGGAGTCGCTGTTCGTGAAAAAAGTATACATTTTAAATCTTATGAGAAACTAGACGAGAACACTTACTTTAAAAGAATGTGCAACACAGAGTCCATAACAGAGATATCGAACTATTTAAGATATCTAAGACCAACAAACGATGTTTGTACGTTTTCTCTTGTTTTTGAGATGGCGAAAAAGGTGATTTTGATACATTTTTTACTCTATGGTTTACCAGTCCTAGGGCTCAAAGAACAGCAACGAACGTAGCTTTATTTTGACCACAGAAATTATACCCCCTTTGCGTTCACAGCCCGGTTTCAGATTTGTATTACCGCCACCCAATTGCCTCGATTCGAATGGTACCCAGATCAGAATGGTCGAACGAACAACGAATGTAAACAAGTTCCAAACTGAGTGGCCAGTTTCAGTTTGTTAATTCGGAATGCCAATTAAACGATTTCAATTGTCAGACACAGCGTCCGTCCCCAGCAAAAGAGCGTTTGGTTTTTTGGAATGGAGCGAAATTATACAGAGTATTATTTTGAATTGCGATCCAGTGAGATTAGTTTTTACGATGCAATCTAATTGTAGCTATAGCTAATTGTTAATGGCCTACAAAAATCTAAAATGTAAATGTAACCAAAAGCATTGAACGATAAATGTTGTAGTCTCTTCGCATATGAACATGAAAAACACATCAAAGCAGACATTTCCTGTAATTAGATTATATAGAAGATGAAACTTATCAAGTGTAACTCAGCCCAATGTCAGTACATTCATTATCGACTACCTGTGTACACTTTTGGTGTGTTAATGGCCTAAAAATATACAATACACTCCAATTAAGGAGCTAAAAAGAGGACAGCTAGCGTTGGTAAGGATAATGTGAGTACGAAGCATTCAAAGAATATTCAATTAACTTAATAAAGACTCAACAATTGTTATGGTGTAATTCCAAAGGCATGATTTGTATATGGGGGTGCTTAGAAAATTCTGGAATTTAGATAAATTAATTATATACAATGAAAAGTGCAAAATCATTCGGGGTAAGTCAGCCGGAACAAAATGATGGATATCATTTTATACTGGAAGTGGTTTATATTCGCCTGGTTACGTATACGCCCTGGATAGTGCTCGGCTTATCAAGCGACACTGCACTTGGATGCTATTTTGTCTTACAAAATAGTAAAAACAAAATAGCTAATAATGATAACGAGCTGATTACGCCCGCTATAACATATACCTATAACATTTCACCAGTTGCCAAGATAATGTCTATAGGTTTGATTGTATTCCAGAGGCTTCTTTTCAATGTTTAGGCAACATGTTGCTAGTGTTTATTTTGGAGGCCGATGCGTCATCTCTATGACCTGCATGAATAGATACTCATTTAGTGACGAAACGAGCCCGGAGCTGTAAAGATCGGCAAACAAGTTATATTGAGTCAGCTCCAGCTAGCTCTGTCTCTTTTGGGGATTTTGGAAACAAATCATTCTCGTGAGAGAAACAGCGCGATAAGTGCTCTGAGTGTTTGTATTTCCCTTGCCACAACACTCCTATCTAATTATATGAGTTATCAAGTACTTTTATTACGATACACACTGGCACATGGTCCTTGAACTTTGTCCCGAAATTACACGTTCCGTTTGGTACCCACTATTCTGGCCATGCTCATTAATAAGCCATTCGTCCACAAACTTCCTCCACTTGTCAATTAAATGCCCCACTTTAAGGCCGTGCCGCCTATTTTCCCACCACCCCAATCTTAAATTTTGACTCACTTGACTCGTAAAAGGCCGCTGTAAATATTCCCCACTGATTAGTTTGTTTCCTCCGGTCAGACTCCACAGTTTTTGGTTAATATTCTCATTTATTATTGTGAGATTTATTGCCAGTAGTGGTTGCACCTTGCCAACGCTGATACCATCTAAATCAGCAGTTATATATTTAATATATTTGTCGCTATATACAATATTCTAATCAACGGGAATTTATTTTTGTGGTATCGACGGACGCACGACGGGTCAGCCACGTGATCTGGTTGGGTCGTCGGGCGAGACGCGTCTGCCTTTAATTAGATTTGAGTCCACCAGAAGCGCAGAGACCTAGGCAGCGATTAGCGGGGCAAATTACAAGCCACTACAAGGAAATGGTAAAGAGCACTTGGAGCATATAAATTACACCAGCTGGACGTATACTTGATTTGTAACCAGGGGCATTCAAACCGGTTGTGGTTCAATTCGCTGAGCCCGGGCAGCCAGAAGCAATAGACACACAACACAGCCAAATGCCGTTTTTGAAACGCTTTATGTTCAGAATAAGTATTGAAAAATCGTTTACAGTAAAATCAATCGATCGGCTTCGAATCCTCAATCGGGGTTTTGTATAACAAACAATAAGTACACCACTATACACGAGCATACATACAAACATTAAAACTATAGCCTAGCATCTGGATGTGGGGTACTAAATCTAATCGCTGGACCGCGAGGCGCCCACGATGTATCCCTTGGCGGTGAGGACGCCTCGGCAGCGGACATGCACTTGGTAGCGCAGTGACCAGTCGATTGAGTAGCCCGGCGCAAGTGCTTCGAACTGCTCCTCGGGCAGCAGAAGCTCGGGATCGCTGTGCGTATTCAGTTGGATGTCGTGGGTGGTGCAGAACTCCTGCAGTTCAGGTGGCACAACGCAGCAGGTAGACAGATTGACCTGGGCAATGGTGGGTGCCACCTGGGCGCTTTTGTGCAGCTCCTCCAGTGCCGCTGCATCCAGATCGGCAATGCCTAGCTGGGTAATCTGCTGCTTGAGAGCGTACTGCTCCAAAGTTTGGTAGAGTTCCTTAAGCTCCGACACTCCTTCGTCGCCGTTCCGCAGGCTCCAGTAACTGGACTTGCTGGCAGTGATGCCCTCGGAGCAGGGGGACTTGGCCAATCCTCCTGTTGTGGCTACCGGCGTTACGCTGGCAACCGCATTCGGGTGGTATGCCAGCACCACATTGTCCACGTGAGTCACACTGAGTATGTTGAGCAGCGCCTCCACTGCCTGATTTACGCACTCCGTGGAAGGGCGATTGAGGAATATCTTAGCGCCGATGCTAATCTCATTCCGGCCGTTCTCCGTCAACCTGGTGGTCAGCTCCTGGGTGGCTCGCTGAACCCTGCCGTGCAGCTCGTCGATCTCCTTTTCCACCACCACGCGCTCCTCACTGGGATCGCTGTGGAGCGTTATCTTAAGGCCGTCGAACAGCTCCTCGTTGGATTTGCGCTGACCCAGCTCTGTGGTGATTATGTTTCCCGTGCTAATCACCACGTTCTGGTACTTCTTCGTTATGGTCGGAATCATGATGACGGGGTTTTCCTTTTTTGGTATTTACTTAGCTCTGCGGCTGCCAGTACAAGTGCAGCCCTCTCAGGTGGGTGAAACGTTCTGTTTCCGAGAACCGAGCGCCTGGCCACTTAAATACACTTTGCACCGAAATGTGGTGAAAGAGAGTCAGTGGTGTGCGATAGTCGATAAGCCTGTCGAAACCTCATGCCGATAAGTCGGAAGGGATGCAAAAAGTATAATGGAATTTAATAAAACTTAAAATAAAAAAATATATACGCAAAGAAAATTCATTTAAAGTTAGTGTTAAAAATATCTTAAGTAATCTTTGCAGATTTTGATAGATTTGTTGCTAAAAAAAACTTTCAAATATTTATTCCTTAACAATTATTATAGAATGCCGAATTTTTCATTTTCGACACACGATAAGATTTGTACTAGACTCTTTTTATAGAGAATAAAGTATTCCTCTTAATTTTTAATTAAATGTCATAGTTTTATTTATTATATTTTAGTTATAAGATCGCAATATATTATATTTCTTTAAATTAGAGTACTGTTATTTTTTATTATACAAAATACAGGGATAAGCCTATATTTAAATAAGCCAAGAATAATATTTTTATAAAAACCATAGTAAATCCAAAAACAATCAAATCAGATTTAAAATAATAAAATGGTTAACAATGGAACCAAATTGAGAACCGATAAAAAGTGTCATATCGATCTAGTTTTTTTAACGGTCGCTTCGCCCGCTGTCAAAGTTTCAGAATTTATCGTTACTCTAGAAAGTAGAATCAAAAGACAGGGATGTGCAGACGAGCTGTACGCGAGTGGCTGGTGCTGCTTACCATGGAGAAGTACATAGGGAGGTTCCTAGAGCGGGGTTACGACAGTATTGCCCACTGTAAGCTTATCGTGGTCAGTGATCTTATTATGCTAGGAGTGGATGATGCCTCACACCGGAAACTGTTGCTAGATGGAGTGCAGTTCCTGATCAACGCGCCTGAGGGATTTATCTGCGAGGAGCCATGTGAGCTACATCACAATTCTGAGACTGATCCGGATCTGGAGGTCAAATCTGCCCCCACTGAATCCGAATGCTTCAAAAGTTTTAGTTTCCTTAAAACACTAAATAGAGACGACGTGGGACCGACTTCAATATCAACAACCGTCAAAAGGGCTTTAAACCAGGAATTCAACAAGTTAATTCTGGAGGAAATAGTTGATTCAGATGATATGGTACCCGAGAAAGGAGAAATTATAGTTGATGGGGAAGATCTTCCCCCAACAGTATTGTCCGCCGAGTAAATTCTTTAACCTACCCATACAAAAATTTGAAAGCTTTAACATTATGTTAACCAAATAATATTTAAGAACTCTGGTTAATGACTTTCCGAAGTGTTTTAAACGCTTCTTAAACAAATAAAATGTGTTTCTAAGTATAACTCATTGAGCTATAACAATAACTATGAAGTGTTTATAATTAAGATTTTATATATATTTTTAAGAACCATTAAAACTGTGGATACCACTCGGTAACCTTTTTTTGTTTTTGGCTATTTTAATTGATTTCTTAAATACATTCAATCAACAAAGCGTTCATATTATAAATGCCACGCTAACAAAGAGGAAGATCCTCTTGGACTTTAAATACATACATATTTACCAATAGGGACCAATTGATATTGGTGAGCGCATGAAGAAATTCGCTTTCCTTGGGGTCTTTTTTTTTAGCAACGAGCTTATTTAAATGTTATTAAGGGATTCAACAAAGCGTTTAACAAATACTTTATACCCCTCATCAGATCCTGGAGGCGAGCATCCATGGGCGAGGCAGCTACCACTCGTTCTATGCTCGCCGTTCCCAAATCCGGTGACTGGCAGTCCACGCATTCGATGGTCTTCAGATGTACCTGAACGTTGTCCGCTAAAAGCCGTGAGTTGTGCAGGGTTCCATAGAACAGCACTATGTCCCCTTCGCTGAGGAGTTGTGTAAAGTTTCCAAAGTCATGATGAGCTCGTAGGATAACGTTGGTGAAGGTGGAACGACCCAGCAGACGACTGCTTGTCTTACTGCCCACTTTTACCATCACTTCGTACTCGTAGTGATTCCAACGCTGCAGTGTGCAACTTCCGCTCTGCGCCTTCAGCGTCTTTATCACGCTTCGCCACTCCTCGCACTGGGCATCCACTTTTGGATCGCACCTGAAGTGCTGGGACATATTTTCGCCGTGCACACATCGCAGTATTCTGCCCAGCCACAAGGGCAGATAGTTGGCAATGACATCTTCCAGCATGTTGGACACCCGCGAAATCTCCACTTTCGAGATGGTACCCTCCCAGGTCACGGGCATGCCATTTAGATGGGAGCAGCGCAGCTGCGCCTTGATCTTGTTGGGCTGCTCGTAGACGGGTTGGGCACAAAGAGCGTGGAATCGATCCCACTGCAGGGTATCCGTTTCCGATAGAGAATGCAGCCCCACCCTGGGCATAGCATTAAACCGGGGCGTGTCCTTGAAACTGGACGTCATGTAGGGAAATACCAATAAGCAGGCTGTGGTAACCGCCATTATAAGCTGCACAAAAAATAGTCATTTATAACATTCTGCATCGTTTAAATGAATTTTTAAGACAACCACTCACCTGCAGCATGGTGATGTATTTCTGAGTTGCTCGGTTTAAGGCCAGGACGCAGGATAGCATCACAACTAGTCCGCAGGCGAGGACCGTACTGCCCCAACGCAGTTCCTCACTGGCAAGTCCCAAACTATCGATGGCCACAAAGACAGGCACGAGAAGAGCTACGATCCCAAAAAGTGGCAGGAACAAGACGATTCCAGCCAGGCCGAGGGCAGCCCTCATTACTCCAAACATGGTGGCACTCTGTGAGGTGGCGATGCACACTTGCAGCCAGCTGAGCGTGACACAGTGCGGGATGAGGTAAGTGTAGACTCCATGCCAGCGGGAGCGCTTCGCCATCATCACCAGCAAAACGGGAATGAATAGGTACAAGGCGGTGCGGCAATTCAGGCAGAACTCGATCCCATTGCCAATTACAAAGGACGAGAAGGTGGGTACGCGTAGATCCAGAAAGCGCCACCGGGTGGACACAACTTCATCCATTTCATACGGATACTTGGCGAGCACATTCACGGCAAAGGAAACGATCACTAACCAATCGGGCAATAGGTGGGAAGAGGCGTACATGGACACGCCCATGGTGAGGAAAGTGAAGGCTCCAGATACAATGGTCAGCTCCGAGTGCGGCAACCAAGCGTCGGTTACCAAAGGATAAACTATCAGGTTGCAGATGAAGGCACAAAAGTAGTACAGGTACGGCTTCATATTGTTTCGCAGAAAACGTTGCTCTGCAATGTCCGCCTCAATATTTTGATCCCCGTAACTGAGAAACAGTCCCGACCAGATGCGAAAGTCGATAAACTGTTGCTTCGTCTTGAGCATCTTACAGGTGGCCCAAATCATGATGCCTAGACTGAGGTAATAGCTGACCAGGGGCAGCATGTGGCGGGTGCTCCAACAGGAGAGCGCCAACAGCACACTGCAGCGTACACTGAGCGGTAGGACGTTGGGTATGGACACAATCAAGTTGAGCAGGCGGTGGTAAAAGATGGTGAAAAAGATGAGCGGGTGGAATATCATGCGGTAGAAGCAGGGGACATGGTCCAGGCTTCTGGGATCTGGTACGGACAGCGTGAGAGCATCATTGACGCTGGGCATTTGTCCGGCACTGTAGTTGGAAGCAGCCGAAACCAGGTGGGCCTCGGTGATGAGGCGTCGTCGCTCTACGTTGGCTACGCCAATTGTGGACACATCTTCGAGAGGTTCGCACTCAGGTTCCTGTTCCCCTTCGCTGCTCGACGAGGAGCGATCGTCGTCGCGTCGACGGCGCTTGCGTTGCAGGTTGTAAATGCGACGCATTTTGCGCTCCAACTGTTTGGGCGTGATGTGCTCATTGCCATTTGATAGGCAGGCAAAAAGCTCCCGGGCTGCTTTTCTCGCTGCCCGTTCGCCAGCCGTCATTGCAAGACAGCGACGCACTTCGTCCGCATTTTCCGCCGTAATGCCACTGCCATCATTGTAGCACTGCCGGAGCAGCTTGGCCGCATCCTCGTGCCCATTGTGAGCGGCACTTACCAGCCAATTGACGGCCTTCTGGTTCTGATTACCTTTGGCAAGATTGGGTTCTACATGGGACATGGGAATCTTCATTACCTCTTTAAGTCAGTAGCAGTTCTTAGTGCTCACCTATGTCATTATCGAGCAGTTCCTTGGCCAGATCGTATTGCATCTGGGGACATCCCTCCTCGGCGATGTGATGCTTGAATTTGTTCAAGGAGGCACGATCTGCAATGGTGATTATCTCCATGTTTGAAACGTATTTAACTGCCATATGCTGTGAGGTTTACCTTCCAGATTCCAACGCCTGCGCTTGGTGACACCTGTCGGCTCATTTTGTGTCCATGTGGCCATTTATCAGGAGTTTTTTCGATTTGTTTACGAAAATCTATGAAATCCAACCAACTTGCCTTAGTGACGGCATCGTGTGTTAACTTCTAATAGAGATGGGTGAAAGTAGTCACAGCTTAACGTTACGGAAAAGATTTTTTCAACAATTAAAGACATATATTTTTTAAATAAACACAAAATAGTTAAATTAAATATAAAATACATTTCAAAACACTAATACCTTAATTATGTGATATTAAAATTTGTTCGTGATGGCTAACCGATACCTTTAAAAATAGTTATACTGTGACTTCGATATTACGCCACTGCCAATCGACTATCGATACGTACACATGCCGGCGAAATTGTTTCTTCCGTAAAAATACTTTGTTTATTGTTTATAAGTAATTTCTAAATAACCACAAGCGTACAAAATGGAAAGAACCCTGCAGAAGCAACTTTACGGAATATCGCGCGAATCGTCTCCGGGTTTACGGAGATATAGCATACCAGCGGCTTCGGCGGACAACACGCGAAAATCCTTTTTTGGCGGCAACGCTAGCTGTGCCCAGCTGCCCGGAAACCTCAAGAAGACTGCCCTGACCAACAGGTAGGTGTTTCGGAACCGCTTCTTAATACCCAATGATTCTAAGTATGTATTTTCAGCCGGCTCAGCCTGTCTGTGCGCTCCACTCAATCTATTCCGGGCATCCGCTCTGATTACAATGTAGTGGAGAGCTTTGGCTGCCCACTACCCGTGGTGGTCAATGAAGCTTTAACTTTTTCGGGATCGGGAGCGGGCACAGTCACCGCTAAAGTGACCCAAAACGGATGGGCTTGGGTAAGAGATCAGGAACGTGCTCATTAGGTTTATGAATTCAGAGCATCAATTTCTTCCAGGTTGTTCAGGGCAGACGCCTCTTAATTTGGCAGTACAAAGACACGACCAAGTCGGGTTCTCCACCTCGCGTCGCCAAACCTGGTAGGCGTGGCGGTGGCCTAGCCCAGTGCCGGGAGTTGACCCTGACCTACAGCGACCTTGGTCACAAGAGCGACTTGATCAGCGTTTTCCAAACGGAGGGCCAGCAAATGGCTTCCTGCATTGCCGTTTCTGCCACCGGAGAAGTGCGCTATTGGTCGTCCATTGCCCACGATGGAAATTCTGTGGATCTCTCGATCTTAACTGGTCAGGAATTTGTGAAGCTGCTCAATCTGCCTACGCAACAGGGCTATCTAGCCGTTACTACCACCTGCAACCTGGTTTTCCTTCGGGTGGGACTCACCAATGGACGCTTTACACTGCACCACAAGACCATCAAGCCGGCCACCAGTTTCCTTGGTGGCTTTGGCAAGAAATTTGCCTCTATTCTGATTGGCATGAACACGGGAGGGGACAAGGATCAGGTTAGTATACCAAATAGTAATTTAAGGCCATAATCGAGTTGTTTTTCTAGGCTTTGGTTGGCATGTGCTGCGAGAGCAATTCGGAAAGTGGAGAAACAGTAGTGGCTGTCCTCTCAGATCGTGCAATTCAGCGTTGGATTCTGTCTAACAAAGGCAATGCAGAGAACCTTCTGTATGAGGATGCAGAAGTGGTACGCAGAATACGAGAAGAGTTCAAAATCAAGTTCTGGAATGTTCGTCTGCCAGCGGACAATGTGGAGATCGATCTTCATCTGCTAGACTTCCACATGGTGAAGAGCAAGGCATATATACTGGCTGGAGCTGTAAATACTGCTCATGCTCCACAAATGTGCTATGCTCTGGGTAATATTTATCTTTGGCCAAAAAATAAGGCAATAAATTTATACATGATCGTTTTTCAGTGACAGCGAGTGCTCATGCGGAAAATATGCTCCTGGAGTCGTTCACGCCGCTCAAAATAAACAAATTTTTTAGTGCCAAGACCGAAGAAGATTGTCTAAGCCTGCGCTTCGTGGTTGGCAGCAGTCATATCTATTTGTACACACCAAAGGTGGTATACCCACTGCACTTGTCCAATTCCGTGCCCACCGCGGAGCTAGAGGCGGAAAAGATTGAGTTTCATCTGCATGACGATCGCATTTTAAGTGCTGCCATCTGCAATCAAATGCCATTATTCTTTAGCCGCACCCATGGACTAGTTTCAATAACCCCAGGTGATTTTGACGGTACCGAAATGATGAACATGAGCTCCTGCAACACTCCAGATTTATTCGCCCCCAACTCGTTTAACGCCAGCTTCGGTGCTCCCGATCAGTCTGCTATTAATGGAAGCACCAATAATCTGCACTTGTTCGAGCTAGATCCGGATGAAGTATACAACGAATTATGCGATGAAGTGGGCCAACTTAAGGCAGCGTTTCTCTACCACCTAAAGCGCAACAACAACATGATCAAGACAATTGTCGGCGAGTTGCTGCGCAGCGTGGCTGGAGCCGATCCCAACGGAGCACCCATGGATGCCTACAAGTTGGATAGAATTGTCATTACTATCGCCGAGGACTTGGCCGAAGATATCCCAATATCCGATCCTCGCTGGGAGGAGGCCCTCGGAGATCAGGAAAGCAATCGGCATGCTATTGGTAGCTCACATTCCATGCAAATTATCAATCAGTTAAGGGACAAAATGATTGCTTTTCAGCATTTCATCACATTTCTGCATTCTAGTGGAGTTTGGGAAAAGGTATAAACCAAAAGATACAATATTTATGTAATTTAAGCAAAAAACATCTTTTTCCAGCTTTATTTTATACCATGCGGTAGCCATTTGCTAAAGCCCACCAGCTTTATTCTTTCCGATATTAGCGAGAAGATAGTGGCTGCCATGGCTCTGCGGTCCTTGCAAAACAAAATGCCAAAGCTAATCGAAGAGGCTATAGAGGCCACCGTCGCGATATGGGATGAGAAACCTAATGGCAGCTTGACAAGCCAGGATATATTCTATGTCAAACTGTCCAAGTTCCAAAATGTTTTTGAGGCCCTAGCTGACATAGCTGACGATCGCATTGCTGCCCAAAACCAGACTACTGTTTCAGTGGCCCACTTTATTAACGACATCAACTCCATTGTCCTTGATACGCTGGGTCAGGTGTTCAAGCATCGTGAACAGCATGCAGCTAGCTTTAGGCGCAACGAAAGACTATCATCCTACGAGAATCTTCCCTGGACTGCTATGGCAGGAAGTGCCGGTGTACGCGACACTCTAACCCGGCTCATCGACATCAGCGTACGATATGGTGGCCACTGCGTTAGCGAGACAGAGTTGAAGCACCAGTTGTACCAGCAGATATTCGAACTGGTAGATCTGGTGCTGGATGGACGAAGAACCTACATGGAAAGCGTCCAGGACACCGAGAAGTTTAATGTGCTGCAACAGCAGTTTGAGGCTCAGCGCAGGGAACTCATCTCGGTGCTAAGTAAGTAAACTACGATTAAAATTTGCTTACAGTATCTAAATTTATCTGATTTTTTTTATATTTCTAGTCAAAGATCGACAATACGAGTATGCCGCAAAGCTAGCTGAAAAGTACCTAGACTTCCAGAGTCTGGTGTTGATCTGCGATGAGACGCAGGACAAGGATCGCTTAGACGATTACACCCGCAAGTACGAGGAATTCGATTTCTCGCAATTTGCCATCAACTGGCATCTGCGTCAGAACCGGCACGGTGAGGTCTTTGAGCGTTTCAAGGGCAACCAGACGGCTCTGGCGCAGTTCATGCGCGACCATCCGTCCCTTGGCTGGATCCAGCTAGTATTCAATGGTGACTTCGAGCGGGCGGCCAAGGTGCTGTACGAGTTGGCCCAATGTGAAACTGAGTTTGTAGCGCGCAAAAAGTCTATGCTGTCGCTTGCCAAACTGGCGGCCTTTGCGGCAGCCGATTCAGATTTAACAGCCCAAGTCGAGAAGATCAATGCAGATCTAGCTTTGGTCGAATATCAGTCGCAATTGGGCCATGACGTATTGCAAAGTTTGGGCTTCGATTCAACGGAACAAAAGGTTCTTAAGGCAGAGGAGATAATCAACGTAAGTCAGGACAATTTTTCAAATGTCATCTCTACTAAAATGACTTATTAACCACAGCTCAATATTGCCGAGGAGAACGACACGGCCACTGAAGCGGAATTCCGAAAAGCACTGGAGCTTCTGACCTACGTGGATCACCCCTACGAAATGCGGCACAAGATCTGGTGTGCTGCAATAAAACGAGATAACTGGATAGATTACGATCCCAACAATGGGGTAGATTACATACAGAAGTTGCTCTTCTTCAAGATCATCGAAATTTCGCAGCTGATGGGCCATGAGTCCGAGAACTTCTTGCCACCAATGGAGGACTTTTTGGAAAGCGTGGAGCTGGGCGAGCTGCCGCAGCAGAAACCGTTCCAGTATCTACTGAAGCTGACCTACGAGTATGTGGCCGACATGTTCAGGCAGCCAGACGATATGGAAGTCTAATCGTGCACCTCACATGTCATTTATTAAAGTTTACGTTAAGAATCCGAGATGATGGCTGGTGTTCTTGGCCGGTGGACAGTTGACAGCCTTGTTGTTGTGTCGCTCAAACGCTGGCATTATAATATATTATAAAATAAGTTGCTTTGTCACAGCCAGCTGCTACCGGCGAAAGTATCTGAAGTGTGGCGAGCGGAGAGTAGGAAACCCGCCAAGTGTTCGGGGCAACTCTAGAGTCGCACTGGCCCGTAGCTCTGTTGGGTGCATTTGCCGCCAGAGTGCGTCAGTTTAGCTCTGATCATGACGGACGAAACAACGCCGCTTACTAGCGCCGCCGCCGGTGGCTCCGGATATGTCGTCCTGCCGCCATACCAAGGACCCGAGCGTGTCTTTCCAGGTGGTGTTTCTCCGCGCTCGCGTCGGAATAAGATGCGTCAGTTTCAGTGCTGCATGGGCATCACCTTTATGTGAGTGTGCAGTTGTGGACATTTGTGGAAATTAGTTTGGAAATATTAAATTGAAAATCGAGCAGTGTAAGGTGAAACTTAGAACCTATGTATGTATTGCCTCAATTCTGAAACTTAAAGGACGTTTGCACAAACTTACGGTCTAATATTTAAATCCTTCTTTTGAGCAGGGATTATTATTATTAGTGCGGTAATTATTAAACACATTCCAGTTTTTATTAGGAATTGTGAATAGTTTTAAAAAGCAATTAATTATGTTAGATAAAGATTGAGCTTATAAAATTATACTTAATTAGCAATATAGGAGTTTCAAAGAATATTATTATAAAATGATTTAAAATTTCCCTGATCAAGGCTTTTCTTAATGGAGTACTTTTTACCCCTGAACTCTATAGAGAAATTTCAAGCAGTGAGAAATCAATTGGCCAACCCCCTCTACCAGGTTATTCAATACCCTATTATTGGCCCACTGTGAACGTTTAGTCAACGCTTAACCGCACTATGATAACCACAAAGTGATTTCACTTTCCTGCCCGCAGAGCGATTGTATTAACAGCCCTTTGCCTGGCCCTGGTGTTCAGCGATTACCTTGGTGGTGCGGACGGGAATCCCAGTTTCTTCTTCGTCGTCAATGGATCGGAAGTCGAGCTGCCGCCAAACAGACCGCTGCCAGACGAACCGGCAGCAGATTGGGCCCTACAACAGGGGGCACTGGGTCACCACGATGGCGCCCAGGCGGTGAGTGTTGGTATCAAGGCTTTGGGGGATCGGGAAATACTGGAGGAGGGTCTGCAGCCGAACGAAGTGAATACGCCAGCCTTTCGACACTATCGGTCCCTAAGCACAAATCCAGAGGCAAGAAAACTGGCACGACGTGGCTATGTGGAGAACCAGGCCACCATGGATATAGCCAAGAGATTCAATTACACCAAACAGCCGGGACGCAGCAATATTGGCTGGGGGCCAAAGATCGTCCTTCCTGATCCCACGGTTCTACGATTGGATTGCGATTTTAATGCCCGCTTCAGAAGATCTACAGGAGTATGTAACAATAAACAACACCCCCGGACTTATGGAGCCTCAATGGTTCCCTATCGTCGCATGGTCTCACCAGATTATGCCGATGGCATTGCCGCTCCCCGGGTTAGTCATCATGGACGCCTGCCGCCGGCTCGTCAGGTCTCCTTAAAGATCCATCGTTCTAGCTACGAGACGGATTCGAACTTCACCGTTATGCTAGCCGTTTTTGGTCAATTTATGGACCACGACATCACGGCCACCTCGCTGACCACTTCGCAAGAGGGGGAGTCCATCGATTGTTGTGTGGCCGCCACCCGGGAGCACCATCCGGAATGTTTTCCTGTGGATATCCTTCCCGACGATGCCTACTATAAGCAGTACAACATCAGTTGCATGAATTTCGTGAGATCTGCTCCGGCACCCACCGGAAGATTTGGTCCACGGATGCAGCTGAACCAGGCAACGGCTTTTATAGATGCCTCCGTAGTCTACGGCAATCTGGAGCAGCGCCAGAGTCAGTTGCGCAGCTTCATCAATGGCTCGCTGCGTATGTATCTTACGGATGATGGTCGGCAGCTGCTGCCCATTTCCTCAAATCCGACGGATGGCTGCAATCGAGTGCAGATGACTCGCCTCGGAAAGTACTGCTTCGAGTCTGGAGATGATCGGGCTAATGAAAACCTGCTGCTCACATCCATGCACCTTCTGTGGGCCAGAAATCATAACTATTTAGCTCGACAACTGCAGGAGCAGAATCCTCACTGGGAAGATGAGCGTTTGTATCAGGAGGCACGGAAGATTTTAGGTGCTCAAATGGCTCATATCACCTACAATGAGTTTCTTCCGGTATTGCTTGGCAGGAATCTTAGTGAGGTCAAGGGCTTGCTGCCGGCTAAGCATAACCTGAATGCCCCGGACACTTATGACCCGGAAGTGGATCCGAGTATAGCAAATTGCTTTGCAGCTGCCGCTTTCCGGTTTGCACATACCCTTCTACCGGGATTATTCAATGTCTCAAGGGATAATAGTAGTCCTGAAGCCATGGAACTGCACAAGATGCTCTTCAATCCATTCTCTCTTTGGATGGAACACGGCATTGACCACGCGCTAATGACGGCGGCTAACACGCCGGTGATGCAAGTGGATCGCTTCTTCTCGCTGGAGGTCACCCAGAAGCTTTTCGAAGGCACCGCCGAGGACAAGGTGCCCCTATGCGGACTGGATTTGGTTTCCTTGAACATTCAAAGGGGTCGGGATCATGGGATTCCCTCGTATACGGTTTTCCGACGACATTGTCGTCTGCCGCCAGTGGATACATGGGAGCAGATGGCCCAGGCCGTGGACAACGCCACCTTGGACTCCATCATGCAGATTTATGAGTACGTTAAGCTGTAATTCTGTAAGTAACCTGAAAGATCAGTATCCGGATTTCCTTCAGATCTCCGCAGGATGTGGACGTCTATACGGGTGCTCTTAGTGAGCCACCGCTGGGTGGAGCAATCTTTGGTCCACTGCTCAGCTGCATGGTGTCTGACCAGTTCCTACGCCTTAAACTGGGCGACTCTCACTGGTACGAGCGGAAGATGGGGCCACAAAAGTTTACCAAAGGTTAGTGTCTTTCAAAACGCCATTTTCATAACCTGGGTTGTTCCCAAATAAATCTCCTTTTCCAACAGCTCAACTTGCGGAGATCTATAAAACCAATTTGGCTGCCATTATCTGTCGCAATTCTGATGGAATAACCCGTATCCGGGAACACGTCATGCAGCGTCTACGGGAGAAAGACAATCCACAGGTTAATTGTCAGGACTTGGAGGGATATCATTTCAATTTTGAACCATGGTCCGAATCCGAGCAACTGCATGACCTGCACAGCACAGTAATAAATAGGGGAACCACTTCGGTGCGCGTGATGGCCAATAATACAGATACGGTCAAGGGAAATCATCGAACAGCTAATGTAACTCTTCATATTGATAAAGGAATCTAGCTGGGTGAAAAATAATATTTTGCTTATAAAAAGACAGTTATAATGAGAATGCTATCTCGTAAAGGCTGAAAAATAACTTAGTAAAATACATAATTGATAAAAGAAAATGGGTTTGATTTTTTTAATTCAAGAGAGTACACTTTTAATAATCTTTTTCCATGCATAACATACATAAACAATAATTTCAAGAGAATTTAGTTTGCTATATCAGAATTCATTCTGAAGAGAACGTTGATGTGAAAGAGAACAGATAAGCGTCGAATTTCGCCAATATAAATGGAAACCGAGCTCTTTGTTGGCCAGTTCCATGTATACTTGCTGAAGTGACGTTAGGCTAGAAATATCAATAAGTTGATCATGTTTTCGCTGGTTTTGCTGGTGCTATCTCTCTTGACTTTGGCGTGGTTCTATCTAAAACACCATTATGACTTTTGGGCCCGTCGCGGATTTCCATACGACAAGCACTCCGGAATTCCATTTGGATGTTTGGACACCGTCTGGAGACAGGAGAAGAGCATGGGCTTGGCCATCTATGATGTCTATCTAAAGAGTAAGGAGCGTGTCTTGGGCATTTATTTGCTCTTCCGTCCGGCTGTTTTAGTCCGAGATGCCGAATTGGCACGTCGTCTTCTGGCCCAGGATTTTGCTAGCTTCCACGATCGTGGCGTTTATGTGGACGAGGAGAAAAATCCGCTGTCAGCCACTATATTTGCCCTACGCGGTCAGAGCTGGCGGTCCATGAGGCAAATGTTGTCGCCTTGTTTCACCTCCGGCAAACTAAAGGCCATGTTCAGCACCTCCGAGGATATTGGTGACAAGATGGTGGCCCATTTGCAAAAGCAGCTACCGGAACAAGGTTCCGAGGAGGTGGATCTGAAGAAAGTAATGCAAGACTATGCCATCGACATCATTGCCTCGACCATTTTCGGCTTGGACGTGAACAGCTTCGAAAACCCGGACAATAAGTTCCGTAAATTGGTGTTGATTGCAAGAGTCAAAAATAGGTTTAATGCCCTGTTCTTTATGCTAATCTTCCTGGTGCCCTCGTAAGTAATCAATTCATCCCTATGTTTTTAAAAATCTAATGGATTATCTGCAGCATCGCCAAGCTCCTGTTTCGAATGGGTATTCAAAATCCAGTCGGTCTGGCCATGCTGGAAATTGTCAAGGAAACCGTTGAGTACCGTGAAAAGCACGGAATTGTGCGAAAGGATCTTCTCCAGTTGCTTATTCAGCTAAGGAATACGGGAAAGATTGAAGAGAATGACGAGAAATCCTTTAGCATACAAAAGACGCCCGATGGTGAGTGGTAATTAGAATGGTCTCCAAAGTCAAAGTTATAATGAAATGCAATGTTTTCAGGCCACATTAAGTCTATTTCGCTAGAGACCATTACCGCCCAGGCATTTATATTTTATATTGCTGGTCAGGAGACGACTGGATCAACTGCTGCCTTTACCATTTATGAATTGGCCCAATATCCAGAGTTACTGAAGCGCCTGCAGGATGAAGTGGACGAGACGCTGGCCAAGAATGACGGAAAGATCACCTACGATTCCCTGCACAAAATGGAGTTTCTGGAGCTGTGCTTGCAGGAAACCATTCGCAAATACCCTGGACTTCCCATTTTAAACCGCGAATGCACCCAGGACTATACGGTGCCCGAAACAAACCACGTCATTCCGAAGGGAACCCCTGTTGTGATCTCCCTGTATGGAATTCACCACGATGCAGAGTACTTCCCGGATCCCGAGAAATATGATCCCGATCGGTTCTCCGAGGAGAGTCGCAACTACAATCCCACGGCGTTCATGCCTTTTGGTGAGGGTCCCAGGATTTGCATTGCTCAGCGGATGGGTCGTGTGAACGCCAAACTGGCGATCATTAAGATCCTGCAGAACTTCAATGTCGAGGTGATGAGTAAACGCGAAATTGAGTTCGAGAATAGCGGCATTGCCCTGATGCCCAAAAATGGAGTTCGAGTGCGTTTGTCCAAAAGAGTGCCCAAATTAGCCTGAATTTTGCACACTGATGAAATACAATAGCTAAGTGGCAGTAAATTCACTTTTGATTATATTCAATCCGTTAAGTGCTACAATCGTCGAAATGATAAAAGATAACCTCGGCCAGTAAATAGTCCAAACATAGTGTAAATTCTACATTAAATCATGTAAGAAATGAATTAATGCACTTTTAATGGTTGAACTTATTGCAATCTTTATGTAATAGTTACAGGACTATTGTCATTACCAATAGTTTTTTAAAATTGGAAGATTCGACCTGTGATAACCTTCACTCGCAAATATGTTAATATGTTTAAGAACTGTTAAAAACAAAAAGTTGTAAGCATCCTATTTCAATTTGAATTCTTTTATAAATATAAGGGCACTTAGAGAATAAAATCACTATCGATTAGAAGTTTGCCACTTTGAAATCGGATGTCTGTAAGAATTGTTATGGGCCTAAATGGTTTTGTAGATTTTGGGTACTTTTCTGCAAAGCCATTTTTCGAAAAAAAATGTTTTAAAAATGTCGAAAAATCGAACTCAAAATACAAACCAAGTTGTAAACACAGATTTTTAGAGAATTAAACCGCAATCATTTAGAAGTTTGCCACTTTGAAATAGTATATCTGTAAGAAGAGTTATGGGGAAGTACAACAAAAATACAAATCAAGCTAAAAAAGCAATTTTTTAGAGAATTAAACTACAATCAGTTAGAAGAATGCCGCTTTAATACCAGAAGTCTGTAAGAAAACTTATGGGCTTAAAAGTGCAGTTTCTTGACAATTTCTGCAAGCAATTTTTCGAATATTTGGAAAGGGGCTTACCCGATCTTTCTTATGGCATGCATATTCTTTAAAAAAACGATTGCGAATGTTTCTATTCTATAGATTTTAAACTGAGCTTGGAAACCACTTAGAAGCAGATTCCCTATTTTTATTTTCATAAAAAGTTAAACTAAGGAGGTGGTGGAAAAAGTATGCTTTGATCGACAATTATTGGGCTAAAAGCTTTACAAAAAACATGATGAAATAATAATATTCAAAGAGTAACAATACATTCTTGTTAAATTTATCAAAACATAACTCTTTTATAATAAGAAATGAATAGAGCTGGTAAGCTCTTTATTATAAAGATTGAAGTTCACTGGGTTTTCATAGACAATTAAAATAACAAAATTTTAGTTCTCTTTGTATAATTTCACAATTTCTCTGCCTCCCGATTAATAGCCGGCTATATATAGGTTTATCAACCAAGCAAATATGACTCTTTATAGAAATCAAAAAAACATTTTAAAACCTACACCAATAATGTAATGTAAATTGTAAATATAATTTAAATATGCTAAAACGGTGAAACGTAAAATAAACATTAGTTCTTAAGGTTTTAAGGTTCATTTAATAACAATTTTTTCATGCTCAATGATATAAACAATAATTTCAAGAGAATTTACTTTGCTATATCAGAATTCATTATCTGAAGAGAACGTTGTTGTGAAAGAGAACAGATAAGCGTCGAATTTCGCCCATATAAATGGAAACCGAGCTCATTGTTGGCCAGTTCCATGTATACTTGCTAAAGTGACGTTTAGGCTAGAAATATCAATAAGTTGATCATGTTTTCGCTGGTTTTGCTGGTGCTGTCTCTCTTGACTTTGGCGTGGTTCTATCTAAAGCACCATTATGACTTTTGGGCCCGTCGCGGATTTCCATACGACAAGCACTCCGGAATTCCATTTGGATGTTTGGACACCGTCTGGAGACAGGAGAAGAGCATGGGCTTGGCCATCTATGATGTCTATCTAAAGAGTAAGGAGCGTGTCTTGGGCATTTATTTGCTCTTCCGTCCGGCTGTTTTAGTCCGGGATGCCGAATTGGCACGTCGTGTTCTGGCCCAGGATTTTGCAAGCTTTCACGATCGTGGCGTTTATGTGGACGAGGAGAAAAATCCGCTGTCAGCCAGTATATTTGCCCTACGAGGTCAGAGCTGGCGGTCCATGAGGCAAATGTTGTCGCCTTGTTTCACCTCCGGCAAACTAAAGGCCATGTTCAGCACCTCCGAGGATATTGGTGACAAGATGGTGGCCCATTTGCAAAAGGAGCTACCGGAACAAGGTTCCGAGGAGGTGGATCTGAAGAAAGTAATGCAACACTATGCCATCGACATCATTGCCTCGACCATTTTCGGCTTGGACGTGAACAGCTTCGAAAACCCGGACAATAAGTTCCGTAAATTGGTGTTGATTGCAAGAGTCAATAGTAGGTTTAATGCCCTGTTCGGTATGCTAATCTTCCTGGTACCCTCGTAAGTAAACAATTCATCCCTATGTCTTAAAAAATCTAATGGATTATCTGCAGCATCGCCAAGCTCCTGTTTCGAATGGGTATTCAAAATCCAGTCGGTCTGGCCATGCTGGAAATTGTCAAGGAAACCGTTGAGTACCGTGAAAAGCACGGAATTGTGCGAAAGGATCTTCTCCAGTTGCTTATTCAGCTAAGGAATACGGGAAAGATTGAAGAGAATGACGAGAAATCCTTTAGCATACAAAAGACGCCCGATGGTGAGTGGTAATCAGTATGGTCTCCAAAGTCAAAGTTATAATGAAATGCAATGTTTTCAGGCCACATTAAGTCCATTTCGCTAGAGACCATTACCGCCCAGGCATTTATATTTTATATTGCTGGTCAGGAGACGACTGGATCAACTGCTGCCTTTACCATTTATGAATTGGCCCAATATCCAGAGTTACTGAAGCGCCTGCAGGATGAAGTGGACGAGACGCTGGCCAAGAATGACGGAAAGATCACCTACGATTCCCTGCACAAAATGGAGTTTCTGGAGCTGTGCTTGCAGGAAACCATTCGCAAATACCCTGGACTTCCCATTTTAAACCGCGAATGCACCCAGGACTATACGGTGCCCGAAACAAACCACGTCATTCCGAAGGGAACCCCTGTTGTGATCTCCCTGTATGGAATTCACCACGATGCAGAGTACTTCCCGGATCCCGAGAAATATGATCCCGATCGGTTCTCCGAGGAGAGTCGCAACTACAATCCCACGGCGTTCATGCCTTTTGGTGAGGGTCCCAGGATTTGCATTGCTCAGCGGATGGGTCGTGTGAACGCCAAACTGGCGATCATTAAGATCCTGCAGAACTTCAATGTCGAGGTGATGAGTAAACGCGAAATTGAGTTCGAGAATAGCGGCATTGCCCTGATGCCCAAAAATGGAGTTCGAGTGCGTTTGTCCAAAAGAGTGCCCAATTAGCCGGAATTTTCCACACTGATGAAATACAATAGTTAAGTGGCAGTAAATTCATTTTTTATTATATTCAATCCGTTAAGTGCTACAATCGTCGATATGATAAAAGATAACCTCGGCCAGTAAATAGTCCGAACTCGCTGTAATAATGTTTGTAAATTCTATAATAAATCATGTTAGAGATGAATTAATGCATTTGTAAATGGTTGAACTCATTGCAATCTTTAAGTAATAGTTACAGATCTATTGTCATTACTAATCGTTTTTTAAAATTGGGGAATTTGCCTGTGATACCTTCACTCGCAAATATGTTTAAGAACTGTTTAAATAAAAAGTTGTATACATCGTCTTTCGATTTAATTTCTTTTCATTAGTTTGCTAACTCATATTTTATTTATATTTTCCCAGGTCGGTTCAGTCGATGATTCGTTTTCGTAATTCATTAAACCCCTCTTATCACTATCATAAGTTCGCAGTGATAGGAGAGCCCCCTGCGGTTACTGATTACTAATGGCACAGAGCGATACCAAAACTTAACAAATTCTATACAATATTAAAAAAAAAGTGCATTACAAAAAAAATGTTTTTAATTAAATATAAGGACATTTACAGGGGAAGAAAGAGTGTGGATAGGATCATTGCTTTTAGGCATATGTGTAAATTAAAATATGTGTTTTGGCCTATGTTTGTGCAAACAAAATATAAATCTTACAAAAGACAAAACGCACCCAAAAGTCAGGTCAACAATTTTTATTGAATGCATGCCAGTGCTGTAGAATCTTTCACAATTCAAAGAGTCATAGATAAAGATATTATATACAATAACAAAACCAGTGTGGTAACTATCCAGTCAATTTTTTTGTTTGTTTTTTCAGTCATTTTTGTTTTCCAGTCATCCAATTGTTCCAATTAATCCGATTTAGTTGTTCTCACGCTCCTCCAATTCTCTCAATTCCTTTTCGTTCTGCAGCATTTTCTGTTTGTTCTTCTGCCGGAAGATTTCCTTGCTGGCTTCCTTGATGGCCTCGTAGATTTTTGCCTGCGACATGATTTGCTTCTGCACATTTTCCACAGCGGGTTCGGCATTAATATCGATCAGATCACTTAAGCCCTCAGACAAATACTCATTGTTATACGGCTTATCTTCGACATCATTGCGTTTGAATAGTGAAAAAGGTGGATAAGAGGGATAAGTACGCTTGCGTCCACATCCTGTAATACTTCTGCGTTGAAAACTTGTACAAATATATATTTTATTGACCTTTGTTACCTGTAAAAGCATTGCAAAATGGTCGCTTTTCATACTTCCAGTGTATAACCCCGCTCAGCTTGTGCTGCAAAAACGAAACAATTTTTATCATTAGTTTATTAACACCTCACTTTTATAAAATGAATTAATTAAAATGAACATTAACCAAGAAAGTTACAAGAACTTTTTAATCAAATTAAGGAAATTCTTTTACCATAACACAAAATTTGCGTTTGTTAAAATATATCCGATTAAGTATATGTATAGTTCTTTAATCTCTATAAAAATGTTGCAAAGCTTTTCCAAAAGTTCTTTATCAATTTAGATTACGTATGCTATTTCACATTACGTATGTTATTGATTAAGAATATATTTCGATTTCACCATGGCTTCCCACTTTTTTTCAGTAATTATGAAATAGTTAACTCCATTAATACTCACGTTTGCCATGCTATTGCCTCCGAGGTTTTCCCTTTCCAGTGAAGCCTGACAGGATATCAAGCAAACCAAGAGCGCCGTCAGCCTCAGGAAAATTTTAATACAACTTCTCATTGCGAAAAAGGATATCTTAATAGTTTTAAGAAGGGACCACTTAGCAAACCGAAGCGCTTAACACTCGAAATCCAAATGAAAGTAGCCTCAGCTTGGGCCTCGGTCAACATCTCGGCTACGCAATGTGAGACTTGTTGCTTTCAGAATGCGACAGGACCACCAGCTGAGCCTGGAATGTATTTTGGTTGCCACTTAATAGCTTTTTGTGTTTTCCCGACCTTTCCCAGCCGGGCCACCCCCGCATAGAAATATTGCATTGACGTGTGAAGGATGGTCCTTGCCCTTGCAGAGGGTAATAAAAACCACTGCAAATTCAATTTAAAACTTAAACTGGACAGACTTAAAGAGTGAAATCTTTTAGATTTTTACACAACTTACACCAATTTCTGCCAGTGCAGCTGCATTGGCTACATTTCGCTCGCGAGCGAACTGAGACGAGTGTCTATTTATAAAGACCCGATCCGAAATATCCGAAAACACACTCACAGATCGCTCATACGCCATAGAGTTGGTCCACGGTGAGCAAGTGTGCATTTTCCGAAAGTTTTCCTCACACTTCCACGGGACTTTTCCGAACAAACACAAGCAATTTCGAGTCGGTTCTCAATTGAAACGGTTCGCGTGCTACTCGATCTCCGGAATTCAATGAAAAGTTCTACAAAAATTGCAAGATCTGGAAAATAAATAACCATATATTCATCTTTGGAATTTCGAGTAAACAAAACGCATCGCCGACAAGAGATATAATTTGTGCCCTAGTTGAGTTTTGACTTTTGTTTTTCGGCTTTCCCACGAATTGGTGTCGAAAGTTAAGGAATTTCTGTGTCACTTCTACTAAAATAGCATGTGAGTAATTTGGAAAGCTATAAATTATGCAAATTAATGAGAATACCTATCACCTAATTTGATTATGAAGACCAATTTCTGTCAACTGGGGCTGGAAAAAAACTTGGAAAATCGTTTATATCACATTGCATGCAATTTCGTGTTGCCAGTGAGAATCTTCTGTACCTTGTTTTTAGACACGTAAAGTAAAAAACTAAAAATACCCCGGCTATTTTGAGTTTTTCTCAGTTTTACTGTCACACTTCGGTTTGACAACTTTTCCTCTGTCCTGTCTCTTTCAATTGTCGCCGGCTACCGCTTTTCCCATTCTTTTCTTTTTGATTCTTTTTTGTTAATTAAGCGAGAGCATCACTAAATGATTTTCCGTTTCTTTGTTTATATGAAACATCAAATTCCTCGCATATTTCTCGTGCTGAAATTGTAAACATTTCAGCACGCCGGAACGGCAATTTGTGCTGAAAATTACAACATTATCGTGAGCAGATCGTAAAAAATAATTTCGAATAAAAAGTGAAAAGCCTTGCAATTTTATTGCCCTGTCGAGTGACGCGGCTGCTGCAGCCAAAGATTGTTGTGCCCACATACACAGTCATTTATTTATAAGTATACAATTTATTTTATTAATTTCCTCACTCGCCTATTAATAGACCAAAGATGTCAGAGCCCACGGCCCAACAACAGCAGCCCCAAAATGGCAAGGAGCGCTCCAAGTCCACGGAGGAGAAGGAAATCCCACGCGAACCGGCGTTGGTCCTTAAAGACATTGACGTAAGTCGAAACTAACACGATAAATGCAACTACATTTCGAGCTAATGAACATTGTAGGCAACCGAAAATCATTCCGTACTTTTTTATATTCATAAAACATTTTGAACCCATCGAACTGGCAACCTTTCAAATAATTTTTTCTTTTTTAATAAAGTTTTTATTACTTGTTGAAATAAATAAAATTACATAGATTTGGTGCTTTAAATTGTTTACCAAAAAGTTTTGATAATTTTTTTCTATTCATACCAGATTTTTAATCCATTACAAAGTCAAAACAATCATATTTTTCTGCGTGTAGATGACGAGCCAATTTGTAGTAAGCACGATTTATTGCCCATAACGAAAATATAGTCGAATCATTCAACTGAAAGTTTTACAAAAATTACTTTTTGAAAGTGAAATATATGATTCTAAAATTAATATTTTGTATACAAAACGAATACAAAACCTGCCGATTTGTTTGTAAACAAATATTAGCAAATAAAATGTTTTAAGTATGTGAACGGGATTTCCTATTTAATTATATAAACTTTAGTAACAAAAAGACAAATTTCCCTAAAGATTAAAATAGTTTTAGATAAGAATATAGCACTTTACCTTTTGAACAAAATAGATTAAGACTGAACTAGAGAACCTAGTAAAACTGCTAGATGGCAAGATCTATAAGGAGGAGGAGGTGGCCATGGAGGAGCTGCATCAGTATTTGATCGAGGACGATGGCTCCTGGGCGTTGGGCGATAACTTTCTGGTGTTTGTGCAACGAGTCCTGCGTGATAACCAGGCCTTCTCCCCGGACACACGGATACACTTGATCCGCACCCTGGCCTACGCGGCGCTTAAAGACGATGTGATCATTATTCTGCACCAGGATCGCAGGGATCACACACTGATGAACTACGCCCAGGACATTGACAAGCAGACTCCCGAGGAGCAGCAAGCGTGGGCCATGTTTGTAAGTACATATCCCCAAAGGATAACCAATATACTAGCTTACATATATTTGTATCCCACAGATGTGCAATCTCTTCGAGAATTTGGGTCCCTCCGAATGGCTGCTGTACATCTCCGAGTGGGAATACAATGGACAGACCATCTCCAACATACGAGTGACCACCAAGGTGGCCGTCCACTGCATCCTATCCAATTGCCCGCAGCTCAAAAACATTGGCAGCATGATCTTGTACAACATTGCTATCAAAGAAGTGAAGACAGTGGTAAGTAGGTATTTATTTTCTTCCAAGGCACATTTTAAGGATGTATATTTTCAAAGGTATTCGACGATATTGCCGTAGAACTGGCCATGGCCATTCTGCAGTTCTTCCAGAGCAGTCCCAACGAAGACCAGATCTTCCGAACGCTGAAGGCCCTCGCCCGCTTCCTCGAGGTATTGACCCATATTCCATTTGGCCATAATTGACAGCTGTCAAACATCCGCATATTTTGTATTTTTTCCATTTTTCAGGTCTCGCAAGATGTGCCGATGATCATTCAAATGATTGGACCGCATCCAAAACAATTCGCCGGCAAAAGCGAGCGCGTGGATGAGCTGATAAAGATCATTAGTCGCAAGGTGCCCGCCTAAGGAGACTTCCAACACAAAACAAAAAAAACATAACCATAGTTGCCCTTTTTCTAATATATATATTCTAGACCCTCACTTTTGTAAAGCATTTTAGCGACTCAATAAACATTTGTACCCCCTAAAAAGGTCAATTACATGACGGCATCGCCGCAGCAGAGTTTCAAAAAGGGAATCCATTGCCACCACTGGCACGTAGTTGCAGCCAGTGCTTCTGATTGGAGACGAACATCTCGGAAGGCAACTGGGTATCCTGAGCGGAGGCGTCCTCTGTACAACAAAGTAAATCCTAACTAAAAAAGAAACATTTTCTTATAAATAGACCAGGAACTTACGCGCCTTCTTGTCGAACTTGGGCGACTGGGTAATAGAGATCACGTCCTCCGGCTTGCGGAGCAGTATCTTTCCCACGCCCTTGCACATGCGCAGCACCTCGTGGTTGCTCAGCTTCTCCAGTTGCTCCTCATCCAACAAAGTGCAGGCCAGGATCCACTCACGCACATCATCGAAATCATTTAGCAGCCGCACTGCTCCATTAACACTGAAGCGAATGCGTTTCTGGTAGATAAAATCCAGCCAGGCCTCGCAGATGAGCTTCAGGATCAGCTTGAGTATGACAATGTCCTTGGTGGCACGTATGGTGGGCAGGTAGATCTCGTCCAGCACATAGCCCACATACAGGCTCTTCTCCTCGTTGTTGTAAACATCTCGCTGCCAGAAACTGGCGGCGGGAAAGCAGAGCGTAAAGTTGGCCAGGCTGAGGACCCGACAAACTGCTGACAGGATCTGAACACACTCGTCGGTGGTTTTCTAAAACATAGGGTTAATATTTATATATAATTTATTTAAAATATTTATGTTGGTTTTTAATATATTTATATATAAAACTATAAAACTTTAAGTGAGAAATAAAAGCATTCTAATATTCAGGGATACTGGTTCGTTTTTAGTTTTTGGGTAACAACAATTAGTATTTATAGGCTTATATTATTTATCCGATTGATATGAAATTTTAGATGTGGTGGGTTAACAAGGAAAAGGTGTTCAAAATCTCCAAAATAACCCATTAATTCTAATTTTAATCTCTTCTGAGGTAGGTCATCAATTTCCATACTCACCTTAAGCTTGTCTATGTTGGCATTGACCTCGGCGATGAGCTTGGTCCGCAGGGCAACACAAACTAGCATCAGTATATCGCTCAGGTCGGCAGTGAGTTTCGGCAGTTGAAAGGTAATGAAGACATTAAGGCACAGCTTGACATCGTGCTCCAAAATCTGGAAGAAGCGGTCCATTTTCCATTCGCAGCACAAGAGTTTCGCTTGCTCGGTGACCCAGAGACGCATTGAATGCACAGAATGGTCTAGAAATTGGCCACTAAAATAATAATCAATCTCATATATTAAACCCATTCCGAACTTACCTAGTCTGTGAAGTATGGGAATCTGTTCAGCCACTGGCAGCAGACTGGAGTTATTGTGGGCCTCCAGATTGGAGAAATATTGGTTACTCAAATTAACTAAGTTGGCAAAAATACTGATCCAAACGGTGCCGGTTGGGGTGCCAAATTCCTAAGAAAAAATAGGATTTTAAATGTTTCTAGATTAATTTTATCCACATTACATTCTTGGGGCAATCGCGATACTGTTCCGCTACCACATCTACCAATCGATTGGTATCGTTCGATGAAATGAGAGTAAGTCGGAAGAGCTGATCCCAAATGTTGTTGCACACAAATCCTGTAAGGATCTCCCCAATACCACGTAGTGTAGAGTAAACGGGTTCAGGTATATCTATAAAATAAAATAAAATGTTTTACGGAAGATACCCATTTAGAGATATATTCATACAGATAGATACTCACCATTCACACTTTGATGATAGAGCCAGCTGCGAATGGAATCTATGTGGGTGAGGCGATAGCAGGAAACAGGATTATCTATCCACCAGAGCAGAATGTGATCCAAAATAATGCCCACATATGACCAGAGCAGGCGCAAACCTTTGACAATATAAACATTCATGTCCACTGGACCTTTTTTGCCATTGTCTAGAGGATAGAAGACATTAGAACTGTTTAGATAAGTTTAAGTTAATTAAAACATACCGAAAATGGTTGGACTTATTTCCGTAGCCTTGGCTATCAACTGGGCTATGAAGACCCGCTCCTTCTGCAGGAAACTCTCCGTGTGCTTGGAGCGCAGGCTCTGGTGATCGTGATCCTGCACCTGGAGACTCGCATCCGCCATCTGCATCTGCATGGACTTGTAGTCCTGGGCGGTGTCGCAATACGGCTGGTAATCGCCGGCGGCAAAGGATATATTTAGGGTGCGCAGGATCTCCAGACTGGAGGATGTGGACTCTAGGTTCTGCTGCTCCCGCCAGGCATCCTGCTCTCCCATATTAAAGAGGCCGAAAACCAGATCCAAAGCATTCTGCTCCACTCGAGTCTGGGCCACAAGCTATTTGATATGAATTGGTTACAGTGCAATTTAGAGCGGGTTAAAATGACTCTGACCTGCAAAACGTAGCTAAAATCAATGGACTTGAGCGCCAGGAGTAGAGCAGGATACATGTTGCTGCAGACATTGGCAGGCATCTCCTCCTTCCTTTTTCCTCCCAGCTTGGGCTCCTCCTCCGGCTCTTCTTCACCTGGCTGTGGATCCACCTCAATTGGAGCCAAAGGCTTCTCCACTTTTCGACACTTGTTGTACAGCTGGGTTATGTGCAGAGCCCAATTAAGCCACATCTCCGATTGCATGGACTTGCGGAGTAGGAAGCTTAGCTGGAAGAGATTATAATCATTCTTGGTCTAGGATTAGAAAACCCTGTACCCACCGTTCGCTTAAGCACAAAGGTGAGCTGGCAAAACCTTCGGTCATTAACGTCCATAATCAAGTGGAACTTCTTCATTAGCAGCTGGTTATAGGGACTCCTCTTGATCTTCTTGGACAGCGACTGAAAGTCGGCATTCTTGGTCTCGTCCTTGAGATTCCAGTACTGCTCCACCACCCTCTCGCACTCCTCCAATATGGTGTCCTAGGAAGGGGACGCCTTTAACTACCATTTCTGATTAATAGGTGAACCACTTACATGTTCACTGAATATCGCCGAGTTAACATCGATCACTATCCGCTTGGTAATCCGACGCAGCTCCAGGCCCAATTTGCCAATTTCCGCGAACGTGTGCATCGGCTGGGATTTGTTGCGGCAGTACCACTTCGGGGTGGTGCTCATTTTCGGTGGGGCCTGTCCGCCGGCGGCGGAACGACGGCTACCCCCTGCTCCCTGGCTCCCTACTAACCCAACCTGGTACTAGACAAATCGCTTTTTAATTATTGTGTCTCCCAGGCACGCATCCGCACATCCGTCGACCCGCGTCTTCCCTGATTCCAAAGCCTGGCGAATGCAAATTTTCCAAATGTTGGATCGATGCCAGGTCTCGTGACCCCCGCAGCCAGGCAACGCACGCATCTGACAGCGGGTGGAACCCTGGAAAGAGCAGCGGATGTACATGTACCCATTTTAGGGGGTGCCACCCATGTGAGCCCATTGAACATCATCGACAGACACGCATTCGTCAGGCTGCCCTTATGCAAATGAGTTATGGGGTCGGCTCTGGGAACCCCAAATTAAATGCTTGTCTAGCGATGTCATAACTTGACAAGTTTCAGTAGCCAGCGAGGCCTCGTTATATGTTAACTTGCCAGTATACGGAGGAAGTAAGATAATTACTTTGGTAAAGTAAAGCTAAAAAAACTTTCAGTAAAGTTCATAAAAACTGGAATATCGTAAAGAAATTTATACAAAGTTAACTGACAAAAGGTTTTTGGAAAATGGTATATAACACATTATTTTCTCACACAAGAACGCTAGTCGATTCGGAGGACCCATTGTGAACTACACTAGATTGAAAAACATATGGTCTATCTATCTTTTAGCTTTCCTGAAAAATGACTCGTATTTTCTCTTCTGTGCCTTGAAACTCAATTTAGATTAAGTCTCCTCCAGAAGTGTGTTCTGCACTTCAAAAATGATTTAACTATTTTTTAATTTTATGCCCTCCTGAAATGTATATAAATAATTTATATTAATTTTGTAGAGATTCCAAATTAATAATTATTTTACTATGTAATTACATTATAGACCAAAAAATTTATTTTAAAACAGCGTTAAATATGTTATATAAATTTTTAAAAACAAAACCGGACAATTTTGGCACATTACTCTGATAAAGCTAAACGCGACTGTCTTCAACCAGGGACGTAGCATTGGCGATGCCCAGGACATCTGCCGAAGTCGGGGGCCTATCATCTTTGGTGTTGTAAAGGAAACCCTTGGCTATCCAGGATGACACAAGCAGAAGGATGATGAACACATGGGTCACGAGGAGATGGTCCAACGATTCGCGCACCTCCTGCCAGGAACCTCTGTTGTTAACAAAGTAGCAGAAGTACAGGCTCATGGTGTCGTTCATCAGGAACAAGCAGATGAAGATTGACCGGGTATTCTTGCGGCCAAAGGATATCAAAGCGTATATGCTTGACATAACGATAATTGATGGAATAAATATCTTCAGCAGAATAAAGGCGGCAATCAGATGAAGGGAGAATTGAGGGAAGAACAGTCGCGTAGTAATGGGTTTGAACGTAAAGTTGAAGAACCAATGTCCGGTTCCAAAGAACGATACGTAGAAGTACAGTAGAATGAGGGCCGCATAGCGATACGATAGCCTTAGGTGCTTCAGCGGACTCATGGGTCTCTCATTTTGGAGCTCCTCCAGTTCGTAATCTTCTTCATCACTATCCTGATCCATACGTTGATCTTTAACGTCCCATGATATGTTGTTCTCTTCGTAAAGTTCAAGGCCCAATACAAACTCAGTGACCATGATCTGGACAAAGAGCGAGGCCATCGATATGGTCAGCATTAAATGTACAGTGAGCATATTGAACATGATCAACTCCAGACGACCCTTCAGTTCCTCTGCTCCACTATAAGGGATCGAGAGGAAGGCGAAGGCGAGATACGACCAACAGGCAGCATAAACATAGGTGCACACGGGCTGATTCGAGTCCCACTGGTAGATTCCATATGCTGTAGCCAGTAGCGCTGCAATATTGATGATCCAAACACGTTTGTCATGACGATGCCTCAGGATCAGAGGACGAATCACCGATAGCACCATGCTGAAGTAAACCACATGGCTTTTACCTACATAAACGCTTATGACTTTGGGGATAAAGTCCAAACTTGAATTCTGTTTCACCACCAGGATTCCACTCAGCAAGATTACCAGGCAAAGCCAGAAAAATAACCTCTTGGTGGGGTTGAGAAAGGCCCGACGATTGTTAAGGCACACCATCAGAAGGTAGAGCAGTCCAATGTGACTGTTATGGAAGGCCATTAAGATCAGGAGGCCCGCGGGCAAAACGATCTTGGATAGATGAACAGCTGGGAAGCGGCACAAAAGCCAGTTCCTTTTCAAGGGCCGCTCAGCCAGGGCCAGAGTAAGGATTCCAAAGGGCAGCAGCAGATAGAAGGCCGTCAGGTATGGAATCCTCTGCAGTATCATTAGCTCTAAGAGTATCAGTCCTCCCAATGCCATCAACAACGTGGTCCAAGTCAGGAATCCTCTGCGCTCTGATCTCGGGTGGTACGACTCCCGAGTGAGTTGCACCAGCAGAAGGTAGAACCACACCAAATAGGAGGCGGTGGTGGCCACCAGCAGAGGTCCGTGATAGTAGCTGTGATAGTATTCCAAACAATTTTGCGCCACCTTAGCTATCTTCTGACTTATCTTCAGCGCCTCCTCGAAATATCCCTGGCTCACCAGATATTTTACTCTTTGCGGATACTGATCAATCTCTGCCGAATCCAGACTCTCAAATTTCGGCAGCAACAGATACAGAATGCCGTTCTCATGACGCTTTATCAGAACCGAAGCCTGGGCCAGCAACTGCATGGCATTCAGGTGCATAACCTGGAGCTCATATTCAGCACTGGCATTCAGGAATCCCAGGGGCAGTAGGGCAACATTATTCATGGGCGGTGGCAGGCCAATCAAAGCGGACATCAGCGGCGCGAATTGTGTCTGTTCCAAGTGGTACAAGGGCAGAGTTAGTCCATCATTATTCACAGTGAAATTCTGGCCAGGATCGGGAGCCTTGCGATTGACACCGGCTCCCCAGAGAATGAAGGGCGTCTCTACCTCGCGCTCTCCCCCACCGCCATGCTGGCCTAAAATATAAGGTTTTGTAAGTAATGATGAACTCCTAGATTACTCCACGACTTAACACACCTTCATCATTCATGCCATGATCTGCTGTCATTAGATAAACGGTACGGCTGTCGTTGAAAACGCTTTCGAAGAGATCAAAGGTCTGCCGGATTCCCCTTTGGGTGAAGTGCAGCTTTTCCTTGAAATTGGAGCCGTAGGGCATGAATGCGTGGCCCGCAAGATCAATATCGGCTAGATAGATGAAAAACACCACAGAGGTGGTGTTGCGCAATGGCCGCACATTCTCCTCCTTAGTCAGAAAGCTCCGTACCTTTCCAAATACCCACTCGTCCAACTTAAGTCTTCCCGAAATGTCCGACCTGGAGAACGTTTCAAAGCGCAATGGTGCACCGCCGGTGGGCAAGTGGGTGAACACTTTGGCAACCACATCCTGGGTCCAGCCTATAGCGTTCCGGCTGCGATTGAAGACAGTGTCGAAGGTCGACGGATTCCAACCAAAGTTGGTGAGGGCTGCAGTGGGATCTTCATTGAATCCGCCGAAGATGGCGATATGACCCGGGCGGGTCACCGTTGGTGGACAAACGCGCGAGATGCCCACAAGTCCCTGATTAACGAACAGCTCACGAAGATCCGGAACAGCACTGCAGTTATCCGCCAAAACAGACTCTGCTCTCAGGCCATCGACAACAAAGACCACTAGTCGATCAGCCGGCGGTTCCAGGCCCAAATCACGAACTGTACTTAACGGCTCCAGATCCGACAATATGGTGGATTGAAAGTAGATACTCAGGATGGAGCCGAGCAGCAAGAGATGCACCACCAAGGCCTGAACACTCCACATATTTTCAATAAAACTGATATGTAAACTATTCAAAAAATATAAATATATACAAGGTAATTATTTGAATAAAATTTCAAGGGTTGTCTTAAATCCTGAGCTTCAAAATAAGCTCATTCAAAGGCAACTAGTTGGAAAAATTAAACAGGGACAGATATTTCAATATATCCGGCAAGTTTATTGATGTAATTAAAGATAGGTTTGATTTTATACGTTGCTGCTCTTCTTGAATAAACGAACTGTAAATATTCAACACACACAATCTGCTTGATTTCTTATTTATCATCTATACTTATTTTCTCCTCTGTACACATCAACATCTGGTTTTGTTTTGCTATCACATTGAATTGTTACATTTATAGTAGTAGTTGCTGCATGTTGCCTGCTTAAAATCTTTAAAACACGTTTTAAATTTCATCTGAAACATGTAGGTATACACGTAAATTAACAAGTGTATCCCATATCTGTAGCTATAGCTCTTTTTCTAAATGTGGACTGTGTACGTTTGTGGTTGGTTGGTTTGATTGTTGGTTGTGTTATGTGTTGTGTTCGAAGGGACAAAGGGGATGTAAGAAGCACACATTTTGTTTGTAAACACTCGCTGAACTTTAAGTGAATCAACTTTGTCGTCATCAAAGCGCTTTTCCTGTTTGTTTTTGTTTTTACAAAATTAGACTTAAAATTGCTTGCGCTTGTCGTAACTACACATTAATTTAGTGGTTGTTGCTTAGTTCCTTGTTCTCTCTCGTTTTATCTCTCGCCAGTGTCCTTTTTTGTTTGTTTTTGTTTAGCTTTTTTGAGTTCTCGAAATACATAATACATTTAAAATATATAGAAATAATATTTGTATACATATAGGTATATATCTGCTCCATCTGTTCACGTATAATAAAATATATGTATAATGTATATATATTGTATATATATAGATCTGTATGCACTATGCCTAACCACGCCTATCCACTTTTTGCTTAATCCTCGGTAGTAGTTTCTGTAGTAGTAGTAGTATTTGTATCCTGCAGCTCTTCGAGAGTTGGAATATCGTCTTGTAGTTTTAGCACTTGTAACCTTGGGTTATAGTGCCCGGCTAAATAATATGTATCATTGTTATCGTATATGGATTGATATTGCTTCGAATCGGCACCGAACTTGTCGAAGTAACTGCCAAAATGCAGCACCTCACACCGATGCGAAATGGTCTGCACATCGTTTTCATCCTCGTGCGGCGATTCAAATAGAGCACCCTATTTTAAATAAATGAATCAAGTAAATAAGCTGGCATTTCTACAGTGATATCAGGGCCTGACTTACCGGAAATTTCAACTTTGGACAGCCGGTCGTCTCCTCCGGATGATAGAACCACGCCACTCGCACTACCTTGTTACCCGTGGTCGTTTCCCACATGGCCTCGATGCGCCCGATGTAGGGTCGATCTGGTCTGCCCGTCGATAGAAATACTGCACTGTCCCCGACCTATAATCCGGAAGTAAACCAAAATTAGTATTGTACCTTACGGAAATATGAACGAGTGCACGCTCACCGTGATAGTCTCCTTTCCCCTTTTGATTGTTTTGTAAAATTGCTTTCTGGCGCGTCCCTTGACGCCCGCCTTGCGATAGGCGGTACCATACCAACCCCAGAGCTGCCGTTCTGGCAGGAAGGCAGCTATCTTGCTGCTTCCCTTGGAGTTGTTATGCTCGACCAGATCGTCGCCCTTGGCCTGCGAGTAGAAAATGGGATTATTTCAACCCTTCAATTAAAATAACCCTTCGCATTGCAAGCTAATATAATTGTTTTCATATCAAACATTTTGATTTTCTAATAAAAATATTAGCTAAGCCATATACAAAAACAAAACAATAAACAATAGAATTAACCGAAAAGTCGTTAGTAATTAGCATTATATAATTTTAAAGAGTTCATGTTTAAATAAATAAAAGGGATGGTAAATATATTATGGCCTCTTTTGTAATTGAAATGCTTTGAATGGAAAGGTAATTATAAAACAACTTCGATTTCAAATTGAAAATACCAATACGGGATTTTTAATTTTTAGTAACATACCTCATCGGATATCTCTGACATAAGATTGGATGCGGTCTCCTCTTCCATGTCCAACTGCTCTGTCTTCACTTTGACCTCCACCTTAACGCGATTAACAATTGGCGTTGGTGCTGATGCCATATCTGTTGGCGGAGCCTCTGTTGCTTCCTGCGCTGCCGCAGAGTAGTCCTGCTGAACTACCTGTTGCTCCGGCTCTTCACTGCCATTTTTGCGGTGGTGTTTCTTGTGCTTCTTGCGTTTCTTGTGCTTGTGGTGCTTGCGAGCTGCATCCTCTGCACTGACACCTTCGCCGGACGCCGTAGGATCTGCCCCACCGTTGGTAGCCGTTGCCGCATTGACGCCATTCTGAGCCTTGGACATCTTCTTGAGGCTCTTCTTCAGGCGCTTTTTCTCACTGCGCTGCGTGAAGAGCTCCATGGTGGCGGCCAGCGAAGTGGTGTTATCGCTACTCATCCCCAAGCTGTGGTGGCTGTGCGAGTCCTCGCCGCCGGGCACGCTTAAATGGTCCTGAGAGATTCCTCCGGGGCCATTTTCACCCCCGCGCAGAGCGCTTCGCTTCTGCTTGCCTACTGAGTAGAGGGGATTATCGTTGTACTCTGTAGCAAGGGTTGGATGGGAAGGATGGGCAGGAAGAACGAAAACAACAAAGAAGTAAATAATGGGGCACGCACACAAGAAACTATAGATAGGATAGAGGTCTGGATAAATAAACTGCCATGGCCGTACGCAAAGATCATGCCGGGCTACAGTTTTACACCCACGAAAGTGCGAAAAAAAACACACACCTGCTATCGGATAATCGCTGAGCAACAGACGGATGTTTTGCAAGCGGATCCTGCCACTGTCCCCATCGTCGAACTCCACGCTTACAAAGTCCGGCGTTGATGTGGCCGAATTCGTTGCACTGCTAACCGCTCCATCCTGGACTTGCTCGGAATCGATGGCCCGCCCAGGATAGAGGCATCTATACTGCTGGCTCCAATAGGCACACAGTCGCGTACCCACGGGCACACTCTCCACGCTCTTCGGCGCCACCTCGAGGATCTAGAATCATTAGTTGAATCAGTAAAGATGAAAGAGGGTAAGAAATGACGATCCTCTCACCGTATCCTTGAGTATATCCTCGCGTGACATAACATGCGACTTGTTGCCGCGTTCCCCGTCCAGTGTTATTGAGTATACATCCGGCGGACGCAAGGGCTTCATCACTCCCGCGTAGAAGAGCCCTCCCATGTCGGTAAGGACGCGGGTCTCCTCGCGATAAAGGTGTTCGCTGGTCAGCTGCAGCTCGCGGTCAATGCCACTGACACGTCGCTTGGCTTCCGTGGCCGTTGCCTGATCTCCGGCGGCGCCACTAGCTTTCGCCTTCATCTTCCGCTGCTTCCGCACCGCAGAAGCCGCCTGCTTGGTGGAAGGTGAGCAAGAGGCGGAGGTCACAGAGGTAGTTGGGGCAATAGCAACGGCCGCATCCAGTGCACTCGGCTCCAGGCGGACGAACGACGAGGTACTCGGTGAACTGCTGCTTGGCAAGGGAATTTGCTCCGGTTGTGGATGCTGCAAGGACGGCGGTGGGGGAAACGAGTGCGTCTTGTCCGGGAATCGCAAGAAACTGGACGCCTGAAGGTTACTGCTCGAAAACTTTGGGAACTTGTAGTCGCGCAATGGGGATGATGTCCTAAAATGCAAACTTTACTTTAGGTTTGTGTACACAAGAGCTAAAGATAATTCCACTTACCCCAGGACACTGGAAAGCGTCATCTGTGGCTGTTGCAGGGCTGGTGGTGGCTGAACCACCTGCTGGACTGCCTGCTGTTGTTGCAGTTGAAGCTGTTGCTTGGAGCACTTCTTCTTCTTCTTGTGCTTGGAAATCTCGTCGAGCTTCCGCTTCTTTTTGCGATACTGCCGCGTGACGTCCGCTAGCCTCATCCGCATGCTGTTGTCCATAATGCTGAACACCTCCTGACCAAAGCGCTGCGCGTAGCTGGGATCCATAGCGTGTAGGGCATTGCGCAGCTCCGACTGCAGCTGCTCGTCCTGCAGATCCACGTCCTCCTCCGCCGGTGTACTCAACTGCTGGCGACTGCTGCTGTGGCGCCGCTTCTTCTTGCTCTTCTTGCTGCAACGCGCCGACTTGCGGCTATCGCTGCCTGAGGACTTGGAATGTTTGTGCTTCTTGCGCTTCACGGGAGTCAGCTCGGCCACGGCACCAGCCGACGTGGACGGCAGCTCGATGCCCTGCATCGAGGGAAAACTGGGCGAGCTTAATGGCATCTGAAAGGAGGAGGAGGAGGAGGGGAATGCGGAGCCCTGCGATTGCCCAAAGGCAAAGCAGGACTTGGCCTCGAAGACTGGCGGCGTCGTCGCTGTCGTCCCCAGATTCTGCGGAGTCGGCGTGGGCGTTCTCGAGGAGGGCGTGGCAAAGAGACTGCTGCCCTGCACCACCTCCTCCTGAATGCGTTGCTCGGCCAAGGCGCACAGCAGCTTAAGACCTCCCAGAGGTTCCGACACGGGCGTGGGCTCCATTTCCAGCATGGGCGGCGTAGGCTCTGGGGGCATCAGGTGCACAGGTTGCGGCGGTGGTGGCTGCTCCACGTGCTCCACCGGCTCCTGCTTTACTCGCACCAGCGGCTTGCTATTGGTGCTTATGTTCGAGAGCAGCTCCAGACCGGTCAGGTCCTCGGGGGCTGCCTGATCGGCCTGCGTGGCTTGGGTCATCATTTCTACGGGTTCCGGGGGAGTCTGCTCCGCCGACTCCTCCTGGCTGGCACTGGGTATGTCACTGGGTTCGGTCTGGGTATGGCACTCGGTCGGCTGGGTATGGCTGGCTTCACTGGGCTTGATAAGTTCCAGCGGCTGGATAAGGGAGGGTGGCCCAAAGGTTTCAATTGTTGGCTCTTGAGGCTTCGCTGGACCCGGGAAACTCTCGTCCTCGCTGCACACTGGCGTGTCCGTCTGAATGTTGACGTCCTGCATCTGCGGCAAAAGCTGAGTTGCTCCCGACACGGAAATCTCCGCCAGGCGAGGTGGGGTCTGCGGCGTCAGCGGTGCATGCAGTTTGTAGTTCAGCGCCCCTTCATCACAAACCGCCGGCAGGGGCGTGCCCGCTGTGAGCTCTCCACCGTTGCCATGCATCGAAAGGTTGAGCAATGCCGGCGTGGACGTAGTCATGGCACCCGGCTGGAAGAGATGGTGGGGCGTTGCATGGCCCAGGGAAGACGGCTCCATGGTGGCGGAGGTGGGCGGCGTGGGCAGGCGCATCAGATTCAGGGCCTGCTCCTTGTCGCGCGCCGCCTCCAGTGGCACAAGAGGCGGCAGGGACAAGGGCATCGAGTACTCTTCCTTCATGCCCGGCGGCGGCAGGGAAAGGAGTGATGGCATCCCAGGCTGCCCAGTGGCCAGGCTGAGGAAGCGGGAGCTACTTGCACTGAGACTGCTGCTGGAACTCAAGCTGCTGACTGCATTCCCGCTCGGCGTGACTCCCGGACCGGCGGCCAGACTCAGATTGATGGTGGAATTGGTGGTGGTGGTGCTGGTTTGCTGATTGCTGTGCTGGCACATCGTCGAGCTGCCCGACGCCGTGGCCGCGGCGGCCAAATACAGCTGCAGGGGGGAGGCGTACGATGGGGTGGAGCTCAACGCCTGATGGCCGCCCATCGAGGGGAAGATGAAGTTGGGCAAGCTGGACAAATTGGGCGACGGCTGCAGCGAGGCAGCTGCAGCTGCGGCGGCGGCGGCAGCGGAGTGACCACCAGGTGCCGGCGCCTGGGGGATGTAGGCCGAGGGCCAGACAAAGGCCGCCGCAGCCGCTGCCTGCTGGAACGGATCTGTGGGCGTTAAGAGGGGAAAATTTGATATGCCTGCTGTGCATGGGCGTGGTAGCGATTCAGTTTAGTCGGAGGTTCGGGTTCGGGTTTGGAGTTGGAGATGTTGGAGTTGTCGGAGTTTTTGGGCAGTGGGAAGAGGGGAGAGAAGCGCAGTTTAAAAGCATGAATTAGTTTTGTTTTGGCGAATCGAGTTTCGAAATCAAATTAACCTAGGACACCTAGGAGGGTGCTGGCATGCGGAGTGCGTATGAGGATCCTCGGGCTGACTTACCGAGCGCTGTTGGGCCGGCCGGCAGCAGCACCACCTGTCCGCGGCTGGCCTCCCGCGAGTACTGCAGGCCCACCGTGGCGGGCGACATGGAAATCACTGATTCAATGGGTAATGCATCTACAAAACGCAACGGAAAAGAGAGAACCAAAATAGAGAGGGGGAGTCAGAGTGTGACGGAGAGCTCTGGTTGATTTATTTTCCTCTCGGGGATCTAGTGGCATGCTTTGGGGCGGGAAAACTCACTTGGATACTGCCAGAAGGTCGAGGGAGCCCGGCTCACACCTGCTGCACTTAGAGCCAGTTCCTCGGCGGTGGCCGTGCCGGTGGTCATCAGGTCGCCGTTGCCCGTAAAGTACAGATTGCCGCAACTGGTGGCACCTAAAATAACCAAACAAAGGAATTCTCTAATTTTTTGGCGCTTAAAAGTGACTTAAATAATTAAATTCTTTGCTACGAACTGCCAACCTCTCCGCTCGACGTTCGTTTGTTTAATAGACTTTCGGGCCTGCCGTGTAACTCTTGTTGTAAACGAAGATGTGTATGTATACGTGAAATATTGCAGTGTCCTTGAACTATGCATTTGGTGACCGTGTGCGCCCGCCCGCCCACTAACCACCCACCTTTCACACATCAGAATCCCAACCGAAATAACCCACCCCCGAAGCTGCGGCTGGATAATTTTACAAAAATTCGATTAAACCGAACGTGATGCGTTGTAATTGCATTACATTAAGGGATCGGTATTGGGAAAACCCACCACTCTAGAAAACGACATGAATGACAAGAATTCAAGTATGTCCCATCTCCGAATCGCAATTAGACCAACATCTTTTGACAAGTGATTTGTTTCGGGCTGCGGAACTACCCAGCAAACGTTTATAAATAGCCTGTGACTTGGCACAGCCAAAAAGGAAGGGAAAACAAAAAAAAATAATAACAACTAAACTCATGGCAAGGCGACTTTGCCATATGGTCGTGTACCCAATCCATTCCAGCGTGTCATGTTGCTAGGTCCTGTCCTGTTCACGGTTGTGGAGGACGACTCATCCCGGTTGAGGTCCCAGTTTCACTTTTCCCGTATCCCGTTACCCATCCCTCCTGAAACCAGTCGAGCATTGAGCATCAAGCTCGAGCATCCCTTGTGGCTGCTGCCCTCCTTGTCCTGGTTACCATCGCCCACCGGATTCCTCACTACTTCTAAGCACCGCCTCCCCCGAGCAACAGCCACCGCTAACTTGTCTGAAAAAACACCCACCCGTGCACCGTCCATGAGTAATCTGTCTTTAGATTCTCGCTGTGATGTGCCTCCTCCTCCGCATCATCCTCATCCTCCCATCCACACTGCTGGAGCTTCAGCTTCGGTGGAGCGTGATAACGAAGCCGAAGCCCCCGATGCCCTGCTCTCTGTCGAACCATGAGTAATCCGCCAACTTTTGACAACTTTTTAAAGGTTTTTTAGGAATTGAAAAGAACCAGAGCCTGGCTGGTAGGTTTCGCAAGACCACACAAATCTAAAATGTATCAACAAAACTTTTTCGTTGTTTTATATATAACAAAAAACCCCAATCACCACTTTGTTTTTTTTCAGTCAAGTTTCATTTATGCTTCAAGCTTTTGTGATAATTTGTTACTGAATAATTTCCTAGATAAGAATTAATACTTTTAGATATAAAAAAAAACCCCGAAAGCAATAAGTGCTTTTGCTTTCCATTTTCATAACGGGTTTGATCGTATAATCTTGAATTTATGAAAATAAAAAGTTGTTTCTATTGTTTTGTGTGTTTTCGGTGAATTTTTTTCTAAATGTCTGATACTACTTAAAGGGTTTGATTTTTAAAATGTATTGTAATGTTGTAAATAAAATATTTCGGCAAAAATGTACATTTATCTTGAAGCAGTACTTCAGTATTGAGATAAAAGTATCAAGTGTCGACGTCTTTGCATTTTTTAAAGCTCCATACATGAACATTGGGGGATGTTCTTTTTATTTTGTAATATTTATGTTTTCTTATCTACACACCCTATAATATTTTACTCGCTATAAAAACATATCACTTCAATCCGAATTATGATTAAAAGAAAAATTCAATCTCGATGGATTTTCTTTACGCATCGAGCTGATTGCAAATATAACACATCTGTTAATATTCAGTGAATGATCTGAATGGAAAGCCCTCAACCAAAGGCGCTAGTTTTCTTTTGAAAAGATCGTTGAATAATCAAGTTCAAAGTTACGGCTGATTATTGCACCATTAGCAAGCTTCACATATAATCCAGAAAATAGAATTTGACTGGGTTTAACGACAACACACCCCCGAGTACCAAAACATATTTAATGTGCCCATCTGAATCTGAAGAGCAGTTCGAAGTCGACCAAAGGCAAAGTCAAAGCCTCCCTTCTAGAATCGCAATGTGTTTCACTTTCGTTTTGTTTCCGCTTTAGAAGTTCGTATGATTTACCACCGGTTTCCTTGTGCCCGCAAGGGAGGCAGAAGGGAAGTGTGGTCCCGAGTCGATTCGAGTCGATTCGGTGGCTGTCACAACAACGACAGCCGCACAACAGGCGGCCATCATATGATTCCTGCCCTCTCAACTCTGACGGGGTGTTTACGGCGGACAGGAGGCGACACCCTCAGCTTTCACTCACTGAAGGAATTCCTCACAACGTTCAACGTTTGCTGGCAATCTTATTAGTGGCATAATTGAACGACGTCCACGTCCTGGCATTATAAGCATCATATAGCCTTTGCCCCTTGGGAACGCGAACGCGACGTTCATTAGGGCCGCTCAAATCTGGTCCCTCAATTGAATTAGATGTCCAAAGCGTACACAGAGGGAAATTAGAAATGAAATGAAGATTCCTTAGAGGATTTTACATATCTCTTTAAAAGAGATATTTAAAAATAGCATGGTAATTGACTGATTTTACTAACTATGATTTTATAGCATATATTAAAATAACAAATTTCTTAAGATGTTTAAATTATTTTTCATTAAATTATATCAGCTATAAAAATAATGTGAGTCATTTAAATGAGGAAGATTAGTATAAATCTTTGCAATCCTATCTTTTTGTATATGTGAAGTCTTTCCAGAGTTTTCTGACATACCGATGTAAGACTTTCTACTAAAATATTTCAGAGACATAATTTTCTCTGTGTAGTTTGGCACTCACCGAGGTCAGCGACGCGTATGCCGAAGCAGTTCATGTCCTTGTTGAGTGGTGGCTGCAGGGGCAGCGTGGCGGGTGTGTTTAGAGCCGGCACCAGGGCTTCCTGCGGCCGTTTCCTGGCTACGGCGATGCCAATGGGCACGGAGTTGCCTGGTGGAATAGGGACTGGCTGGTGAGAAGCTTGCTTGACCGTTGACTGGCCAACACTTACCTGAAGACTTTTCCAGTTCTGATACCTTTGGCGAGGGCGCCTCTATTTTCACCAGCGTGGTCAGAGTGGAGGAGGACATGGTCTTGGAAGAGGCGGTCATCGAGGCGGAGGACATGCCCTGATGCTGCACCTGCTGCTGTTGCTGCTGGTGATGCTGCTGCTGCTGCTGCTGTTGTTGGTGGCAATTGTTGGAGCTGATCTCGGACACCTGACACGGCTCCCGCTTGATCTGCACAAAGGTGTACGACGAGGAGTTGGTCTGCTGGTGGTGATGGTGTTGCAGGGGCGCCGAGTAGCTCCCGAACTGGTCCAACTGCAGCTGGGCAGGATGGGCGGTAACGGCGGGATGCGATACTGCCGACGAAGTGGGCACCAAAAATGTGGCCGTCGCTGTGGTGGCGCTGAGGACATCGGCGGCACTACTGCTGGCGCCGGGATTGAAGGCGGCCATCTAGATCTTATAGCTATATCTATATAGCGCTATATATTACACGGATATGGCCACGACTAAAACTAAACGTCCATTATCCGCACACACACACACACACGCACACTACACACTGACACTCACACACACAGTCTACATTTTTACAGGTTTTCGCTGCCTCTTTTTTTGGATGCAACATTGGCTACTGGGCCTGCGGCGATTCCCCGTAAACAAATGACATAATCCAAAGCGACGCGACGCCACTGGGCACTCTCTATCAGGTCGGAGAATCCGCAGCACCCACTAATCGAGTCCCAAAATAAAAGCCCTCCGCGATCTTAGATCTTTTTCTTTTTTTTTTGGGAGGCGGAGTCGTCGCAGGTGGAGAGGGCGCAGGCAAAGACGGCGGAGGCGCGACTTTCCCGATGCGTTGTTGCGTTTTTTCGCGGATTCCTTAACGATATATCACGCACAGGCTAAAAGGCTATTGACCAACGCGCGATCTGTTGCCTTATTTGTGATTTTCTTTTGCGAATTGGAATCAAAATTAGAGGTGCAGCAACATCGATTTAAACATCGATGCATCGATGTTTTTTCAATTTTCCAAAACATCGATTTCAAATTTTGATTATCGATTTTTCTGGGGCCATCACTGTTCAAAGAAAAGGGAGAACGGATAACTCGCTAATTGTTTGTAATTTGTTACATTATCCCTTTTTAAGAGTGCCGATTGATTGAAAGCATTTTACATACTAAAAAGGCTCTCTTTATTGCATTGCTGGGAACTGCAAAAGCTCCTGCACCATTCTCTGCGGATGAAATCGATATATTGGACCTTTGGAACTTTGTTCCTTACTTCGTCCGTTTGAGAAAGCGACTAAATTAATATCAGGCGGAAAGTACCCAACTATGTCGCTCGCTATTCTGATGGCGGGACAAATCATTTCTAATCGCCGTATCCAATTGAAGGAAAGGGTAGTTAATCAGCTCATGTATATAACAAAAATTATGATAGCATTAATAAGTCTTACTAGTTTGTAATACCGATATCATGATCATCGTTTTGGATTTTCTGCTGACTGAATAAATGTTTTGATTTCTATTTTTAATATAAATTCTATTGCGAATTTTAAATTATAGTTATATTACATTTGTATAGAGAACATCGTTGAAATATCGATATTTCATCGATAACATCGAGGTCTGCATACCTCGATGTTTCTGCACCTCTAATCACTCAAAAAATTCCGAAATATCTTAAATGTTTTAAAAATATATGTTTTGTTATTATAATAATACTGAGACAACTGTACCTTCTAAGCCACTTTACTCCAAAAAAACAATGGAACACTTAATAACATTTGAATAGCAATGATTAGGTTTAGGTTTATTTAAGATATTTAAGAATCGTACGACTGTCTGTCATTCAGCGTTAGGCAATATTCTTACGTCGCGATTGCCTTAACGTAGTTTGGTTATCGATAAAAAAAAGAAACGGTCATTTAAAAGAATAAAAATAATCTTTAATATTAAAATTGGGTATTACTTGTAACATTTTTTAGAAAACTAAATAATTATATTCATCTCACAGATGAAGTGTCAAACTTTATTTCCCATCACACAATAACAAAAAACGTTCGGTAAAAAATGCACATGGAATATAGAAGTTAACAAATGCAAATACTAATCCAGCATTTTGCGGATCATGTAGTTTAGAATGCCACCGTTCTTGTAATAGGTAATGTCCACTTCGGTGTCGAAGCGCAGCGTGGTCTCGAAGACATTGCCATCGGCCTCGACCTGGATCCTCTGGCCCGGCTTTAGTTCGTCCTCGGGCAGGGCAATGTTGAACACCTCCCTACCACTCAGATTCAGGGATTCGGCACTCTGATCCGGCAGGAATTGCAGCGGGATGATGCCCATGCCCACCAGATTGGAGCGGTGAATGCGCTCGTAGGACTCCGCAATCACCGCCTTGATGCCCAGCAAGAATGGACCCTTGGCGGCCCAATCCCGTGAGCTTCCACTGCCATAGTCCTTGCCCACGACCAGAACCAGAGGCGTTCCCTCGTCCCCATACCGTTCCGCTGCATCAAAGATATCCATCTCCTCGCCACTGGGCACGTGCAGGGTGTTGGGCCCGGTTTTGGAAGCCAACCGGTTGACAAGACGAATATTGGCGAAGGTTCCCCGCGCCATCACCGCATCATTGCCACGCCTTGAGCCATATGAGTTGAAATCGCGAGGCGTTAGACCGCGCTCCGACAAATAACGTGCCGCAGGAGATTTACGGGCAATGGATCCGGCTGGTGAGATATGGTCGGTGGTCACCGAGTCACCCAAAAGCAGCAAACAGCGGGCCTTCTCAATGCCTTTCAAACTGGGCAGCTCTCGGGTCATTCTCTCGAAGAAGGGTGGACGTTTGATGTAAGTCGATACTCCACTCCAGGGATACAACTTGCTATCGGACACCTCCAGTGTCTGCCAGTCCTTGGAGCCCAGCTGGATTTTGCCTGCGAAGGGAGTTAAAATTATGCCTAAGTATCGGTAAACTCTAGGCGGTAATACTCACTGTACACCTCCTGGAACATTGCCGGAATGACGTGCTTTTGCTCCACTTCCTGAATCTCGCTACGCGTAGGCCATATATCGCGCAGGAACACATCCTTGCCGTTGACATCCACGCCCAGTGGCTCCGTCTCGAAGTCTATGTCCACACGTCCTGCGATGGCGTACGCTATCACCAGCAGTGGACTAGCCAAGTAATTGGCCCTGGTATTGGGATGGATGCGACCCTCGAAGTTGCGGTTCCCAGACAGGACGCCACAGCAGATCAGTCCATTCTTCTCAATGGTGTTAACCATGTTCTCATCCAGGGGACCCGAATTGCCGATACAGGTCATGCAACCGTATCCCACAATGTCGAATCCCAACTTCTCCAGGTACGGAATTACCCCCGACCCACGCAGATAGTAGGTAACCACGCCGGAACCGGGAGACAGTGAGGTCTTGATATAAGGCAGGATACTTAAGCCCTTTTCCACGGCTTTTTTTGCCAGCAGACCGGCGCCCAGCATCACCGAGGGATTCGAGGTGTTCGTGCAGGAAGTAATGGCCGCAATCACAACAGAGCCGTGACCTATCTTGTAGCTCTTGCCGTCGTCCCACTGGAACTCGCCACAGGCAGCCAGAGCACTTGGCGGCACGGCGAATCCCTTGAATCCCACAGGACTGGTAAGGCACGACCTAAAGTCTTCGCACATGCTGGACACGGAGACTCGATCGTGCGGCCTCTTGGGTCCCGAAACCGAGGTGACCACGGTGGATAGATCCAGGGTGACGGTCTGAAAGGTGAGTATAAAGTTTAGAAGTGAGTTTCCATCATAAAAACGCTAATATCACCAACCTCTGAATACTGGGGATCTTGATCCTCAAGGGAATAGTCGCGCAGCTGTCGAGTGGCCTTTAAATACTGGCGGATGATGTCGATCTTCTTCTCGGAGCGATCTGTCAACCAGAATCCATTTATAGACAAAATAATAGCTATTTAAATAGAATAAACCCACTGGTCTGCCGCATGTAATTCAGTGTGTTCTCATCGATGGGAAAGTAGCCCACAGTGGCTCCATATTCCGGACACATGTTGCTGATGGTGGCGCGATCCGCAATGCTCAACTCAGCCACTCCGGGCCCGTAGAACTCCACGAATTTGCCCACGACGCCCAGCTGCCGCAGGTGCTTGGTAATGGTCAGCACCAGATCGGTGGATGTGGCCAGAGGGCCCAGTTTCCCATCCAGCTTATAGCCAATCACCTCGGGCAGCAGCATGGAGATGGACTGGCCCAACATCACGGCCTCCGCCTCGATGCCACCAACGCCCCAGCCAAGCACTCCCAAGCCATTGATCATGGTTGTGTGCGAGTCCGTTCCCACGACGCTGTCCGGATACAGGATCTTAGAGCCATCCGCTGCTTCGGTTTCGAAGACGACGCGTGCCAGATACTCCAGATTAACCTGGTGAACAATGCCAGAGCCGGGTGGCACAATCAGCATATTGTCAAAGGCACGGGCTCCCCATTTGAGGAACGTGAAGCGCTCCTTGTTGCGCTGGAACTCCAGGGATTCGTTCTTGGTCAAAGCGTCCGAGGAGCGGACAAAATCCACCTGGACGGAGTGATCAATAACCAAATCGGCGGGACAGATGGGGTTGATCTTCTCCGGATTGCCGCCCAACTCGCGGACCGCATCCCGCATGGCAGCAAAATCAACAACGGCGGGGACACCAGTAAAGTCCTGAAATAAAAGAATCCCTTTAGCAGGAACGTGTAAGAATTACTTCCCGATCTCCACCTGCAATATGACGCGAGCTGGCTTGAATGAGACCTCCACATCGCTGGCTCCCTGCTTCAGCGATGGTGTCCAGCCCAGGATGCTCTGGACATCCTTCTCCAGCACATGGAAATTGTCACAGTTGCGCACCGCGGATTCCAGCAGAACGCGAATGGAAAAGGGCAGTAAATCTGTGGAGAGCCAAAATAATAAAAAAAGATAACAATAATAAAGATATGGATGACTATTTACCATATTTGTTGTCAATGGAGGGCAAATCAAAGTACTTGTAGACGCTGCCGTCCTGGGTGAATGATTCCTGGAACTGGGCAAAGGGATTGGCACCTGCAAGTGCCTAAGGATTAGCTCATGGATCAGTTTTTCCTTGTTAGATCTCACCGGAGCCGGACATGGTGGAGAAATTGGACAGAATTCCAAGCAATGTGAACTATAGATGGACCTGTGATGAACTTTTACAAAACAACACGAAATTCCAGTTCCAAAAAGCACGAGCACGATATTAAAAAGCGATCGAAAATGTATTTTCTAAATTTAATAAAATTTCTCAAACGAAATGTGGTTTGTTATATTAATTTTCGATTATTTCACTGATTAAAACAAAAAAAAAACTGAAAATCTTGAACTTGAACTCACGATAAATAGCTTGACACAACCCATCTCTAATTTGAAACTGGACTTTCAGTTATCGATAACTTGCCATCAAAACAAGCCGGTGCACTGTAAAAAATATCTTGTTCAATACTTTTGTGCCAAAATAAATGATTTTTTTATAATCAGAATTAATGTCTATTCAAAATTACTAACAAAAAATATTTATTTCTTTCTTGGCTAGCAGATGTTTTGTTTTGATACTCAAAGTTATTGTGAATTTACATCCCACTAAAATTTATTTTGTTTAATAAAATTTATGAATTCCGAGTTTAAAAATGTATTTACAATTCAGCTTCCTATATTCGTTAAAACATTTCATCCATATATCCATGCTAATTTCACCAGAAACATTGTTCTTTCCTTACAAATATCTGATGTTTTTCTATGGTTTATTGTAATAGTTACATGTTAAGCTTATTGTAATGTCACGTATCATAATCGGTATCTGTTATCTATATAAATAATATGTATAGGGTTATCAATGACGGCTGCGCTAGGAGCAAAGCAAGCGATTTGGCAGCGGGGATAACAAGTCGATTGTGGACGCCTACAGATAGATGCGTCGGAGGTCCTTTGGCGTGGTGATAGAATTGCACTGTGGACACAGCTTGCGCGCCCCAAGGGTCTGCAGCCAGCACTGCTCGCAGTGGACGTGCCAGCAGGATACGGAGATGGCGGGATTCTTGTAGTCGTCGATGCAGATTAGGCACTTGTACTTGCCCTGCGCCTGCTTCTCGTAGAGCCGCAGCTTGGCCTTCAGCGATTCGATGACCTGCAGCAGATTCTGGGAAGCGGAACGCGTTGACCGCGACGTGGATGGCTCCTCCCTGGACGGTGACGCCTCCAAGTTGCTGGTTGTGGCAGTCTCTTGCACGAGGGCTTCGCTGGAATGATTGGCCTTTGGCCCATCGCTAGAGGAGATTAGACGGCGCACATAGCTGGTCACATCCGCCTCGGAAACATTGCCCTCTGTGTCATCGTTAACCAGCGGAATCACATCGCCCTCGCCGTACTGATTTGGCCCGTAAATGTGCGTATCGTCCTCGTCTACATTGAGATCTTCGTCCTCATCCTCTTGCCCCTGCTGGTTGCCATTGTACTTGATCGTCTGGCCCAGGCCCAGGGCGGAGTAGCCTCCCTGGACGAGAGTGGACACGCGAATGCGCTTCTGTCCTGCCCACTCGTACTCCTCGTATTCCTCGCTGTCCTCAGAGTCCTCGCTTGAGTGCCGCTCCCCATTTGCCTGGCCATTCCGACGGCTCTGGCGCAGGCAGTGGTTGACATGGTCTTGAATGTTGGACTGCGGGAAGTTGTGATTGCACACGGGACAGGTGGGTTGACTGGACTCTGGACCAACTGGGGGAGGAGGAGGAGCTGTAGTAGGAGGCGGAGGAGCTGCAGTTGGAACTGGAGCAGCTGGTGCAGAATTGGAAGCTGGTGGACCGGGAGACGCTGGACGCTTCCTGGTGCGCTGACGCTGGCGGGCCTGCCGGTTACGCTGCACTCTCTGGAATACACTCCATGGCTGTCTGCCGCCCGCTCCCGACCCGGATCCCTGAGTTGCGGATGCTGCAGCTGACCCGGCGGACTGGGACGACGGATTGCTAGCGCTGGTCGGGTTGTGCAGTCGCTCCATCTCCACTTGGCAGTGATCGGCCACCTGACTGCGCTTGATCTTCACGTCGCATGTGGGACAGATCACGTCGTCTTCGCCGTTGCCAGTTAAATGCTGGGCGAAGTTCTCGCCGTTGGACACCGTGTCCGTGGCCATGGATTCCTCGGGTCCACCGCGAACTCCTTAGGACAGAAATGGGAGCTACTACTTGGAAAAGGATATTGTTTTGTTCGCTAATCTGACGAAGCCACGCGACGCCGATTCCTTACGTTCTCGTACTGTGGCAAATGGTCACACTGCTTTTTAGGATTTACTTCCGCGGAAAAAGCGGTCACTGGTTTTTGCTCTCTGCGATATTTATCGGATAATTTAAATATTTTTCGAAGTCCAACGAATTTACTAAGTTAAGTTATTAAGTAAAATTATAAAAAGCAACCTTACATTTTTAAATTTTTTCCCTACCAAAATTATTAACTTTGTTAATAAAGCTTTCAGATCCTTTATCACTTTCGCAGTCCGATACATTGCACAAATCTTCATCGAGTAAGTTCTCTCACAATAGATATTTTTTTATCCGACAGTTAAGTTTATAGCTCCTTTCGTAAAATTTGCTTTATCTCAAATGCCTTTTGCGCATCGTGGAGGCATGAAGGGCAGATAGTTTCGGGAAATCGATCTCCTTTCTCAACATTTAAGCCGGTGACCTCAGTAATTATAATTGCAATGGAAACCCCCTATCCATGAGTCCCTTCGAAAATGTTGATTATGTTTTCAGAAGTTACCACGCAAGCACGGCATATTGTCGACTCCATCGTTCTTATTTAAACAAAAATGTTTAAATATTCACTATAAATCAAGTTTACCATCAGTGCTCAAATCTATGCACACTACGAATTATAATTAAATACAAGTTAAGAAATTCACATCCACAAGCCAACAGCAAGGCTTGCTCGGTCTTGTTAGCAGCGGATATCGACACAAAAATAATTGTGTAAATAGGCTGTGCGCTTTGAATGCTTATCTAAGATCCGGAGTAACACAGTGCCTAGAGCAAAGAGCATTAACAAAAACAAATGTGTTCCAAATGCATTGGCTTGAGGGAAAATTATAAAAATACCCTCAGATCTAATGGTTTTTATTGTTTACTTAGCCAATTTCCATCACCGAGGAAAGATGCAATCGATTTTATTGTGCATTATAAAGACGATAGTATCACAACACTTGTTGCGGAGCGTTCCCACTACAGTCACTGTTGCGAAAACGTACTCAAGCCAAAGGGAATGAGCCAAAATAATGCTTCTGTAAAAATTATACATTATACTACAAATTCTGTGTAATCCTTGTACAACAATTGTATTTAATTAATCCCTATGTTTCTACTGTTTTTTAATTTTCCGCTGATAGCAGTTCTCTTAATATAAAGTGACTTTATTCCTGACTGCAATCGTTACAGTGACCCTCCGCGAGAAAAGTACGTATTTTTTCGTGTTTCCGATGCGTGCACATTAATTTTCAGTTGTTGTCTTGTGATGAGGGAAGCAAAACATTTTTATTTTCGTCGTTTTTATTTTTTGATTATATAGAAAAGTCGGTGGTCGAGGATCATGTGAAAGTGGGAAAATAAAAAGCTTTTTTAGTGGACTATAAGTGCACAGGTACGGCATAAATGCAATAAACCAGTTTGCAAAAGTGCAAAGCAGACGGTGAAAGGAAAAGGCAGTGAAAAGAGAATAGAGAAAAAATATAGCACTCAGTATTGTGGGCGTGTGTGTGTGTGCGTGAACCATATTGTTAAAAAGAAAAAAACAAACAGAAAATCAGGAGAAAACAACAATGCAGCAACAACAACAACAGCAGCAGGGCAACCTTGCCAGCTACAACAACAATATGAACGTCTTGCCTAATTACACGCTCAGCGGGATGAGTTCATTTGATGCCGAATCTCTGCCAGATTATTCCGAATTTGATACAGAATCGGTAACTTTGGACTATTACAAGGAAAGGTATTCCTTTGACTTAAAGAATTCGCCTTTTTTTTTGCTTCCGTTTCCCTTTAAACACACATACATCCACATATAAATATCCTCGCCCTTGTCATTGTTGTTGTTTTGCATTTGGCCGTTTGCCCCAATTTTGCCTGCCGTTACCGTTACGTTCTATATAGCAATTAACCGATATGATCCTGTTGCCATGCCACTCACCCACACCCACACACACATCCCGTACTCGCTCACTGCGAATTATTCTTGTTGATGTTTTCAATTTCTAGCCGCTATAAATAAAACTATCATCTACATACATATCTACGTCTGGGCCGTCAAAATATCACGAGAATTGTTGGATGCTATATTTATGTAAATATGTTAATCCATATCAGTTTGCGTATCTGCATCTTGAAGATATTAAAAAATTGGCAGGGAAATGTAAACGTGCGAATTATGAGTAAACTTTAAAAAGCCGACTTTTATAAACTCTAACATCTATAACTAAAATATATTACTCAATAAATATACCCGTTTAGACAGTTAATTGATATCTTAAAGCCTTTCAAAATGTTCTCCTGGACTTATTATTAATTTACTCTAAAAACAACTAAGTTATTTTAAAATTTTAACAGATCCTTTTTATACCCTTGCAGAGGGTATTATAATTTTGGTCAAAAGTGTGCAACGCAGTGAAGGAGACATCTCCGACCCTATAAAGTATATACAGTGACAAACTTAATTATTGGCACAGCAAGCATGTTAAACTTTGAGGCTATTTTTCTTCTTATAATATGCTGATATTAAAATAAAACAAAATATTTTTAGATAGAATCATTAATTTTTTGTTAAATACAAGTGACTTCATTAATTTATCTTTTATAAATAATTTATTAAAAATAAAAAACCAAAGAATGGACCAAATTTGCCTGAACAAAATTATTGGCACACTTGGGTTTTAATTAACTATTTTATTAAAACTTTATCGATTTGCCCACTTTTTTTTTAATTATCACATTTGCCTCTATAATCTTAATGGTATAATGATTAATTTTATAGCAAAAATTGTTTTAGTGCCTTAAAATAAAGGAAAAGTTGTTTGACTTTACAAGGTAAAAATAAAATCAACCGCATGTGTCCAAAAATTAAAATTTAATAAGCAGGATCAATGCAAATCGAAAGTAAACATTGGGAAAGGATGCCCAGAAGCCATTTTCCCATTCGGAGTCCTTTGCCGCATTTAAAGGACCCACGCAGTTGCAAAATGCAGGGCACACTGGCTAATCCATGGCTTTGAGAGGCCAGGAAAGCGTAAGGATCGTATAAAAGGACAATGTCAACCCCCAGATCTCCTCAACACGTATCGAAGCTGATGATAAGAAGGACTTTGGTAAGGATATTCACCCAACAGCCTTTTTTCAGGCCCTGCATGATGGTTTCTACAAACGAATTGAACCTAGAAAAATCAATAGATTTTAAAAGTCAAAAACAACCTTTTAGTGCAGGGAAATTTATATCTGAGTATGCCAATCGACTTTTGGGTCCTTTCAACCTTCTCGTATGATTTAATAATCCTTTCCCCAAGCAAAGAGCTTATGTTAGAACCCTTTTCAAGCCGATGGATTTTTCTAGGAGTAATTCATTTGTAGAAACCATCATGCAGGGCCTGAAAAAAGGCTGTTGGGTGAATATCCTTACCAAAGTCCTTCTTATCATCAGCTTCGATACGTGTTGAGGAGATCTGGGGTTGACATTGTCCTTTTATACGATCCTTACGCTTTCCTGGCCTCCAAAGCCATGGATTAGCCAGTGTGCCCTGCATTTTGCAACTGCGTGGGTCCTTTAAATGCGGCAAAGGACCCGAATGGGAAAAATGGCTTCTGGGCATCCTTTCCCCAATGTTTACTTCGATTTGCATTGATCCTGCTTATTAAATTTTAATTTTTGGACACATGCGGTTGATTTTATTTTTACCTTGTAAAGTCAAACAACTTTCCTTTATTTTAAGGCACTAAAACAATTTTTGCTATAAAATTAATCATTATACCATTAAGATTATAGAGGCAAATGTGATAATTAAAAAAAAAGTGGGCAAATAGATAAAGTTTTAATAAAATAGTTAATTAAAACCCAAGTGTGCCAATAATTTTGTTCAGGCAAATTTGGTCCATTCTTGGTTTTTTATTTTTAATAAATTATTTATAAAAGATAAATTAATGAAGTCACTTGTATTTAACAAAAAATTAATGATTCTATCTAAAAATATTTTGTTTTATTTTAATATCAGCATATTATAGGAAGAAAAATAGCCTCAAAGTTTAACATGCTTGCTGTGCCAATAATTAAGTTTGTCACTGTATATTCTTGATCAGGATCACCTCCTGAGTTGATATAGCCATGTCCGTCTGTCCGTCTGTCTGTCCGTCTGTCTGTTTCTACGCGAACTAGTCTCTCAGTTTTAAAGATATCGAATTCAAACTTTGCACACACCCTTCTTTCCTTTGCACGCAGTATATAAGTCGGAACGGCCGGGATCGGCCGACTATATCCTATAGCTGCCATATAACTGATTAATCGGAAATGCCATAACTCTGCTGTTTGTTAAGTTAGGAAGTTGGGACTTTCTATGGGTTTTATATTTGGCCAATCAATACGACGTACCAAATTTCATAAGGATCGGCCGACTATATCCTATAGCTGCTATATAACTGATTGATCGGAAATGCTATAACTTTGGTGTTTGTAAAGTTAGAAAGTTGGGATTTTCTATGGGTTTTATATTTGGCCAATTAATCCGACCTACCAAATTTCATAAGGATTGGCCGACTATATCTTATAGCTGCCATATAACTGATTGATCGGGAATGCCATAACTTTGGTGTTTGTTAAGTTAGGAAGTTGGGACTTTCTATGGGTTTTATTTTTGCCCAATCAATCCGACATATCAAATTTCATAAGGATCGGCCCTCTATATTCTATACCTGTCATATAACTGAACGATTGGAAATGCCATAACTTTGGTTTTTTTAAAGTTAGGAAGTTGGGATTTTTTATGAGTATTAAGAATGCATCATATGAATAATTTTGGAGAATATAATTTGCAGAATATTCTGCAAGGGTATTTCAACTTCGGCTCCGCCCGAAGTTAGCTTTCCTTTCTTGTCTTTTAAATTAATAAATAAATATGGAAGTTCTATCAGAACGGATTTTAAACTTGATCTGCCATCATAAACCTAACGTAGATTGGATCATTTTCATGTTTACAAAATTGGTGTACACTCTGCAAGGGTATAACAACGAAATGCGAATGGATAATTAGCGTGTCGGCATATCCAGCATTGGAATTGCTTAGCTGCAGTTCCCTCGCAGCGTAAAATTATGAGGGGGTAGCACCTCCTCACCCCAGCTTCCGTCTTTTGTTATTTTGGCTCCCCATCTACAGGCTTTACAATAGGTCGATTAAAACTTAAACAATCCCAAACTCATTCAACTGTGTCAACGCATTGTTTTGTGAATTGCGACAGTTAATCCATGACATACATTGACGCAAACAATTGTGGTTCAAATAATTAAGCATTGTTCGCTTCTTATTTTGAAAAGGAACTTTATCAAGATTTGCTAAATGCATATTGGTTTATATTATATATGGTCTGTATATAGTATATAGTCCGACAAACATTTGATTTATCGTACGGATTAACATTATATCATTTAAAATTATTTTAACGAATATTTGCCAGACGCATTATCATAAGATATTATAGAAATATAGAGATTTGTATATGGCTAAGATGTTTAAAAATAACGAATATAAGAATTAAAAAAAAAATAATGAGTGATTACGACTTCAAAACTCTCCACAGTCCTGAAATCAAATTAAAGCAAACTAATTTTAGAAACACATTTGAATCTGGAAGTCTCTAGAGGTTTGTGTTTTACACTGGCTGGATCACAGCATATATTATTTTAAAGAGAGCATTTTACCGGACCTTTTAATTTAACCAAAGCTGTATGTTAGTTTAATTCTAACATTCCCGTAAAACCTTAATTGTTTGCCTATGTCTTTGTCGGTGTTGTAAACCGAGTTGTTTTTGCATGTTTCTTCTGCTCACTGCCTTGATAAAAACACACTTGTTGTACGAATGTTGTGCCCTATTCGCTCTAATCGAATGGCAACAAATTTCTATATTTCCTGCCCCGCTAACAAACGATCCCCCATTTCGTAATATAGATGTTGAACGGGATGCTTCCGCCAGCAATTTGAAATTCAAAACGCATTGGAAAAACCTCAGCGCGCAAACCAAAAGCAATAAAACGCCAATTGAAGCATTTATATTAGATTATTAAAGCCAACCGGAGTAGCATTTACTCGCCTGCCCAAAAAAAAAAAAAAAAAAAAAAAAACCCTTCCAACATCCCACTAAGCAAAACTAACCAAGAAACGCATTGAAACGCATTCCAATTAGTAGCTGCGGGCAGCACTTTTGCCTGCATATATAGTCGATAAGGTGAGTTTGGCTAGCTTGAGAAGCTAGTAAAAATATTTTCCCCGCAATAAATAATAATTATCATGTATGCAGTGTTCTACGTCCACCAGCGGAGAAAATGGCGCCGACAACAACGATTGAGACCATCACAATCACGAGGCCGCTGAAGGTACATATGCCCCTGATATAAAGTTAAAGAGATTTGGTTCATGCTTAACTGATTTCTCTGCTTCCACAGGTGATTGCATTTATTTGCGGCGTCATAGTGGTGGTCTTGATGATCATGGCCCTGGCGTCCACAGATTGGCTAATGGCTTCCGACTGGCGCCAAGGCCTCTTTGTACACTGCATCGGGGAGGATTCGTTGGCTCCGTTGCCATTCAACATACAGGATCCGCCAGGATGCTACTGGACGCGCGATGTGGGTATGTATGCTAGTAATATATTTGGATAGTTGGGATTCTTTACAAACGAAGTAGAGAGGCTCTTATTAAAGTTTTGGTTCTAGCTATATATTTTTACCCTAATTTAACCTTGTCAACAATAACCCACAGGCTACATTAAGGCCACAGCCGCCCTATGCATTATCACGCTGATAACGGACGTTATTGCCACAGTACTGACAGGTATGGGCCTCAGGACGCAGAACCATAATCTAAAGTATAAGTTTTATCGCATAGCGGTATTGGTGATGCTCGTATCTTGTAAGTTACCAAGTAGATGTATTTAGCCAAGAAATACTAAAGATTTGTTTTTCATGCAGTGCTAGCCGTGCTGTCAGCTTTGATCGTGTATCCAGTGTGCTTTGCCGGCGAACTTACCATGGGTATTTAAACCAGAGTTAATGAGAAAGATCACTTGATTTACCTTTTGACTGTTTTAGCCAACCGGCGAGTCTGGGAGTTCGGCTGGGCCTATGGCGTAGGCTGGGGTGCGGCCATCTTCCTGTTTGGGGCCGTCGTCCTGCTGCTATGCGACAAGGAGTCGGAGGAGATTTACTATAAGGAGAGGAAAATCGTACATGAAAACCAAATGCGCGCCTAGGTAAGGCCGCACGACCTGCCTGACGTCGTTCTGTAGACTAAGTATATAGCAACCAACCAACAACAACACACACAGACACATAGATTTCGATTTAAATCAGACTCAAGAACAGAAGCAATTTGCAGCTAAACGAATGTGTTATAATTATAATTGTGTATATCATGACCATTTCTAACCAAAAACCCGTAGCCATCACCCCACCATCTCATAGTACTCGGCATTTGTTTAGATGAGGTTTCCGAATCAGTTTATTTTGTTTTCGTTTCGAAAGGTAATCGTAGACAAACCACAAACACACGACCCACATCTATCATGTAGTCAGTCACATGTACGTCTAGGAATTCTGAAAGCTAATCGCATTAACCATACCCGTATATACAAATTGCATGCCCAATGAGTTCCAAAACATTGTAGACAACTTTTAGAGCTTGCGTTTCTGTAGAAAAGTAAGAGCAAGTTGCAGTTGAAATTAGACCTCTTACAATATTGTACTCATACTCAGCTATATATACATAGCAATGTACTCTCCATGTATCTCAAACCTAATCGTGAGCAGAATTTAAATTAGAATTTGTATATGTACGTAATCGAAAGACTAGGTAACCATGACATATTACGCCACAAAATCATCGTCATTGTCACCGTTTCATGCCGATTACGCTTTCAAAATATTTGGTTTGTACTCTATAAATCCGTTTCGAATATTATAAATTATGTGTTTGTCCCAGTGTATTATTGTGCGACTAACACCCATTGTAACCGAATATGTGTTGCTCTTTTACCTTTTGTAAAATAGTTTAACCAACTAGCTGTACGGTATTGAACTCGTACTTGAATGTCCCCGAGCCGTTTAATATTTGTTTAAGTCGACTCTTAAGAGTATGCATTCGATTTTAGTAAATGTATCTTTTGTAACCACCTATTCTTTAATAATTTATTGATATTTGTGTTCTTACCTTACTCGAAAACATATCACATTCAAATGACCACAATAAAACGTTTATGACACCTTTTGTTAACACTTTAAAACATTATTTTCTTTAAAATCTAATCTTGTTAAGGTTTTTAAGCTTTAAGTTTTTTTTTACATAAATAATCCGTGTTTTTCTTTGCAAAACCAGCATAAGGTATGAGTAATGGCGATAACGCAACAACTAATAAGTAAGCCATCCTTTTTAATATTTATCTTCGAAATTTGGTATCTCATCAGTTAATCATTCGAAATTCATCCAATATATCTCGCAATTAAATCATCTTGTCGCCTTTTCTGAATTCTATTCCGTTCGTTTCTGTTTTTAACGAGAAAATTTTGATTACACGCCGAAATTAATGAAGCAAATGCAACCAAAATTAAATGCGACCTAAATTACAACAATACAAAGGGAAATATATATGCTTGAACATCCATATATACATATATATGAAGAAATTGAACAAATCGTAGGCAGGAACGTGCGGTGAAAAAAAGACGAAACGAAAACAATTATAGCGAGTATAAAGACAACAATTATACCAAACCAATTGAATTAATTAAACTATGCTTACATACACGCATGTTTATATATAGTTATATATATAAGTTTAAAGTATGTAACATTTATTAAATACGAAAAACAAAAACAAACATATAATTAACGAAACAATTATACTCCAAAACGAAACTCTACGAAACGTTACAGTTTTCCATTGTGTAACTAACCAACACATGAGCGAGGATCATTTTGTTTTAACAAGCAAACAAAATATATATACAAACACATATGAATATATTTATTAAAAAGTTTTAACATTTAATTTTTAAATTTACATTCGATAGAGCAAAAAAAAAAATGAAAAGAATAAGTAAATTATCAAATGTATTGCTAGTGATCCATATACTGTAAAACATATGCCTAGATCATATTTTATAAATTCCCTATGCATACCTATACCCGCAGCTATCAAACTATGAATTTCCTTAAATTATACTACAGTTCACTGGACGTTACCATGAATTGAAGATTTGGCTCCCCAATCCCTAAAAATCATCGAACACCCATCTTTCCCCATCCGCATAACCCGAACAGTATCGGTTAAAATGTACATATTTCAGAAGAGTTTTCAAAAAAATAAAATAGTGTTTAACGTTCACATAAATATCTGTTTTTTAATCTTGTAAAAATCTTATAAAAGTGGCTGAATTGGTCCTGCTTCAATGACAAATTTATTCATGATATAAGCCACCAGTTCCATGGAGAGTCTCAATTTTGGATCCATGTTCCAACAAGCAGCTATTATACTAACGAAATCCTCAGGGCAACCTGCCATAACATCATTTAACGAAGGTCTTTCTCCTGTAAAAATAACAATATTTTTTGAGCGGATAAATATTATAGTATATAAAACCTTGCCTCCAGTAATAGCCATTTTTAAATTCCAGGTATTGGTGCCATCAATTTCGTCTAAAGGCATCTTGCGGGATAATATTTCCCAAAAAGTGAATGCCCAGCTGTACACATCACACTTTTCATTATAGCGGTCGCCATTCAAGACCTTTGAGAAGATTATTATTCATTTATCTTAAATTATTTAGCTTAAAGATCTCGAACCTCGGGCGCTAAGTATCTGCTGGTACCTGCTTCCGACATCGATAAGGTCTGATCTATAACTGTGCCAAAATCGCATATCTTCAGACTAAGGCCCCTTTGACCTAGCAATGCATTGTGGGGCTTGATATCGCGATGAATGACTGCTTTTGGTTTCATGGCGTGGAGATAAGCTAACCCCTATAAAAAACATTCGCATTATTCCGCTCCATAACATCCCTTATCAGCCGTCATACCTGAGCGATCTGGAGGCTCCAGTTAAAGGCGTGGGCAAGAGAATAACTTGGCTGGGAGTCCGCATACAAAAAGTTGTGCAGAGATCCACCATCTACGTACTCCATCAGCAAGAAAAACCTGTCATCGTGTTTTGAAACACCATAGAATTGTATTAAGTTTTCATGGCTGACCCTTGAGAGCTGAATTATCTCCCTGTCAATTTTGTTGTCTTCATAGCCTAGTCGTATTCTCTTCACTGCGATCACAAGATTCTTCCAGTCTGCTTTAAATACACTGCTAAATGACCCTGAACCTATAATCTAAAATGTAGGCATAGTTCTCAATCCAAATAAGACAAATCAGCTTGTGTTTACCTTTCCTAGTTTGAATTCTTCAAACGGAATTAAATCGACTGCCGCGGTCATGTCTCCACAAATGCCAATTTGTCACTAATCATCATGTTGCTTGATACAAGTTTGTGATAACCTCACAGCGCTTTGAACTTATCTACACCTATAAATATAATCGAAAAGCCAATTGCGAGCTTCACTTTCTTCCAGCGGAACAATGAATTTGATGTCTTATCGACAGCGATTTTAATTTTGCAAAAAAATACAGTTCCAACTCTAAAATTCAATAAAAATCAGAATAACTTCAAATATAAATTTACACAAAATGGACTTTACAAAGTGATTCGACAAATATAATATATTCAAGATTTATACAAAAGTTATTCTTAAATCTAAGTAAAATACGAACTATTTTTTAAAGCCTAATGAAACACAATTGCAGCGATGACTTCTTAGTCTTTTTTGGCAATCAAGCCCTGCTTTTTGAGTTGGCGCAGTGCGCATTTGGCCGCGGTGCACTTGGCAATGCGATAGTTGCGGCCGATGCCACGGAAGGTGCCTTTGCAAAATACATCCACGGTGACGCGCACACGCCGCCCATCCGCCAGCTTCTCGGGCTTGCCGAACTTGGCCGTCTCCGGCTCCAGCTCGAGGAGCTCTCGTATGGGCGACTTTGGCACTGAGTTGCTAAATTGTTCAATCTCTGGGCTCATCATGTTGCTGTAGACATGCCACACCACATCTAGCGACATGTTGGAGTCCAGGAATATGGCACCGGCGATCGATTCAAAGACATCGCCCAATGCCTTCGGCACTTCCACGTCCTCCGCATCGTCGCACTCCTCCTCAGAGAGCAAGTAGTACTAAAACCGAGCAGACCTGTTAGCTGTTGTTGTTTTAAAAAGTCATATCACTCACCTCCTCACTTATGCTGTGACCATTCTCCTGCTGGATTCTCACAAAACGGTCTATTACATCATTAAGCCCCGGCGATAGATGTCGGAAGAACTTGTGGAAACCATGCCGAACGGCAAGGGAGGCAAAAATTGTGTTATTCACCAGTGCTGACCTCAAATCCGTTAACGCGCCAGGCGAATGCTGGCGGGGATCTTCGTATAGGTGCCGTGTAATCAGGTAATCCAGCACAGCGTCGCCAAGAAACTCCAACCGCTGGTAGCAATCCGTCAGTCGATTGGGTGTGTAACTGGCATGCGTCATGGCTTGCAGAAGGTAGGAACGATCCCGGAATTGGTAGCCCAGGCTCTCCTCGAACTCCTCGAAACCGCTTAATAGTTGGTCAAGTTCCTCTGTGGCATTGGGTGCAAAGTGCAGCAGGGGACTGCGTGGCGTGGGCCATTCGCCATAAACAGTGACCATTTTGGCTGCGTTTGGTCTAGTGCTTCCGGGTATTCGCTCCTCCTCGTTTGCCGCCTCCAGCTGCCTGGTGAAGGGAAGTACTCTTACCCCCAGCCAGGCCATGAAGAGTAGTGCTCCTCGCGGACCGCATTCGATGAGATAGGCTCCAATTAGCGCCTCCACGCAATCGGCTATGGACTTATCCGGAATGCTGTGTTGCGAGACCAGGTTGTACGGAATAAAGCAGCTGAAATCATTGCAGCTATCATTGGAGTCGTCCAGTTGGCCATTCTGGGCACCACCATTCTTCTCCATACCCAGGGCCTCTGCTTTTTCGCGGACCATGTCACAGATCTGAGTGCTACTCAAGTTCTTTATGTCCAGTAGATCGGCTAGTTTCCAGTGGTGCGTTGGGATTTTTGCTTCGATTAGCGCCTTTTCCAGCTCCTTTGGCACGTAGTAACATGGTGGAAGCCAGTTGTCGTGGGGCTCAAATTTGGTGGCTATCATGTACTCGCCCAGCCTCTTTCGCCTTCCCAAGCGATACAGGTTGAGATTGGCCACCTGCTTGGAGCGCAAATGACTAAGCTTACCCTCGTGCACATTTTCGTAGGTGATGTACAGGTAGGTGGTAATGGCATACTTGAGAAAGGAATCACCAATGGTCTCCAGGCGCTCCAGATTAATGCCATCGTTGGCATTGGACATAGTAAGGGCCTGGAGGATAATGCTGGGACTGGGTCCTGGATGGCCGACTAGATTCGGTTGAAGATCGAAGCTAAAACCCGCTGGTAATATGGATGATGATATGTTTTTCTTGGGAGTTGAAGGCTGGATTTCCTTTTTATCAAACTGGAGCTTTAATTTTTTTTCATCCAAATTCAGCCGATGATGATCATTGTAGTTGTCAAAACTATCTCCGCAGCCCAAAACGGTAAAGGTCTCCTGATCATGTTGGGCCACCCAATCCGCATTAAGCTCCACTAAATCGGAGAGCAGCAACTCCCGCCTGTCTCCCAGCTTTTCGGCCAACAGCTCCTCCTTCAAGTATGGTAATAGTTGCTTTAGCAGCTTTATCATCGATTCCTTTGCGCCCTGAGTTTCAGCGACATTATTTCGTTTCAGGACCAATTCCTGGTCATGTGACACCAGCATGCCGCAGCTTTCGATCTCCGTCTGTAATTTAGCTATCGATTGTTCATATCGGCCACTGGGAGGTCCCTCATTGCACTCCTCCTCCTGTTCAAAGTTGAATCCAATAAGCAGGTTTTTTGTCTGTTGGTACTGCCGTTCGTTAGCATTCGTCGCCTGGATTATGGAGAGTTGCTTCTGGCGCTTCTCCACCTCCTGAGCGGTTTCGATGGTCTCCGCCTCATTCTTGGAGGTGAAAGCAATTCGTCCCGCATCGATGTCATCCGCCACATCATCGTCATCCGAGCTGTAGTTGTGGTGCATGTAATTGATCGGTCCATTATTATCGTCATCGTCATAACTGGAGCCCAGCGAATTGTCCGAGTCATAATAGTTAAACGTGGGCTTTCCTGTACCCTTCCCTTTGCTCTTGCCACCCTGCTGAGCTTGATTTTGCTTTGGAGGCTTAAAGCCTCCTTCCCCATTGCTCACGTCCCAAAAAGTGGGCGATCCATAGCGGGTCTGCTGATCACCTATAAAATACATTTCATATTTAGTTTTCTTTTCCCAAGTTAAGGAGCTAAAAAACTTACAAAACTTTACGTTGGCAGGCAGAACTGGAAGGCGAAAGGCTTCATCCTCATCGTCGTCTTCCTGGTTGAAACTAGCAATGTCGTCGGCCATGTCGTTTGACCAAGTGCCTATCTCAATAAAGTCATCCGCTTTCTGCAGCTTTTCCTCGCCCTCTATGATAAGTTCGATGGCACTTTTCTCCACTTTATCGGCTTTTGGGTCTTCGTCTACTTGGTTCTCAACCTTTGTCGGCTCTTTCTCATCTTCAACTGAATCTTTGCCATTGACTAAAGCATCCTTGGCCGAATCTTTTTGCTTAGACTCGCGTGACTTCTTGAGCACCTCCGACAGACTCCACCCGAAGTCCAACATGGGCCACTCAAACTGGTCCTCCTCGATTTGCTGCCTGCCAAGCCCCAGATCCGCAGAGACCTGCTTGCGAATGTCGTCGGCCAGGAGAAGACCATTTATGCGGTACAAAATGCAGGGCAGGCACACTGCAGTGCGCCACAAGGATGCGGGGAACGGATGCACGGTGCACAACTCCGGCACTAGGATTTGTTTCTGCTCGAGATTCTCGCGCTTGGCCCGCTTTGTCTCCTCCGAACTGGTGGGCAGAGCCACGCCCTTGCGGTTCACGTACCGTGGTGTGAGGAAGTTTAAGCGAGCACTCGTGTGATCCACGTCCAGCAGCGGTTGCGAGGCATTCTGTATCGTCAGTCCATACTTAACGAGGTAGTAGTGCTTGAACGTGCGGTAGTTATCACCGGGAAAGCAGCTGAGTGGTGAAAGATGTGGACAGATTTCGGCCACGTAGAAGTATTGCGGTTGATCCTGGTTGCGATACCATGGCATAACGACGGCATCTTGAAAGCGTTGGGCGTCAAACGCCTGCGCCTGTCGCTCCACATCGGGCACTGATCGTGGCATCGTATTGCCATTGGCCTGTATGAGCTCTAGGAACTGCCAGTCGATATGTTTGCCGCCCACTGCTGTGTTCACCGTAGGCACAATAAACACACAATTCTCCGTAGAATCCGGATCGAAGAGCATGAGGAACTTCTGCAATCGCAGTACATTGGTAAATGTGTAGTTCAGGAAACCGTTGATGCAGACAATCTGTTCGCTAGTTAGGACTACACGATCCTTGGCCAACTCCAGGGAAACCTTCACCTCACCAGAGCGTGTGAATATCGAGAAGGCGCTCAACTTGGGAATGCGTTTGGTTGTGAGAATGCCAAAACCCTGCTGGGCATCCTCAGGTGGATAAATCTTCCGGCCTCGCGTGTTCTGCTCTTCGGGAATTGGACACTGCAGCGTCAGCTGGATGAAGTACAGATAGCAGGGTGCGCCGGCCACCGGGCGACAGTCGCAGAACTCGGAGGCAATGCGTTTATAGTAGTACTGTCGCCGCTTTGTCGTTCCCGGTCGAGGCTCATCGCTTAGCTGCACAATCTGCTCGTCCTCTGGCTCCAGATCGAAGCACTCCCAGTCCGGCTCCAGGGCGCGAAATCCCTCTTTGCCAATGGGCTGTAACTGGTCGTCCAGCTCACCTATCCTGTGCAGCTCAACACAGGCCTGCAAGGCAGCCAGTCGACGTGCTAGGGTCTGAGTGGGCATCGGGAGACCCTAAAGAATGACAGATTGTAAGTAAAAGCTAAAGTTACTTGGTACTGGAGATATTTCCCCCACTTACCACGATGTCGTGCTTTAATGGCGAGTTGATAGGCAGCCGGAGTGTGTACTGAAACAGGGTCACCCCGGCTCTCTCGCTTCGAGTGCAGCGCCACAGGGCCGTCAACTTGGTGAAGGTGTCGCTGGGTAGACGAGCGCAGTATTTGTTGACCAGAGCAATGGCAGTTCCGAGATCGACGGATGCCCCGGTCAGGAGCTGCGGCTTGGGTCGATAGGCGGACAGACAGGCACTGAAACGTTCTGCCTCGCGTTGTTCCTGCTCTGGCGGCTCAGTGTTGGCGCACTTAGATAGCAACATCTGCTCGATCTCGCGATACTGTGCCATCTGGTGAACAAGGTTCTTCGTGGTGCTGGCCAATCGATCAGCTGTATTGATTTCGGGAAGCGATTCGATGGTATCCTCTGGCTCGGCTTGGAGGGCTAGTTCACACTGGAAGCGTCTGGACTTGCGTTCTGTACTGCTCTCACTGGGACTAGTGTTGCTCATGCTGACGGCCTCGTCACTGGAGTTGCTAGTGTCCAGCAACGCTGTGGCCGGCGATTCATCCTGAATCTCCTGCAACTTTATGTCGCAAGCTGTGGGCGGCTGTTTACTGAACACTTCGGGGTTGAGGATCTTTACCGTTCCTCGAGCCGTTCCAAAAGTATAAGGATCGGAACCATATGAACTTGGCATCGCCGAGTCATCCGAGTCGCTGTCCGCCTCTATAGTATCACCTGTCCCTGGCGCCCCGCAAATAAAGCGATGACTCCGATCACTTAATTGCACTGCACCAACAGGAGGGCTTTCGTAACTGGGTGCAACCAGGATGACATGGTAAGCGGGAGCTGCTCGAGCACGTCCTTTACACTGGACGTAACTTCGATATGTGGTGGGCGGATCCCAGCGCACTACCAGATTGCACTTGGGCACATCGATGCCCTCTTCCAGCACAGAGGTGCCAATCAGCACATTGCAGTCGTGCATGCGGAATCGCTTAAGTACCTCCTCCTGCCGCCGGTGCTCCAGCTCGGCTTCCTTGGGCTCCGTGGTGGGATCGGCCACGCGGTCCGTGGTGTACTGGCAGCGTAGGAACTTGAGATCGGGGTCTCGCCTGCTGATCTCAGCCAGCAGCTCGAAGAGCACACGTGCCGTATGGTTTTGGTTGCAGTATATGAGTGCACAGAGCGTGTCGCTGCCGTCATGTTGGTCCCGATGATGGCGTCTTGTGTATACTCGCCTACGGGTTCGCGTTTGAGTCGTGCTGGAACCGGTGCCGCCCGTCTTGGTCTTTGCCTGGGCAGGAGCAGGAGCAAAGCGAGTAGCGCTCTTGGGCGGCGGCTTTTCCTCTGATGTGTGCAAGATCTGCTCTAGATTGGCCACCAGGGTTCGGGTTTCCATGGGCTGCTGCTCTAGTTGGTCAACCACCCGGCACTTGCTTTCCAGCACATGCGATAGACGATTGAAGTCCGCCTGCTCCACCTGATGACGCATCCTGCGCAATCCGTCCGCCTGGGTGTGCACCTCTTCGGGCTTAAAGCAACGCAGTGTCTGCAGCAAACGTCGCACCTTCGGGCTGGAATAGCGTTCGATGGTCTGGCGTGAATCGCCTCCGGTTCCCTGATGCCGCTGGAACGTGTGGTCGCAGAGGGAGTGCAGTTGGATGAGGGCCGTGCTCACCAGGCAGTAGAGCAGATAGTGGCGTTCGTGCGGGGTCTTCACTTTTAGCTTCTCGTTACTCTGGTAAAAGTGGTGGGCTGCCCGCTGTGTGCACCAAGGACCCATCTCGTGCAGCACGGCCAAGAGCGAGTTGATGACGTTGAGCGGGTCCACTTTGGGATCTGGTATGTCTGCAATTGTTATATGGCCGGGTTAGTTGATGACTTTGCATAGATTATCTTAAAAAACTCACCCTTTAGCTCATCCATAAACTGATCTGTGCCGTAGATCTCAAAGGGGTCGTAGCGGTGATCTGTGAGGAAGGACTTGTGGGTGTTAAGGACATCGGCCAGCACCAGGGACAGCTCGTCCATCTCAAATGGAGCGCACTGCACGATGTACTCATGCGGGCGGGAACAGTAGCGCAACACGGTGACGATATCGCTGGCTGTCTCGATCCGGCATAGCATATTCCGCTCCAGGGTGGCCAGCATGAAGCTCAGTTGCTGCAGTTCACATCCGGCACTGTGCAGCGGTCCAGCCAATCCCAGAATACGTGGTCTTCTCGCCGGAGCAGCCGGCAAGATGTGCTGCTCGAAGAGCGGCATTATCCTCTGATAAACAGCACTGTCGTGGCAATCCTCCAGCACAATCAGTTCTACGCTGCTTAGCAGCAAATCGCGAGTCTCGAGCAGGTGGAGAAAGCCCTCCGGCCGTAAGATGGACACATGGTAGTCCGTCCAGCAGTGGTTGAAGGGAATCTGCATGTCCGGCTGCTCCTGCCACACCCGCAGATCGGTCAAGTGGGTGAGCATTGTGTAGATGGAACAGGGCTCCTTGCTTCCGCCCACCTCGCAGCTCAGGTAAACACTGACCCGGCCATGCTGACGTCCGCGCCGGGAGATTTCCTGAAGCAGCTTGAGGGCGATGAATTCCTTGGAACTCCGGTGGCCCAGGCAGATTATCGTGTTCCGCTCAAAGGCGGCGGCCAGCAGTTCCACCTGGAAGTCGCGCGGCGTGAACACGGTGGTGTGCAAGTTGTTGTCGCACCAGTGGAACGCCATCGTGGCCAGGGGAATCACAAAACTCGTTCCTCGAGAAGATTTCTGCCAAAAAATAAAATTCCAAAGCCGGCTAGCTGCATGCTAGTGTGGCCGTTCGTTGGTGTCACGAAAATTACCTTTAACACACTTTGAATCCTTGGTCACACTGCTTTGGTGCTTGAAAAAAGAGTGCGCCTTGTGTGTTTTTTGCCAACTATAGAGCATATTCAGGTGGAAATAGGTAATATGTGGAGATATTCTGCAACATGCTTTATCTGAGACCAATTATAATCCTTCAGTGGGGTTTTCAATGCGACGTTCGAAGGCTCCTTCAATGCGCCAGGCGGCCAAGCGGGAAATTAAAGATCCGGAACCTCCAGAGGATCCAGAAGCACCTTACTCCTGGCCCAGTATTACTCCCACAATGGAATGGGGCTCCTCCAACGGCTCTGAAAACCTGGGACCCCGAGAGCTGAAGGCTGGCGAGAATCCCCTCAAGGAAAGCCGCATCTTCCATGTGCTCTGGCGGAATCAAACCACCAAAAAACACAAGACCTGGACTGGCAATGGAACCCTGGTGGTCACCGGATCTAAAGTAGTCTTAAAGGATGACACGGGCAAAGTTGTGGACAACATGACATGCTTTAAGCAGCGGGATTTCAAGGAGAACGATCAGCTACAAATCGGTAGCAAGGATGTGGAAGTCCAGGAGGAGATCAAGACCTTGCAGGAGTGTGTGACCCAACGAAAGTTGGAGATTGCCAGCTGGTGCAAAAAAATCGATGCCCAGAATGGTATGGAATCGGAAGTTCCTGTGACCAGTGCTTCCTGCAGATCGCATGTGCTTAAGAGAACGCACCAAGAATGCTCCTTCGATGTACAAAATCCTCGGCTTTCGGGATTCACCACGACCGGAATGGAACCTCCACCACATGAGAAAAGAATGCGCGAAGAAAGTCCCTCAGTGGCAGTGATTCCTCCCCGTTCGGAATTCACTCAAGTAGAGTATCTGTGCCTGCTAGCTCCAGCAGAACTTCAGGAAAAAATATTGCATTTTCTAGCCGATTATATCAAAAATTGTAAAGTGGTAAGACAGGTTTGCTTTAAGTTATTACTCCACTAATATTTAGAAACTCATACTTTAAAAGATGGCATGGTGCATATTTTTTGTTCCTATACAAAGAACTGTGCATTATTTGAATAATTCTATTAGGTATAGCATACAATTATTTTTTCTATTATTTTTCAGGATCCCTCTGTCAGCTGGTCTGCGATCATCCCGTTCTTCTTAAAACCCTCGTCAAGCACGCAGACTTTGAGGACCTAATGCAGGTGATGGAGCCCAAATTACCACCCTGGCTGGAAATGGATATTTACGACTCAGCCAAGTTCGAGTTTGTGCATCGGATGCTGGACTATTTGGTGGTAGAGCAAGGCGAGAAATGTTGTATTTTGGCGAACCGACAGGATTGCTTGAAAATGGCTATAGGCTATTGCCAAAGCTATGATATAAGTCATGAACAGCTGGATAGTCCCCAAAAAGTAGCTATGTTCAACTCTGGCGAGGAAGGGTCACCAATGGTTGCTTTGGTTTTATCTAGTGACTTACCAAAGATAGGCTCTGTTCGCTGCAAAAACCTCATCATTTATAATTACAATGCCAGAGAAAAAGCCAATGAACTTCTCGCAACTGGGGAAATAGACACCAAAATATACACACCGGTCACATCTGGAGGTTGTCCGGAGGAGCTGCAGTTCTACAGACGCCTTGGTCTGAAAAAAGATGGGGATACTCTAGGGGATCTTCAAAATTACAGAAGAGAGCTGATACCAAGCACTAAACATGTGGGTATTTTCTATTGAGAACTTGTTTTAAAAATACTTATTATAATTAACCGCCAGGAACTGGCAACTTGGACCAAGATTGAGCCACTTTTTAGTGTTGATTTCCTTAAAGTAAGCATTTGTATAAGTTGTTTTTATTGATTGCTTATAATTCAAATTATCTTTTACAGGAAGTTGCTATCTCTGATAGTCTGGAAAACATTCAGCTTGTTTATTCAAAAAAGGGGAACGTAGAACTTTAACAGTAACCAAAAGTTATTTAATTGATACGAATTTCAATACGAAAAAACAGATCGGAAAGAGATCTTGAACTTAAAAAATATAAAAGTACTTTAAGTGGCTTCTTCACTTGATTCCTTATCCTGAGGAAGTGGAAATTAAATTCTAGTGCAGGTTTAAAATTGCCTGCAATTCGTCTATGCGAACGGAATAGTTATTGTCATCCTTGTTATAAATGATCTCGTTGCAGTTCACGGTGGTGCCCACTGCTAAAAACTGCTCGATACGTTTGATCTGCTCATCGGTAAGCTTGCCAGGCAAATCTAAAGTATTTGCCAAACTTGGAAATAAGACTAATATCTTATCTGCAATCTAGGCTACATACCAATCAAATCCAGCTCAGTGGTCATTATAGGGTAGTTAAACTGCGGCGGATACGGACGTATATCGCTGACATGGGTCGGCACAATGTTTCCGTAATCAATAAACAAAATGCTGGGATATCCATCACCCACCATTTCTAAGCAAAGTCCCCGACACCATTTTCCTTCATACTTGGCGATACATAGTGTACTTTTCCTAAGCAAAAGAGAAGGTTAAATTGGGGTTAAAGGAAAATATGGATAACCTTACTGAGGAGCGTAGGCTTCACACTTCGCAATCTTTTCGCCATATTCCTGTATGTCCCTCTGCATTTTGGTGACCTCGAATGCCAGAAATGTGGGCGTGCAGTAAATTAAGTTGCAGCTCAGGAGAGTGTTGTCCGTCACAACCAAATCAACGTTCTTGCCAGTATTCAAAGGGATGTGTGAAAGCCACTAGGACAAAACAGAGTAATTCAAATTCAAATCTAATATCTAGGTATCCAATGTTTGTACTTCCTCGTTGTATCCTGGTTCCGATAAATCCGGTTCCACAGGCGTCATTATGGTTTTAAAAAGGCGGTTCAAGCTGATATTAATATCGATCTCGGTCAATACCACGATTTGCAAGCCCTTGCTAAAGTCGTACTCGCGCTTAGAGTATTTAATATCAAACACCATTTCCTGATCGAGTTTGTACATAATTTCCCTTATGTTGGGACCCACAAAACGCCTTGGAACGCCTCGTAGCTGCACCGCAACGGGATAACAGGGCAAACCAGCCAGATAGGGACTACATTCGTACAGATTTTCCAGCTGCGTGACTTCAACGCTGCCAAAATCGATGCAGACTACATAGATGTCCTTGGGATCATCAACATTGAGCACTATTGCGCGGGAGATTCTGGTCTCAAAATCGTAGAGTACGATCTGTCCGCAGTCTGGCTTGTTCTGCAATTTGGGCGCAGTTTTGCCCTTCATCATCACCTCTGTGAGCACAGAAAAGTAGGCGATATCCACCTTAATGTCCGCCGAGCGGACGTAGACCACATTTGTCTGCTCGAAAGCCGTGATCCTGACTTTGGATCCGGACGGCGGCAATCCGGGTTTCGGGAACTTACGTCCCACTTTTTCGTCAAGTTCGAGCAGCTCTTCCTTGCCGCACGTCTCTTTGTGCTTGTCGGCAACATCCGCGAAACACGACGCATTGCAAAAGGGCATCTTGCAAAGCTTACAAAAAGTATCTGTCCAGTTTTGACACACAATGCATTTGCTTACACCATATTCCAACAGATTTCCGGCTTTCACCCCATGATCGGCTGCAATCGCTGAACTATATATAATATAATAGATTATTTATAAACTAATATATAACGCACATAAAGACTGAGAGCTAAATAATATAAAGCATTATGGATTCTATCGAAAATATACAAATATTTATACTAACACTGGAATGGTTCTTCCGGATCGAAAGTGCAGAACGACCTCCGATATCTTTGTTTCGTCCTTGACTTTATAGGCATTGTAACGCTCCAGAGCGAACTCGTACTTGACATTGAGATAGCGTTGAATGGGATCGTTTTTGGCCAACAGCGATCCCTTGGCCGTGTAATCCTTTTTGGTTACCAATGGAGGCCGCCTAGATGATCGTGAAGTTTACCAATAGAGTGTAATAAATAGTGGTAAGCAAAAATGTAAGATATCACTACCTGATATCAGGATGTTTGTTCCTGCCGTATGAGACGGTAATATTACGGGAATCCAGATTCACAGGGGTACGTTCAGTGACCGTGAATGCTGGATCCGGTTTTGGCATTGGCTCATTCGCTTTCTGTGATTCAGGGATAGAGCTTGCGTGCTCCGTCTGGTGACGCCCAGTGATGCACTTGATCAGGTTTGGGAATCGCTCCACCTTTAGACGCGCAGCCTCTAGGGATCTTGAAAAGGGTTTTCTTTATCAGTAATTCTTAATGTCCCTTAACATGTCCAGACCAACCCAATATTAGGAAAATAGACAAAGTAAACGCGCGACACTCTGCGGAATTCCAAGTCCTGAATGAGAGCATGCCCAAAGAAGTTGATTAGCATCCTTTCTGTCACAGAAGAACTGCTCTTGGGAACCACCAGGTATGGATATTTAGCCTGCTTGATGGCGCGTTTCTCCTTTTCATCCTTGAGCGGAGCAGGAGCCTCCTCGATCAGATTCTGTCCACATTCGTTGATGTACTTGTTTTGCGCCTCGTTGTAGAAATCTTCAGCCATGGGATTAAAACCAGACCAGTCCTCCGGAAAAGTCCCCATTGCTCCTTCACTTTTAAATTAACCTGTGGTTTCACCTGTATTCGAATTACAAGCCAAGCGCGTGGATTACAAGAGTGTGACCGTAGCTCTTCGTGTATAACATCTTAAGTTAATAACTGTAAAAGTTGGAAATACCAAAAAAAATTTGGAATGATTATATTTTCAAAAAATATCTAAATTAAGAACCACTAAACAAAATAACATTTTTAATTCAAAGTACTTTCATAAATCACCAGTAAGTTTGGATCACACGCCCATAGTGTTCTTTCAGGCTAGAGCTCTTTTACCACTGTGCGTTCCAGCTTTAAGATACCAATAGTTTGATCATGTTAACTAGATTCCAACTTTTTGTGAAGTTTTAAAATTTTGAGTAGGCGAAGGAATGAATTGCGATTCCAAAACAGTAGAATACAAAAAACCCCGAATTCTTTTAAAGAGGATGGCCCACTTTTCTTTTTTATTGACTGTTATGACCAGTCATATCCTCTTTCCATGACAAGCAGCCAAAATAATGTGTAGAGATGTATGGATCATAATTTTTCGCATCATTAAATTACCAATCCCACGAATCACGGAAACATGCTGTGACAGATTGACCCGAACACTGTTGATTCATGTAGGTAATCAATTATTTTGTGATAAAAATATTTTGCCAGTGCCCCATTTTACAACTTATACTGTGTATTCGGCCATTAAGAATCAAGCTATTTTGTAAACGTTTAACTTACTAACTAGTCCTAGGATTTCTAACGATTTTTGATATCATATCATATCATAAATATATTATATTTATTTTTGCCACTGAAGGCAAATCTCTTGGAATTGTTAAAAAAATAAAATATAATCAATAATGTCAAGAAATATATCAACACATATAGACTAACAGAAATTATTGACTCCCTAATCTTGTAATGTTCAAGACCTAATGGTCAATTGTATTTCCAAATCTTCGTAAACCGAAAATTTTTTTTTTTCATATAAATTATGGACATATTTCTAAAGTGCAATTATTCTTTGTGAGTTCGCAAGTGTCGCTGAAGAGTTGAGTCCTGGACAAAAGTCTTTGAGCAATGGGTGCAGCTGAACGATCCTTCTTCGGAGTGGGCTCGTCGAAAGTGTCGCTGCAGACCTGAACTTCGTGTATAAGTTTTTGAGCATATTGTACACTTGAACGCTCGTTTTCCAGAGTGCGTTGTTAAGTGTTTTTGAAGAGATGAATTCTGGGCAAAAGCCTTAGAACACTGGGAACACTTATATGGCCGTTCCCCTGTGTGGGTTCTTAGATGTGACTGAAGATGTGATTTAATTGTGAAAGTCTTTGTGCAGTCGGTACAGTTAAAAGGTCGTTCGCCAGTGTGGTATCGCAAGTGCACCTGAAGACTTGAATTCGATATAAAAGTGTTTGAGCAGTAAGTACACTTGTGTGCTCGTTCTCCTGTTTGGGTTTGCATGGGCTCCTGAAGACTGCTTTTGTTAGTTTCTCCTTCGCTGTGAGTTCGTAAGTGGGACTGAAGATGTGAATTCTTCTTATAAGTCATTGGGCAGGAGGTGCACTTAAATGCTCGTTCTACTGAGTGTGTCTTATAGTGTACCTTGAAATCTGTCTTATTTGTGAAAATCTGTGGACAGTGGGTACACTTAAACTCCTGTTCTTCTGTATGTATTTTCATGTGTTTCTTGAGATATCCTTTACTTTTAAAGTTCTTTGAGCAGTCCGTACATTTGAAAGGTTTTTCTTTTGAATGGGAATTCATGTGTATCTTAAGAAGTGATTTATATAGAAATGACATTGAACATTCGGTGCATTTGAGTGGTTGTTTTTCCGCGTGGGTTTCCATGTGTGCCTCAAGACTTGATTTCGACCGGAAAGTCTTTTCACAAGTAGAGCATTTATGACCATTGTTATTATTATCGTCACTATTATAAGAGTCACAAGAGTCTTCATCACTTCCATGCGATTTATCTTCATAGTCAGAATCATCGTCAGAATAAACATTTTTCCGTCGTTTTTGTCGTTTACCTTTAGAATCAACATCTTCCTGTTGTTCATCTTCAAAATCTCCATCATCGTTAGGATCATCATTTTCGTCGACATAATCGTTATAATCATGTCTCTGCCATTCATAATTATAGTCTACATCAATTTTTGAATCATTAAATTCTAAACATTCATCGCCCATTTCCTCGATCTTCACATCACAATCGAACCGAAGGTGTTCCCCTATAGAATGCTCAAGTGTATCGTTCTGTACTGCGTATTTGTCTTCAAGTGCCGGCCCTTCAAAATCTTCAATAACTTCCTCCTTAACTGGGCAAAGACTCGAAAAGGGTGCTTCACAACTTTTTGATTCATGGCACACTTCTTCCTCCAGTGAGTCCTTTTCCAGCAAGTTCTTACTTAACTCGCAATAGAATTTATAGCTCTTCTCGTACGTACGCTTTATTTCGAATGCGTTTCGCGCTTCCTTTACGCATAAAGGGCAGATGGTATTGGAAAACTCGTCCCCTTTTCCAACTGTACACCCAGTGCACTCAGTAATCATATTTGCAATGGAAACTCCTTGGGTGTTAGTCTCTTCGAAAATGTTGATCATATTTTCGGAAGTCCCGAGGCATGCACGGCATATTTGCGACTCCATCGCTCTGGAATTAAAAAAATTTAATAAAATGAATTTGCAGTACGAAAAGCAGTACTTACGAACAGCAGAATAGATATATCTCTAAATCAAATGCTTTGGTTTTTTACTTTGTCGATTTCTATCAAATAAACTTACTTTCCTACAGAAGAATAGAAATGTCTCTAAATCAAACCTTTGGTTTTTTACTTTGTCGATTTCTATCAATAATAACAATGCAATCGTGCACGGGGAAGGCACTATCGATATTATCACCAAAGGCCGCCAAATTCCAAAATAGCAGGGGCTTAATCTTGTTGCCCGGTTTTCCCTCCTTGGGGGGTTTGGAAAAAAAATTAAAAAAAGTTCTTTCCCTAAAAGCAAATAGCGTTTCAAGTTGGAATCGGCTGGAGGAATTAAGAAGGAGGTATTCGTTTTTGGTAGGGCTATCGATAAAGTAGGAGGGTGGCAACTCCTACTGGAGTGGCGCCCCCTTCTGCTGATGTCTTGGCTATCTAGCTATTTAAACTAGCCCGGTTCGCTCTGGGTATGGCTAGGATGGCCTTGATATGTCCAATGACCCAATTTCGAGAGAGGCGAAGGGAATATGGCGAGATATAGGCATGATAGGCAAATTTCTATATAGTCGCAGCCATATTGTCCCAGCAGACAGAACATAAAAATGTTAAAATAGTGTTTGTGCCGAAATATATAAAAAGTGAGTGTTAGAAAAATTTGTGTTAGGTTTAATAGTTCATTTTATTTATAAATAATTATTCGTAGGGCAACCGGGGTCCCAATACAAAGGGCCCCGGGATATTTACATTGGAGGAGTTTAAATTGGAAGTTACACAGGGATATTTAAATTGGAAGTTACATCGGGATTTCAAATTGGAAGTTACATTGGACTAAATAAATTGGAAATCGCTAACTGGACTAAATAAATTGGAAGACTTAATTGGACTAATTAAATTGGAATATTTAATTCGGAGATTTGCATCCATATCCATACGCACCTTCGTTCGACCCAGCGATACGAAGCAGACCAGCATAACTAGCCTTCCTCGGACGCCGCCAACGCTTTTATAAAATACGCCGGTGAGTCCGTTCCTGGCTGTTAAGTCCCCTTGGGGTACTGGCTGCCATTTCGCGCGGCGTTGAAAGTCACCGCCATCAGGCTCGCCTTCGCCACAGTTCCTCGGGGTGTTCCAGGCCCTTATTGCTGCTGGCCTCCGGCAGAGTACACTGTAGTCGGGGCATAGTTAGCCCGGCGCCTAGCCCAGAAGTGGCTGAAATTATTAACGTTAATTTAACTGTGCACATTATTAAATTTATGTACTTACCTGTTGACCTGTAAATTTATCCGGACTTAGACCCGAAAACCTCAATTCTTGTCCTCGTTGTTGCCTGTAAAAAAGGGTCGCGATTATTAGTTTTCGGCGGGATTGTTTACAGCGCGTAATACTTACCGTTTGGCCTGTCCCTTCTTTTCCCTAGGAGCTCCTCAGGATTAGGTGACCCGACACATACCTAGTGTGTGCCCTTTTTTGCGCCTCGTTCCACTGCGAGTTCCACCAATACATGTCTGGTGGAACATTATTTCCGCGGCGCCTGTAGCCTTTGCCAAAGGAAGGTAATCTTCCGCTTTGACCGCGTAGATTTGTAGACGGTGGCCAAGTTTGGTCGTAAAGGCTATGAAAGGATAAATTAATTACTAGGAGAACAAGTTAGGTTAACTTTAGTACTTACTGTGGATATTAAATGTACATGAAGACTGAAATGTACGAGTGAGTTGTCGTTGTGGGGGAGATGGAGCTGTCCTAGTCGCGAGGAGTGACTTCGACCAGCTGATTATGGGTGATGCCTCCTCAGAATCATCCGGGGCATCCTTGGTTGGGTGGGCGTGCTTGGCTAAGTCATCGATAGCCACCAAAACACCACATTTTTCCCGTCCATTATAATTGTTTGCATTGTTTACATTTTGGTTTGTTTTGTTTGTTAGTGATGAGCGATAGTTTTTGTGAAGTGAGACGCGCGTATATCGATGTTTATGTTGTGGAATCTGTAGGGACATTGGGGATACTCCGCCCTGGGGATTCGGGAGCTAGCCGGCGCCGTCCCAGGACCAAATGCAGTTCCATAACATAGTGGCGCCCAAAGTAAAAAAAAATAAATCGTCGAGACGACGACGTCTCGCATATAGGGATTTGCCTCGCATAGCCTCCGCTCCGGTGACTTGCAGAGCAACAGCAGGTTGTATGCAACTGCACCGAGAGTGGTGGGCTGCGAGGCAGAGAGAAAGGCTTAGAGGGATTTTTGAGCAGGCAGGAGGCTTGACTCCGAATGGAGACAATGGCTCCTGGTCACAGCACAGACGAGGTGACCTGCGGGTGGCATCTTGGCCCAGAAGGGAAAAGATTTGCATCCGCGGATAGCTAAATTTGTGATAAAAACTGTGATAATAAACTGTGATAAAATATGTTAGGGCGTAGATTTTTATTTATTTATTTATTTTTATTTATATTTTGTGTTTGTGGGGTAAAGTCCGTTGTAGTAATTCCATTTGTTGTTTTTTTTGTTGATCCGGAGGCTTTTGGTTTCTCGGATGTGTTTGATACCTTCTGTCGGTTGGATGCTTAAATGTGTGTTCGTGACCCGTGACTTATGTACACGCGCTGCACGAACACCTCGATTTAAGGATCAAACCACAAACGGGAAAACAAAGCCAACAGGACTCAACGAGCAGCCGATGTCCTTAACTGGCGGCTATCACCAAGAGTGATAGCCAGTCCAGTTGACGAGCGGCGTGTGGAAGGATGTGACGGGAAAAATTGGGTTTTGGAAAGCACCGGACGAGCTAGGTCGGAAGTCCACCGGCGAGGGTCAGTTCCATCTCCCCATGTCAAAAAAATCTCAAAAGAAGTAAATCAGGAAGGGAAGAATCATAGATATATTATTTATTTATTTATTTACCCTATTTAATTATTCTATTTATCTTCGTACATTATTTATTTATTTTTCCAAACATTTATTTGTTTACTAAAAAAAAATATTTATTTACTAAAAAATTATAAATTTATCTTTCCTAAAATTTATATTTATCATTTATTTATTTATTTAAAATTTTGTTTCTATAATTATTATCTGTTATTACATGTTTATATATTTATCTGTTTATTTATTATTTGCTAGTCCTTATTTTAATATTTATTATTCTTCTTAAGTATTTATTTCTTGTGGTGATTTGTTTAGGGTAGGATATAGGAATTCTGAGGGAGATAGGTATATTTCTGTTTTGTTGTTCGGTGCGATACAAAGATGCCTTCCAATTACGATCTCCGATCGAAGGTTCTTCCGGCCGAGGAAGAGGAGAAATTGTGGTCCACCGATTTAGATGAGGTTGCCGGGGCCGAACAGCCACGGATATCGATGGGACTGCCAAGGACTCCGTTGGGTCGTCTTCATCAGGAGCTGCGCAGGGAACTTCAGATGGGAGCAGATCCCACGCAACATCAAGTTCCGGAGCAAGTGAGCTCGGAGGCGTTTCTGGACAACGCGGCGAAATCGGCAGTAAATGTGGCATTGGCCCAGGCGGCAGAGACCCATCGGAAGGCTCAGGAGTCCGGCGTCAGCCAGTCCTTAAGGGATGAAATCCGAGGTGGGTTCCTGGAAATGATGAAGCTGATGAACGAGGTGTTAAGGCCTGCTGCTCAGCGGCCGCAGCTTCCACAGGGGAACCATACCGATCAGCAGCAACATCCAGGTTGGACGGACACGGCGGCACCACAGGCTCCAAGTCTGGTCCAGAAAGGGGCGATTCCGAAGACTGCACCATCAGCAAGTACGATTGGCTCCCGTCCACCGCCACCAAAGGTTCCACCAAAGCCGCCTAGAAGGCCCTTGGAGTCGTTTCCGGTGGAGAGCAGCAGTCCAGGATATCCTCTGGATGGCGAACGAGGGCGACGCAACGAGCCTCGAAATTGGCACTTCGAGGACCGCAGGGCTTCTGATTTCCGCGAGGAGCCGCGCTTTTACGCCAATACAGGGCCAGGTGGCGGCAGCCAACAGGTTCGCATCGAGCGGTGGGGCGTTTCATTTGATGGCGAGGACGAGCGAAACTCGGTGGAAGATTTCCTGTTCCGGCTCGAGTTCCTGCAGCGGCAGTACCAGTGCCCTTGGCAGGAAGTGCTCCGCCATTTCCATGTGCTGCTAACCGGACGGGCACGCGAGTGGTATTGGGTCCACGTGCGTCACTGTAGGGTGGAGAGATGGCCACAGCTGCGTGCTGCGCTGATGGACAGGTTCCGAGGCCACCAGACGGAGCACGACCGGATGCATCAGCTTCTGCAGAGGGAACAGCAGCCGGGAGAAGCCGTTGAGGACTATGTCCATGCGATGCAGCAGCTAGCCTCTCGCCTAAAAAAACCACTGTCAGAGCGACAGATGGTTAAAATAATTAAAAAGGGCTTGAGAGAGGGTATTGCAAGATTTGTTTACGCAATGGATGTGATGACTGTGGACGAGTTGAGGGAAGAGTGCTGCGAGGTGGAGCGCAATTTTGGACGACGAGGACGTGCGGCCTATGCGCACCCGATGCGTTATCCTCCGGCGGAGAAGGCCAGGGTTAGCGAGGCAGCTGGTCCCGACACTGCAGAGGATTCCCAGTGGCAGGTGGAGGCGTTGCAAGCGAAGACCCGAAATCCGTTCCGAGCGGGCTGCTGGAATTGCGGAGCCGTAGACCACGGGTTCCGTGACTGCGCGGCAACAGAACGGCGCCTGTTCTGCTACCGATGCGGAAGGCCAGACACTGTGTCTCCGAGATGTCCGGATTGCGCGGAAAACGGTCGGCTGGGCGATCTGAGAGCGGGAAGGATGCGTCCAGACAAGAGTCCCGCGATGCAGTAAATGTTCTAGAATGTAAAAAAGGTTTAGTATGTACGAGTAGGAATAAGCACAGTTTAAAATACTTACCTTATGAGGAAAGGATGCGTCGGTACCTGGAGACCAGGAACCGAATTTTCTCCGAGCACCAGTTAGCCGGCATGCGAACGGTGTCTAGGAAAGTCCAGAAGGCCAGGGATCGATTCCGTAAGAGACGAGCGAAGAGGCGAGAAGTGGTTGCCGCTGTGAAGCGCAGTGGAACGGGAGACCCTCGACCATTCGCTGAAGTCCGGATCCTGACCCAACAGCTGACTGGCTTATTGGACACGGGAGCTAGTGTCAGCCTGCTGGGCAAAGGTGGAAGAGAGCTCGTCGAGGCGTTGGATGTACCAATCCAGAAGTACCTGTCTGTGGTCCGAACGGCGTCTGGAGAGGATCGCACGATTATAGGACGCGTCGAGCTACCTGTGGAGTACCGAGGACAGATAAAGCGGATCCTGTTCTATGTATGTCCATACCTGGAGCAGGAAGCCTATTTCGGAGTGGACTTCTGGCAGGCGTTTGGCTTGGCTCCAGCGGTGATAGGCCCCAGCGACCCGGAAAGCGTCAAGGCAGACGAAATCCACGCTAGGGATATGGAGCACTACGCCGAACAGGAAGATGACGACGAGGAGAAACCGGATCCCGAATCCTGGACGTTATCTGAGGCCGACGCACGACAGCTCGCGGAGATCCAGGAGGTGTTTCTCACATTTGAGAAGGATGGTCTGGGTACGACGAATTTGGAGAAGCACACGATCGAGCTGATCGAGGGAGCCAAGGTCTTCAAGGATCGGCCATATCCCATGTCTCCAGCGAAGCAGAAGGTAGTCGAGGACGAGGTGGACAAGATGCTGGCGCTCGGAGTCATCGAGGAGAGCATGAGCCCGTGGAGCAACCGGACGACGGTAGTGTCGAGGCCTGGGAAAGATCGGTTCTGCTTAGACGCGCGCAAATTGAACGATTTGACCATTAAAGACGCTTACCCGCTGCCGAGTATCGACGGAATCCTGTCCAGAATCGACCAAACGTTCTACATTTCCAGCGTGGATTTGAAGTTCGCATTCTGGCAGATCGAGTTGGACCCGAAGAGCAAGGAACTGACGGCATTTACGGTTCCTGGTCGGCCTCTCTACCAGTTCCGGGTGATGCCATTCGGACTTTGCAACGCGGCGCAGCGGTTGGTGAGACTTATGGACCGAGTGATCCCAGCTGAGATCCGTTCCAACGTTTTTGTCTACCTCGATGATCTGTTGATACTGGCTCCAGATATCCAGACACATTTCAGATACCTTCGGCGCGTTGCAGAATGCCTGAAAGAAGCGGGGTTAACGATAGGTATGAGTAAGTCAAAGTTTTGCTTCAAATCATTGACCTACCTGGGCTTTATCGTTGGTGGAGGTCGTCTACGAATGGATCCGGGACGAGTAGCAGCGATCAGGAGGATGCCAGAGCCTAGGACGATGAAGGAGGTGAGAGCGTTCCTTGGGACTGCTGGATGGTACCGCCGGTTCATAAAGAACTTTGCGACGTTGGCCGCCCCGCTCACTGAATCGCTGAAGAAAACTGGAAATTCTAAGTTTTCCTTGAGTCCAGAGGCCCAGCTAGCCGTAGAGTCATTGAAGATGGCTTTAACGACTGCACCAGTCCTGGTGCATGCAGACTTCAAGAGACGGTTTTTTATCCAGTGCGATGCGTCACACGTCGGAGTCGGGGCGGTGCTTTTCCAGCGAGACGACGACGGACAAGAGCAGCCAATTGCCTTTTTCTCGGCCAAGATGAATAAACATCAGGTAAATTACACCGTGACCGAGAAAGAGTGTCTCGCGGCGCTCATGGCCATCCGGAAGTTCCGGCCATATGTCGAAGGGATGCCATTCACCTGCATCACGGATCATGCCAGCTTGAAGTGGCTCATGTCCATGAAGGATCTGACGGGACGTTTGGCGAGGTGGTCGCTGCAGCTTCAAGGGTTCCACTTCAACATAGAGCACCGAAAAGGAAGCGAGAACGTCGTGGCAGACACCCTTTCACGGTGTGTGGAGGAGCTCGTAGTGAATCCGACGGATTTGTTGGGTTTCGAAACCACCGAGTTCGCTGGAGAAGGTTATCTCGAGTTAGTGAAAGATGTGGAAGACAACTTGGAAAACTTACCGGACTTGAAGATCGAGGATGGTCTCATCTTCAAGAGAGTCTCTTCATCAAATTTGGACAACGAGGTGGAAGGCTCGGAGTGGAAACTGTGGATCCCACAGAGTCTAACCCACAGCCTAATTGAGCGTGCACATACGGACCCAACAGCAGCTCATGGCGGAATGGGAAAGACTCTGGAAATCCTCCGACGCCAGTTCTACTGGCCAGGCATGGTTCTCCAAGTCCGCGAGTTTGTGCGTGGATGTGATGTCTGCAAGGAGTCCAAAGCGCCAAATTTCCGGATGCAGGTCGGTATTGGAGAAAGAGTCCAGACGGAACAGCCATTCCAGAAGCTGTATATCGACTTCTTGGGGAAATATCCGAGGTCAAAGAAGGGTCATGCCTGGATTTTTATCGTGGTGGACCATTTCTCGAAATTCGTATTCTTGAAGGCCATGAAGGAAGCTACCTCCTCGAACGTCGTCGATTTCCTCATCCACGAGGTGTTTTATAAATTTGGCGTCCCGGAGGTAATACACTCAGACAATGGTCGGCAGTTCACGTCGAAGATCTTCCAGGAGGCGATGGAGAGTTTCGGTATCTCACATCTAAAGACTCCGGTATACTCCCCACAGAGCAACGCCGCAGAACGAGTAAATCGAAGCGTGTTGGCCGCAATCCGGAGCTTTTTAGATGGTGACCATCGAGACTGGGACGTGTACCTTCCTGAGATTGAGGTAGCCCTTCGAAACGCGATCCACTCGGCGATAGGAGAAGCGCCTTTCTTTACGGTGTTCGGACATCATATGTTCCTGAACGGCGCCAACTATAGGTTAGCGAGGAAGCTACAGTCCTTGTGTGACCACGAGATGGCGGGGATGAAGACGGCGGACAAACTCCGAGTGATCCAGGAAAAAGTCCGGAAGAATCTGGAGACAGCCTATGACCGAAGCCGCAAGCGATATGACCAACGGGCTCGAAACTTCATGGCCAAGCCAGGTCAAGAGGTATACCGCCGAAACTTCGTTCTTAGTGATTTTGGCAAGTCGTTCAACGCTAAGTTCGCTAGGAAATTCCTTAAGGCTCGAGTGGTGAAAGCCGTTGGTAACAATGCCTATGAGTTGGAAGACCTGCAAGGATGCCACCTCGGAGTTTACCACGCCAAGGACATCCGGGTATAACCTGAAAAGAGGCAGCATAAATTAAAGGAACGAAACAAAAAAACCAAGGCAGTATTTACCGGTAAGCGTGGGCCCCGCGTAGGGCACCGTTTGGAACTGCATTCGGATTTCGCCAGACACCGATCTCCAATGCTCCCAATGATTTCGTCGAGTGGCCATGGTTCGAAGGCGTCCCTCTAAATCCTTGGGTGGTGTTGCATTTCAAGTTGGAATCGGCTGGAGGAATTAAGAAGGAGGTATTCGTTTTTGGTAGGGCTATCGATAAAGTAGGAGGGTGGCAACTCCTACTGGAGTGGCGCCCCCTTCTGCTGATGTCTTGGCTATCTAGCTATTTAAACTAGCCCGGTTCGCTCTGGGTATGGCTAGGATGGCCTTGATATGTCCAATGACCCAATTTCGAGAGAGGCGAAGGGAATATGGCGAGATATAGGCATGATAGGCAAATTTCTATATAGTCGCAGCCATATTGTCCCAGCAGACAGAACATAAAAATGTTAAAATAGTGTTTGTGCCGAAATATATAAAAAGTGAGTGTTAGAAAAATTTGTGTTAGGTTTAATAGTTCATTTTATTTATAAATAATTATTCGTAGGGCAACCGGGGTCCCAATACAAAGGGCCCCGGGATATTTACATTGGAGGAATTAAATCGGAAGTTTAAATTGGAAGTTACACAGGGATATTTAAATTGGAAGTTACCCAGGGATATTTAAATTGGAAGTTACATCGGGATTTCAAATTGGAAGTTACATTGGACTAAATAAATTGGAAATCGCTAACTGGACTAAATAAATTGGAAGACTTAATTGGACTAATTAAATTGGAATATTTAATTCGGAGATTTGCATCCATATCCATACGCACCTTCGTTCGACCCAGCGATACGAAGCAGACCAGCATAACTAGCCTTCCTCGGACGCCGCCAACGCTTTTATAAAATACGCCGGTGAGTCCGTTCCTGGCTGTTAAGTCCCCTTGGCTGCCCATTTCGCGCGGCGTTGAGAGGCACCGCCATCAGGCTCGCCTTCGCCACCGCTCCTCGTAGTGTTCCTGGCCATTATTGCTGCTGGCCTCCGGCAGAGTACACTGTAGTCGGGGCATAGTTAGCCCGGCGCCTAGCCCAGAAGTGGCTGAAATTATTAACGTTAATTTAACTGTGCACTTTATTAAATTTATGTACTTACCTGTTGACCTGTAAATTTATCCGGACTTAGACCCGAAAACCTCAATTCTTGTCCTCGTTGTTGCCTGTAAAAAGGGGTCGCGATTATTAGTTTTCGGCGGGATTGTTTACAGCGCGTAATACTTACCGTTTGGCCTGTCCCTTCTTTTCCCTAGGAGCTCCTCAGGATTAGGTGACCCGACACATACCTAGTGTGTGCCCTTTTTTTGCGCCTCGTTCCACTGCGAGTTCCACCAATACCTGTCTGGTGGAACATTATTTCCGCGGCGCCTGTAGCCTTTGCCAAAGGAAGGTAATCTTCCGCTTTGACCGCGTAGATTTGTAGACGGCGGCCAAGTTTGGTCGTAAAGGCTAAGGAATGATAAATTAATTACTAGGAGAGCAAGTTATGTTAATTTTAGTACTTACTGTGGATATTAAATGTACATGAAGACTGAAATGTACGAGTGAGTTGTCGCTGTGGGGGAGATGGAGCTGTCCTAGTCGCGAGGAGTGACTTGGACCAGCTGATTATGGGTGATGCCTCCGCAGAATCCTCCGGGGCATCCTTGGTTGGGTGGGCGTGCTTGGCTAAGTCATCGATAGCCACCAAAACACCACATTTTTCCCGTCCATTATAATTGTTTGCATTGTTTACATTTTGGTTTGTTTTGTTTGTTAGTGATGAGCGATAGTTTTTGTGAAGTGAGACGCGCGTATATCGATGTTTATGTTGTGGATACTGTAGGGATATTGTAGGGATATTGGGGATACTCCGCGGGGGGGGGGGGGGGGGGGGCCCCCCCAGGAGAAAATGCAGTTCCATAACAAATAATTCTGTTATTTGAAAAGTTTGTTAAAAAAAAGTTATGACAACTATTATTTTTTAAATAATACCAAGTATGGTGCTGTCACATTGGTTCCTTTTCGCTTGTGCTAATCTTTTTTATAATATCGAAAGGGGCTTCGTAGCTCTCACAGACTCAACTGAAATTCAAGTTCTTAACTTTGGTATATTGGTACAATCTACAAACGGCCACACTCGCGCAAAAAAAAATCAAAGCCAGTTGAAAAAACTTGTAAACAATCTTTGAAAAACGCCATCAAAATGGTTAAAAACGAGCCCAACTTTGTGGTGGAGCGCATCATGGATAAGCGGATCACCAGCGACGGTAAAGTTGAGTACTTCATCAAATGGCGCGGCTACACGTCGGCGGACAATACCTGGGAGCCTGAGGAGAACTGCGAATGTCCAAACCTTATCCAAAAATTCGAGGAGTCCCGGGCCAAGTCCAAAAAGCGCGGCGAAAAAAAGCCCAAGTGCGAGGAGATCCAGAAGCTGCGTGGCTACGAGCGCGGCCTGGAGCTGGCGGAGATTGTAGGAGCCACGGATGTAACGGGTGACATTAAGTACCTGGTGCGCTGGCAGTTCTGCGATGAGTTCGATCTCGTACCCAGCAGCCAGTTGTCGGAGAAGGATCCGCAGATGCTGATTGCATACTACCAGAAGATGGCTCCGTACACCCGTCACATTGCGCGCCGGATGAAGGGTGTGCCGGAGGAGTTGCGATCGGTGGCCTCCCGCACTAGCTATCCCCACATTAGCAGTGCTCCCGTTGAAGTTCATCCAGAGGTGGATCAGGCATCGGGTTTGGTGGGGCATCTCGGCGTCATGCCCCAGGTTGACCAGGTACCGCAGCACCCCATGGATCTCGCTGATGACCCCGACGACCTGGCCAGCGTTTCCTATTCGATTCCAGTGGCCGGCGTTGGCGACATTGGCATCGATGTGCCCATGGAGGATCAATAAGCACGTTAACGCAGATTCATTCACTCAATGTTTAATCTTAGTCCCTAAGCTAACCTATATGTAAAGCTATCTGAATCCGATAGGCTCGTCCAGATTGATACGGCCCAGTTGTCCGCTCCGAAAAAAGTGAATAAACTTTCGCGCGGCCGCCAATAAATTTGTCATCACCTCGACTCTTCCGTCGTACTGTTTAACCTTGTGGAAGAGCTCTTCCCGATGGGCGTACTCCGCCAGTACGGCGCTGATATTGTCACTGGGTCCGGAACTCAATTTCAACTTCTCCACATAATCGTAACGGCGGTGACTGTTCAGCCAGTAGAGCAGGTAGTCGGCTATCAGGTCCTCACCCACGATATGATCTGGAAGGCAGCCGACTAAAGCCAACTTCATGCCCATTTCATCATCTTGAACAGAGGGCTGTAGGATTCCGGGTGTGTCGATCATGTAGACAGGTGGGTTCTCCTGGATTTTGATACGTTCTCCCACGGCTCTTGTGATTCCCGCCTCTGCTCCCACGCGGGCGGCGCTTTTTCTTTTGAGATGCACATTCCTCAGGACATTAATCACGGAACTCTTGCCAACATTGGGCACTCCGATGATCATGAGGTTGTGCTCCACTGCCTGAGTGCGATTAAAGCGACTACTCTCGCCCACGAGGCGAGTGGCCAAGGGCAAGATGTCCAGCACGCCATGGTTTCTCTGATCCTTACAGTTGGTGAACAGAATGTGGCGAAGCTCGGGCTGCTGCCTTCTCAGCTGTTGAATCACATTTTTTTGCAGCTTCGGTCCCAGGAGATCGACTTTATTGAGGACCAGAATGTGAGGTTTAACGCCACTTCCTAATGGACACATCTAGATTGAGTTGTAATATTGGGTTTAAGATTAACCCACCTGTGATTGTGTCAAAAAACTGCGAGTTCCTGCCCGCCAGTGGGATGCGTGCATCATGGATTTCAACAATGCAGTCAACAGTTCGCAGTTTTTGTTGGATTTGACGCATGCCTTTGGTCATATGGCCGGGGAACCAATTAATCCGCTGTTTCGCCGGCAGCCGGAAGGCACTGCGAAAGGGGTTAAGCTGAGCTGCCATGGTGCGGAATCCATGCAATGCTTTAAATCCAAAACTAGTAACAGCTGTTAGCCAGTGACGTAACAGTTGCCCATATGCTGCGCGGCGAGGGGGTCACATTGGCTAAGGGAACTTATAAATTATAAATTCAGGCATAATATAATAATATTGGTAAGCCATGGGAATTTAAAAAAGCCGAGACATCTATGTATATAATTAAAAGCAATTTCTAAAATATAGCACATAGTAAGCCAAATCGCGTAAGTGTGGAAACACTGGCGAAAGTGAAACTGAAATTCAAAATCTTCAAAATCGGCAAAATGAAATTCATAAAGTCCCTGCAACGGAATTTTTCATTTCAAAAAAATCTTGATATTGAGTTTTAAAGATACATGCATGCTTATGTAAAGTATCATTCGAGCTAGAAATAAATCTTTAAACTTAAGCCCTACCAAACCTTATCCTATCTACAGTTCATCTTTTTTATACGAAATATGGATAAGGTGGTCCTCCGGCTGAACCTCGTATTTCAGCAACTTTACATAGCTTTTAAGCAGCTTTCGCCAGTAGCACTTAATATCCTTCATGCGGAGGTGGTTCCAGATGAAGTCGTATCCTCGCTGGGATATCTCCTGGGCCAAGGCATCATTTCTTTTAAAGAATGACAAGATCTCTTCATACTCCTGCTGGGTTGGATAACTCTTTAGCGGTACATAATGCACCCAGGGCTTCAGTTGGTCGTAGAAGAACTCCTGCCACTCGTCGCCCACATGGAAGACCAGTGATTTGCAGAGGAACAAGTGCTTCAGTCGGAAACTGGCGGCCACTCCGCGGAAATTAAACAAATATTTGTACTTGCAGTGATCCTCAAAGGACACCTCATCGGCGGCCGGTGCATCTAGGGTGTCTTTAGGAGACTTCCAGCCCTGATTCTTGGTGTATTGAGCCTCCACTAGCTCGGGATTACGGCGTGATAGCAGGATTAGAGAGTCGCGCTCGTCGGATGTGCGTGAGCCGCGAAAAAATCCCAGGTCGCGCTTTTGCGACCAGGGAATAGCCGCCGCCCGCTTTTCCAGCTTGTCCCGCATCTGATCCCATCGCCCAATGCCACGAGGATGTAGCTTGGTAGCTGGTCCTCCGGCCCAGAATGTCCACGCTGGATACATGATGTCGCGGTACTCTTTTGTCTTGGAGAACGAGAATACCGGACCGCCGGCAGTGTTACCCCAGGCGGTGTTCAGTTGCGGATAATCCCTGGTGTTTATTATCAGATCCATGTTGGGTAGCGTCGCCACCAGCGGCAGGAGAAAGTGTTCGATGCCCTGACAGCGGGATGGGAACATGCAGTTGTCATCCCGGTACAAACGGTGTTCGTAAACCTTATATTTTGTGCCATATCTCGAAGAACTTTCGATCATTTGCCGGCTGACACCTGTTGACTTGTAGGGTGCCAGATCCCGCTTCAAAACATCCGCGTGGCAAGTGCAATCGGAGTCCTTTGGGTCGCTGCTGCAAGCCTTGTAGTCAATATTGGCTTTCTCGATCTGCCGTCTTATCTTGAAGCTTACTTAATGCAGGAGAACTAGTTAAGAAGAGGTAAAACCAAAGCCGGCAACAAGTTGCTTACGTTCATCCTGGGTTATATCATCATGTTCACTTTGCCCACAGGTTTTATCCTCGGCACTACATAGTCCTTCATCTTCAGCACATCCCTTTTTGCCAAAAATGAATAATAATGCGATTAATATATGATTTATGATCATTTTTTATAAAGGTAAACAAGTTTCGGCCCCCGAATGCAGCGTCAGCGAAAGGGTTGCCATGAGCATACAAAATTATCGATAGGCACAAAAATGCAATTCGAACCTATACTGTTTATTAAAAAAGTTGTTTGGCAATAAATACATAAAATACAATAATTAATAACTGTTTTTAAAATTTGCGATGAATTGGCCTTAATTTGAAATCCTAAGAACAAAAATTACAGATAAAACATATTTTTAGAGCCTAGCAACTCTGTCATTAAAGCAGTGATTCAACTGCTATTTTATTAGGATGACCATGCTTTATCATTCGGTACAAAACCTCCATAAAATTCACAGCAGCTTGCATGGTCAATGGTGATTTGGTCACCCTAAGCGCTTAACTGTTCCTCGAGTTTACTTTTCCACCACGGTGTGGACACACTGGCCGCTATTACCATTATAAGAAAACCAACAAGAAACGTCGAAAGTTTTCTCCGTGTTAAAACCAGCCAAATTACTAACGAAATCGACGATTTGCGAATCGCAAATTATGCGTGCGGCACTCAGTGCAATCGAAACCACGTAAACCCAACGAACGCGAGTGTTTTAGACCACCTGCAACTGAAACAAAAACAACCACCATTGTACATAATTTACCCACATATTTTTGCAACAACAACAACAAAGGACGCCGAGCTGAAAGAGAGAAGTTGACATAACTGCAAAAGTAAATTGTATTAAACAGTGGTGGGCACAACAATAAATCACGGGTAGTAATTTTGGCAACGAAAAAAAGAAGAAGAAAACTGCACAAACCAATTGGAGTGGGAGTGGTCAACTGCAGAAATTATGTTGTTTTGTTGAGACAATTGCCAAAAACGCCATAAAAATTCAACTAACAAAGGTAATTTCATCTGTGCGTAATACATTTTGTTATTTATTTTCTAGGGAATATATATTTGTGTGTGTGGGCGAACTACGAATAACAGTTAATTGAGCACTCATCGATTTTTAGCCCCTTTTTTGTTGATCGAAAAACAACAATTTAAATTCATTTCACCTCACGATCCGATCGGCAGATAAAATAGAAAATAAGCCAGAAACGTTGGAAAAGTTGCCCGCCGTCGTCATTAAGTTGATTTGCTACTGCCGCTGAGCTGCGATTTAATTTACCCCATTCGCCTGGCATTTGGATTGCTTTTCGATCTTTGGTTTCCCATCGTCGGATTTTCCTCGCCCAAAAACGTATCGCTTTCGTTTTCACATTGGACCGCGTTATAATGGCTTTTTTTTGGTCCGCGACCTAGGGTCGTACCGCCCCTTCCCCTTGGGCACCCGCCACCCATCAAACCACCTGACTAATTAGTGTTGAGTTATTAACTTGATAATTATCGCTAGCCATGAGCGAGGTGCACTATTGGAGTTCTGCAGAACAGGGAAACTTTCGTGACTCCGAACTATATGAAACATTTCAGTTATAAAGACTTTGACTCAGAAACAATATGTTCGTTTTTATTTTTCGAGAAAGTGATTAAATTAGTATACAGCATTTTTAGTATTAACTTTGAGAATTCTTTTTGGAAAGCTAATGCAATTTCTTAGAACAATTTTGTAGAAACAGAACTAATATTCATTTTGCTCTTTGGGGTTTTCAGTAAATTATAAATACTTTTTTTAATACAGATCAGGTTTCGAATTTATAGTAAACAAAAAGTAAGAAATATTAGTACATCGATAAACTCAAAAATTAGAGTTACGGAAGTATAACTGTAGCTGTATCTTGCAGTGACTAAGAAATAACTTTGATATCTTTGAGGTCTTTTCGTTAAACTCGTTTGAAACACCATATCGAAATACTGAAAAAACATAATAAACACAAACAGTAATCCGAGCTTGGCGCTGACAAAAGCTTCGCTTTGTTTATGGAAATACATATCGTCATAATCAAGCTTTCGGCTCTGGAGTCACACGTAAATCTCTGCGCATTCAAACGTATCGATGCGATAGGCTACCCTGACTATCTGGGATTACGTTTTTCCAATCAATGGTTCTTGGGAGAAAAACTACGACTCATTTGCATATCAATGGAGTGGCTCTAATGACTCGATTGATTACCATTTTGAGCAACCTTTTTCTTTTGTGTAATGCCGGAAGTTGTTATAAATTCTTGTATTTATTACGTATAGATAATGGTCTTAGAATGTTTACAAACGAACGTCTGCCGGTTGGTCTGCTACCGTTGGTTAGTGGCCAACTTTAACAGCTGCCATTAGCCGCAGTCACGCAGTCTGGCCCATACATCAATTATGTATTCCTTTGGGCAGGCAAATGACTCAACCCCCGTTCAAAACCACCCATTTTTACACCCACTCCGCCCTGGCGCTGCATGCCTAACCCAACCAAATGATTCATCAAAACTTGGCGTAGGCAGTTTATGCAGATTCTTTACCTTTATGTCAGCCAAGTGGCTGTAACACATTTTCATTATGCTCTGCTCTCGCTCCCAATTTCTCCCTCTCAATTTTTCCGTCATTTCCTGACAGACACTGAGCTTGCGCATTGGAAAATTGCTTTTTCCAGAGCGGTAACTCTTATGTTAAGAAGTGTGTTGAATTTAGAATTGCCAGGGTTGGGTTAACAGTTTATTTAGGAAGATAAACAGCAGGTTAACACTTCGCATAAAGTTGAAACATGTTTTAGTAGAATCTTGTTGCTCTTATAAACTTTAAAATATTTTAAAAAAGCATGTCCCTCTTGTTTTCTAATTTCAAATCAAAGAGTCATAAACGGAAAAACACAAAGTGATTTTAAAAGCCTGAGCAATTTGTCTTGCTTTGTATTTACCATTTTTCACCTTAGAGTCACGCTTAGGAATTTTCCTCATCTTGTTAATTCAATTGTGCACACTTTCTTTCATTAATGATTGAATGTTGGCTGCCAAGAAAAATGTAACTCGCTGCGCATTGCATGTCCAGCTGTGTCAGCCTCTTTGAAATTCTTTGATGTTTTGAAACTGGCGGTCCGTAGATAATTTAGTACGAGCATATTGCGTGCCTTGCTGACTGATCGCTGGTAGATCATTAGCTCATCAGTTGGCGATTGTTAGCTAATGGCTGATACTGCAACTGCATATGTAATGTAAGATATCTGTTTGTGTCATTAACCTCGGAACGGGTTTTCTTCTCTCGCAGTTGGAAAAACGATTGCGTTTGGCGGCGGGTCTAATCTGCATAGAACGCGGATCGTCTTGAAAATGTCAACCCCCCATCGAAACCAGTTCTCCAATTGCCAGTGGGCCAAGCACGATTGGTAATTCGCTGTGTTCGGGGCGCATGCGTGACCGATCGACAGTTGGCTTTGTTTTCCTTCGCTTGTTTACTTTTTGGGTTATTGATCGGCAAGCGCACGATTCGATTTTCCGTCCGCTTATCAGCACGCACACAACGGAACCGCTAATACGGCTGATCTAGTCATGGGCTGTGTGTCATGCAGCCGTTGGCTATCAGAACGAACACAGTGCTCCAGTTTTCCGAATGAGCTCCAGGGGCAGTCTTCTACGACTCTTGCTGTGTATCGCTTTCTGGAATGCCCGGCGGACATGGTTGTGCTGAATACCCTACTAGTGGGTAATGTGAAAGTTTTTGTGACTTATACAAATTGTTTTCGAACCACTTTGTAATAAATCATAATTGTTTATTATGTAGAATAATTGTTTTACCTTAAGTAACAACACAAGCTTGCCGTTTATGAATATACCAATTCCTTTTACCACAGAGTAGCGTGCCTGACCGACTTCAATCATTTTAAAAACATATTTTTGTTATAGGGGATAAATTTAAAAAAATATTTTTAAAACAAAAATTAAAAAAAAAAAAAATTATTTCACCGATCTATAACCCACTTTAAAATCTTCTATATTTTTTCCTTGATCCAATTAACAGAAGAAAAATCAGAAAAACCAAACCACTTTAAGATGTCTACAGATTACAATTAACTACCTAATTTATTTAATTTATTTGATAACGTCATATGTCTTTGGCGTCATATTTTTAGACATCTTAGTGATTTAGGGATTGGACATTTTAAATACACTACCAGCAATAGGCTAGTCCATTTCGGAAATGTACCTTAATTAAATTATTAAATAATTTTTTGAACATCTGTGGTTATTATCTTTTATTAATTTACCTCCAAATACAACAATTTATTCAAAAATAATAATATATATTTTTATACCCTTGCAGAGGGTATTATAATTTTGGTCAAAAGTGTGCAACGCAGTGAAGGAGACATCTCCGACCCTATAAAGTATATATATTCTTGATCAGGATCACCTCCTGAGTTGATATAGCCATGTCCGTCTGTCCGTCTGTCCGTCTGTCTGTCCGTCTGTCTGTTTCTACGCGAACTAGTCTCTCAGTTTAAAGATATCGAATTGAAACTTTGCACACACCCTTCTTTCCTTTGCACGCAGTATATAAGTCGGAACGGCCGGGATCGGACGACTATATCCTATAGCTGTCATATAACTGAACGATCGGAAATGCCATAACTTTGGTGTTTGTAAAGTTAGGAAGTTGAGATTTTCTATAAGTTTTATTTTTGGCCAATCAATCTGACTTACCGAATTTCATGAGAATCGGCCGACTAAATCCTATAGCTGCCATATAACTGAACGATTGGAAATGCCATAACTTAGGTGTTTTTAAAGTTAGGAAGTTGGGATTTTTGATGAGTATTAAGAATGCATCATATGAATAATTTTGGAGAATATAATTTACAGAGTATTCTGCAAGGGTATATCAACTTCGGCTCCGCCCGAAGTTAGCTTTCCTTTCTTGTTTTTAATTAACCTTAAAAGGGCTTCTATGGTTTGTTTTTGGCCTATGCTCGTAGCCATATGTGACTGGAAGAGTTGGCCCACTGTGTGTAAGAGGTAACTGCCTCTGCTGCTGCCGCTGCCAGTGCCACCGCTTTATGCTGCGCGGGCAGCGCCAGCATAACGGGTGGAGTGAGATGAGAGCGTGTGCGAGCCGAGCGCCCAAATGAGTTACAAAGCAGCGCCACACATCGACGGTCGACGTTCGCTCGCCTTTGCCTGCTCACTTTGCTCGCTGGCTGAGTGACTCGTGGTTCGGTCGAAAATCGCCTTATCGTGTGTATCCCCCTGTGGAATTGAAATAGGAAGTGTATATATGCCTATAAAGTTGACCAGTCCATGTCTTTATTTAAGTGCCCAAATCGTGTACGATGATAAAAGCATAAAGATGATTTAGCCTTTGTTTTGCTTTTGTTTCACGCGACTAATTACCAAATCGATAAGTCCTGAGCAAAGGCAAGGGTTCTCCGCCCCTCGGGAAACTCACCACACCCACTAAATTCGAAATCTCGTATCTCTCCGGGCTGTATTTTCCATTTCCATCAGTGCGTAGAGTGCATTTCGCAATAATTTGTATGTGAGAATTGAGTTCCATTGTGGTTATTTTGTTTAACTGAATCACTGGTCGCCAAGTGTTCTGCTTTGTGTTTTTGTGCATCAGAAATTATCAATTGTAAACCGCTTTATCGCTAAAACAAGGCCTACGCAAAGTATATACAATGGATATATTCACTTTATTTACTTGTACATTGGATTTTTCTGCCCGGATAGGCAAAGATTAATGTTTTGCAAAGGTAAATGGTTTTATTTTTTAACAATTATATCTGCCAAGCAGCCACAAGTTTGCATTTGTTTTGAAAAATCGATTTTTTAAGAGAGAGAGAGACCGCTGCTCTCTTTCCGCCTCTCAGCTGTTTGTCAGGGGGAAGTGGGCGATGGGTTTTGCGTGATGGGTGGTGGTGTTCCAGCCCTGTTTCCTTGACATGCTACCTTTACCCGCAGATACTTTTCTTTCGCGTGCTGTGTGCAATTGAATCCGCTCCCCAATGGATCGCCACTGAGTCACTGGTCCACACTTTCCAAGATGTAGTTTTCGGTGGCAGAAATCCAAAAGGCCATGTTGGCCCAACATATTGCAGCTGGCGGAAGAGGGTTGTTCCATGCGGTCGACGCGACATTAATATTGGCCACCCCCTGAGCCGGAATACTTTCTGCAAGCCAACCAATTTGGCCCTTATTTATTGGTTTTGAATCCCTTCGAACACCCCCAAAGATTGCAGTCCAATGTCTCATCTTAATTAAACACGTATGCAGTATTTATATTCTCACAGTGAGAAAAACTATCAATAGCTTTTCTATTACTATCGTATTATATGACAACTCAAATTTCTGTCCATCGGAGTAAATATTATAGTATTTAGAACTCGAGCCGTAGAATCGAATTCTACAGTCTTTGCTAGGACCTCAAGTTGAGGAAATTTTAAAGATAATCTATAATTATACATTACTCTAAGTAATATGCTATTATAAATTTGATAAGAAAGTAACTGACAATGGAATACTTTAAAAATAAAGTATTATTCAGCGTATTTTTATGAAAAGTATTTTGTATTTATATTTTTATAGGAGATAAAGTGGTTTTTAAAAAATGAGCACAAACAAATTGATGTTTATATTACAATAACTTTTTTAATGTCTTCATAAACTTATTATTTCTATAATGATGTCATAGAAATGTATGAATATAAACTTTTTGCAGCCCATGGTACTGGCATCAATTTGTAATGCCTTAGAATAATGACAAATTGTTTTGGACAAAACTAAATATGGGCGCACCTAAAGCTCCATACCTACTGTGAGCAAGAATTCAATTGACTGAGAAATAAATTTCATTACTTATGGCTTGCCAAAGTCGCATGTAAAGTATTTATAACCTGCACATATGCACAGTGAATAAATGGAGGCCATATATGACAGCCCAGAGGCGTCGCCCACATGCGAAGTTGCCGCAGAGATATAATAATAACTCTGAAGCAATATGTGTCGAGATATGTGCGTTCCCCAAGCTTCGCTCTCGTTTCTCCCTGGCTGTTGTCTTTGGCATAACGTAAACAGTTTTAAATTACAAAAGTGTTTGCACCGAGATTGGTCTGATACATGAGATCGTAGAGTCGCCCTTTATCTGTCTGTCGGTGAGAGGCGGTTAAGATACCAAAACCTGTCTATGCCATCTAGTGTTTGCATATCATCACTTTTACTGCCTGCAAAGAGTTTTCATTTATTTGAAAGAATTTCCACATCACTGCCACACCTGTTGGCCATTCATTGATATGCGATTGGTCTGTTCTCTTGGCCACATTCAAGATCAATTTGTTGGAATGCCGCTCGACATATGTAGAACCACTTAGGGAAGGTATTTCCACTCGCTCGTTGCTATTTGTTTTTATAAAACTAATGTAAAGACATTTTCAAATTTGGGTTAAAAATGTGTGAATGAAATATTGTATCGCTCCTCGAACAAGCAGACGTGCCCGGGGGAATCAGTAGTCTTTGTGCCGCTTTTTATTTGGAGTCACTTGGCATAGATTGGTAATGCCACTCGAAGACCCACAGTCAGACTGTAAGATAGATATATAGGGGGCAGGAAACTGGGTCATTTGCCTAGCGTCTGTCTTGTTTAAATACTTGTGCCTGATTTATTGGGGACTTTGTAAAGTTGATTAATCAAATTGATTCGTGCGCGCCATTTATTTCTGGTTTCATTTCTTTCCGCTGCATTTTTCGGCATTTTTCTCACATTTTCATTTAAGTTTGGATTTCGTTGTCAAATTTATGGCCCCTTAAGAGTCTTTGCCTGCGATGATATTGTGGAATTATGTTGCATAAGTTATGCACAATCTCCACCATTGTGTCCGTAGATAAAGCTTCATTAAGTCGCTTTCAAAAACACACAAACCGGAAAGGACCCAAAGGGAACCGCACCTTTTGTAAAATCCTATTACATGCGTAGGAGTTTCTAGGCTGTTCTTTATGAATAAGATTCTTTAAGCCCATAAAACCCACTGAACACAGATGACCGGTGGCAGTTGAACAACCCAACAGTTGATTACCATATAGAAAGCCCCTTTTGCATCGTTAGTTTTTATGGATTATCTGTTAATTATTGTTATTGGCTTTCCCAAAGCTTCCGTTTCTTGCATTTCTTTCTCTTTTTGCTGATTAGCCAGCAACAAACAGTGCCGACGACGCCGATTTGATGGTTGTTGTCTCGCCAAAGTCTGATAATTGTGGGGGAAGCGAGATACTTAAAGGTGCCCGGGGGCTACGTGGGGTTTTTGGGGACTGCAGAGGCGGCAGACATTTGCCTGGCATTCCGCGTCACTTTATGGCCGTTGTGCGAACATTTTTCCCATTTGTTTTGTGGGGCCAGTAATGATATACCCAAGACCATGGCATCTTTTCCTACGAATGTGAATTGAAAATTGCTTTACTGGCTCTTTTTATTAGGTTTTGTTTTCTCTTTTTTTCGTGTCTTTTAAGCGATTACAAAACTTCCACCATTAATTACGACAATAGTCTTTTTTTCTCCCATGACGCATCGAGACGAAAAATTGTATGCCATTTTTGCATAGCTGTAATTGATGATACGCTCCAAGAGCTTACAGAATATTATGCACTGGCCATGGTGCACTTCCGCTCCATTTCAAGTCAATGAGATGCTTGACTGCGATACCTAGCAAACGAGGTAGCAAATGGGGTCGCAAAATGGTTCTGCACAGGTATTTTGCATTCCATTTCTATTTCTAAATCGCTTTCACAATTATCAACTGAAACGCCATTTCTTGTAATTTTAATAATTTAAAAGCATTTTATAATATTTGACGGCAAACAAGTTATTAAGATTCATTTAATTTCGAAAAATAGTGGTTTGCTTCTATAGTAAATAGATTCAGATATAGCTTATAGAATTAGTATACCCTGGTATAACAAGGTGCAATATATAGGTAAAAAATTCCATGAGTCCTCTCTTTTCAATAATGGCGTAACATTTTACTGTATTTATAATTGAGATCAGTAAAGTTGACTCAGTAAATTAGCTTAATAAGTTCAATAGAAATATTTAATTGAAATGGAAATGTCACGAAATGTCGTCTTACTTGAGATACTCTATTCAAATGTGGCTTATGAGCATTCTTATTTAGATAGTTTGTGTTGTATTTGCTTGACCCCCTGTTAATTGTTGCTAATAATTCTTCTTAATTCTTTTGTCATTGCAGGTAAGCTTCATGTAAAACTAAGCGGAAATGCGTGCGTCTGACATCCCATATGGCCATGGGCAATCGATTGACTGACGGTTCAAGGTCGAGGGAGCTGCCCACATCCGACGGATGGGTATTAACGAGTGCCCATATCTCTTACGGAATCGGTTTGAAATGGGCGCTGCGTGCTCGAGTGCTTAAAACCCAGCCCAGTCTGTAGACACGTCGAGCTGCGTTCAAGAGTTTCGATTGACACAAAGACTGTGAGGCAGCAAGAATCACAAGGGGTATGACTGTTTAAAGAGATCTGATATTGCAGTTCAGGCAATCGATGCGAGCTTAATGAATCTAAAAGTCTTGTTTCTTTACGACCTCCTGGTCCACAAAGTTTACAGTTTTTGGGAAAGAACTAGAATTAATTGTGCTCAATTTAGGCTCTCACGTTCCTTTATTTTTCATTGAAAATTACCAAAACAATACTATTTTATACCGTGAAAACTAAAAGAAACTGGCAGCACTCCGGCCCACACTCCAATCAATAATTTCACTCTTGACTTACATTCCAAGTACTTTATTTTCGTCTCGTCATCATCAGTAAACCAAACACTTGTCTCCACTGTTCATCGGCGTGCCCAGAGCACAACCAAACTCCCGACCGAACTCCGCTGAGTTGCTCAGCGGTCCATTCACATCCCACCTTTCGGGTGTGTGCTGCATCAGGGGCATCGAGTCCAGGATGGCTTCCTGGTTATCCCTTGCCCAGCAGCGCGTTTGAGCAAAGTATATGAAAAACAGCTGCGTGTTGGTGAAGTTTACCTCTGGAAGTGTTTCTTTTGCCAGCAGTAGACGCAGATTGTGATCCTGCTGCTCCAACCAGGCCAAATAGGCGCTGAAAGCCAAATTTAGACCGCTGCCCTCGGCTATAATCTCCCTTAGTCTGGTGGCATTACGAAATTCGCCAGGTTCATTGTACAAGTAACTGCTGTATTGAGCCCTCTGGCATTCGCTGGCATTTCGGTAGCCAGACATCGTTAGCTCGTTCCATTGGGACGTCGCTTGTGGATGACGGTTCCATCCTTCGTCGTCGAATGCCTGCACTAAAGCGCTGGCCAATCGTTGACCCAATAAAGCATATTTTAGTGCCCTGGGATAGAAGTAATTGTAGTAGGGAGACTGAAGCAGACCATAACCCACAAGGACCATATGCTGGCGGGGTGATAGAGCAGCTCGCACCTCGAATGCATCCAGGATGCCGGCTCCATCCTGGCCATAATCGTTGCCGTTCAGGGCTTCGAACTGCTGTTGGGCACGATATTTTAGTGCAATCTCCAGACGCCGCCAGTAGTCTTCCGATTTCTGGAATTGCAAGCTCGAGAGATCCAAGCTCTGGTAATCCGGCAGCGAGACACGATATTGCGAGAGTCTGGTTCTGGCCGCCCTCCGATCGTTCTCGTCCATCCACTCCACGTGTAACTGCTCCTCGAGCGCCTTGATAACATCGCTAAACACGGCGTCCAGATCATGTTTGGCGTTATCGCGCTGCACATGGCGTTGGAACATCTCACCCAGCACTTGGGGAAAGAGGCGCTGCGTAACCAGGACGCACTGGCGGGCACGTTGCGAAGGAGCCTCTTCCGGCGGCTGGTTGAGCTCGTTGAGGGCTATGTACATAATGTAGCCACTAACAGTTAAGCGATTGTTGCCCTTTACGGTCCTCACCAGATGTTTTACGTAGGCCGGTGAGCGCAGGTATACATCAGACCCGTATTGATTCTCCAGAACTAATTCGATGAACATTTTGAAGTCCAGTTGATTGCCCATCTCGCTGGTGAGTTGCGTTAAGGTCATTCCTCTATTTTGGCGATGCAAACGGTCTTGGCCAGTTCGCGAGCGAGCACCATAAAATGGAACCTGCATGTTGGGCTGTGACTCCTCTGCGGTCTTTTGGATATCCTGCTCTCCCATTTGCTTGCAGAGATCAAATTCGAAGCGAACAATATCTCCGGCAAAACGAGCAGCCTCACCAGTGTCAATGCCAAACCAATCGCGCAAGTTATCTGCGGCCTGCTGCTGAATCTGCTCATAGACTTCATCTTTAAAATGAGCGCCCCGCGATGCCAAGGCATTGCAGTGCTCTGCAGGAATGATGGTTAGCTTGGGTTCGCCAAGGTATACGCTTTTTCCCTGCATATTCTGAAGGTTCAGATCCATTTCCAATCCCAGAAGTATGTCGAAACCGTAGTTTCTCTTCACTTCGGCCAGAGTTTGCAGCCAATGACGGTTGTGCTGCCAGTTGGAGTTTGGTACATTGCGCAATCCTCCGTTATCCTTAAGGATCTTCATCAGGAAGCGCCGTCTTTCGCCAGCATTAGCTTCTATGGCCACGCAGGACTCGTAGAAGGCTCGCACTTTCCGAACATTTGTCATACTAAGTCCACTGTAGCCATTTGGATGATTTTGCGGTGGCAGTGGCTGGCTAAGGAGCTGCTGCAACTGCTCCGAGATTTTAGACTCCATCAGCTGCTGGGCGGTAAACAACTCATCCGGACGAAGTTGCCGCTTGTGATGTCGACCCCACTGACCACAGGCATACTCAAAGAAGTCCGTACAGGGATCGGCACTCAGGTTCATGTAATTTTGCACATTCGTAGACATTGCTTGGCGCATCATTTGCTCCTCACGTGAATCTGGAAAATTTCCGCCCATCGGCACGCGATTCATGTTGTGTCTGGCTCCAGTCACGACGGAAAGCCGGAATTCAACGAGGAGCAGCAATTCGAGCAGCAAACTCAAGCAAGCGCCTTTGGTAGCTCGCATCTTGGCGTTAAAAAATCGACTGAGCTGCTGGGTCTGGGTGTTTGATAAGCCTCGGATCGGAGGCTTCTCCAGGCTCGGCTTGAACCTGGGAGAACTGGGTCAAGTTCGCTCTCAGTCCCTGAGGGTTATCGCACCCATTTAAGCTCTGGGATCTGCGAGAGAAGTAAACAAACTCGGCCTCGTCGGCAGAGAACTTGGCATTGACAGCAAAACAACATCAGTCGCTTGGTGACAAGGTTTTCCTCCTATCAAGCTAGCGAATGCTGTAATTCCTCAGACCTCATTTCCAGAATGAAAATCATTTCCGATCTGTATAGTACCAGTATCAACAAAATCGACTACAGTCGATCAAGAAAAGGGTAAAATTAGTTTATTTTTATGACATGAAAGTCTCAAAGTAAGATTTATTTTATTATTAAACATTTTTTATATAATTTATATGCTGTAGATTTAAAATAGATTTAATCAAATAATTTTTAGTAAATAGTGCACTTGGTGGCAGGATTCATGGGTGAACCAATAGGACAACGAAATTCCCTCGCGAATTCAACTGAATTCCGCAAAGGCCCATTCACCTGCAACCGGGTCCAGGTGTGATTCTGTCGTGCACTGTACAGGAACCCCCCTAGTGTCGATTGGTCATCCTTTGGGCGAATCTCCTCCAGATTACAATGCTGCTGGGCATAGGCCACGAAGAAAAGCGCCGTATTCGTATAATTAAGACCCGGTAGCGTCTCATTGGTCAGGGAAGTAAAATCGTTGTTTGGCTCCTTAAATCCCAACCAGCTAAGATAGGCCCGGAAGGCGACATTGAGGGCTCCACTATCCGTGATCAGCTGACTGGTGGCACTCGCATTGGGTCTCAAATAATCGACTACCTGGCGGACAAAGCAATTGCTTCGAATGTGATATTGCCAGGCTGTGTCTCCGTCCCAATTATCCCGTTCGAGTAGGCCAACATACCAGTGAGGATCATCGAAAGCCATAACCAACTGTTGTGCCAGTTTTACACCCAGTGTGGCATAACGAAAGGCGTGTCCATAGTGGCGATCGTAGGCAGGAGGCTGCAGCAGGGCCAATCCCATATCCAAACGTCGCTGAACTGGTCTCAGTCGCACCCTGTCCTCATAAGCCTCCACGGGATCGGAGGGTGGGGGCGTGAATTCATCGGATAGGCGGTTTATTCTTTGAGACTGAACCGCTCCCAACAGCTGGCGGAGATTGTGCCAATAGTTACCGCGCTCCATCTGCATTTTGAGAATCAATGGACGCTCATAGCTGGACATCTGCAAATTCAAATTTCGTAGCTTTTCCTGACCCACACGCCGGGTGCCCTCCTCCAACCATTTTGCTTCCAAACTTTGCCTCAGAGCTGCTTTTAATGTCTGATATAGCTGTTCCAGATCTGATCTGTTATCTTCAGTTCCAAACTGTCGGGCATATAACTCTCCCAAAGCCGATGGCAGCAGTTCCTTTGTTCGTTCCAGGCACTCTCTTTTCCTCAACTGCGGACGATCTTCCAGAGGAAAACTTATAGCAGACAATGCTCTGTACATAATATAGTTCGCAACCATACTTATATTATGAGCAGCCACTGTGCGCTTTAGCTGGAGATAATATTCCGGTGCTGCCATGTAAACGGGCTTAAAGATGTCCTGGCCATAACTGGCCCTTACATATGATTCCAGATTTAGTTCCAACGAATTTGAGAAATCACGCAGGTTTTTGCGGGTATAGTTCGCCAGGTAGAGCTGCTCCTCGCCATCCCAGAGATCAAAGGATCCCCCACGCATTCCACCACATAGCTCATGCTCGAAGTTGAGAATGTCGGCTGCCAGGCGTGCGGATTCCTCTTTCCCCAAGGCCAACCAGGCCCTAAGTTCGGAGGCCACTCGAAGCTCCAGTGGTTCGTAAACAGAGTCCCTGATATCTGAACGATTTTGGGTGCACAGTTCCCGAGGGATCAAAGTGCTGGGCTCACTTAAGTACAAGCTGTTTTCGTTAACATTTCCATAGTTATAACTCACACGGAGCCCGATGAGAATATCCATTCCATATCGAAATCGTAGGGTTCCCAGCACTCTCAGCCAGTCATAATCGTGGTGATGCACCGCCCACTGGGAGCCCGGAACCGCTGGGAATCCTCCATTCTGGCTGATGAAGTCGCTAAGGAACTGCTGCTGGCTCTGCTGCTGCTGATTCTGTTGCTGTTGATTCTGCTGAACCTGTGCCGAGACGCAGGACTTGAAGAACTCCTTGGCCTGTCGCGCTATGACGCTGTCCTCTCGTCTCACTGCCTCCTCTAAAAGCTGGATAAGATACCGGTCCGTTTGCTGCTGCAGTTGCTCCCGAGGCGTGGATGTTGACTTCCAATTGCCGCATGCATAAGCGTAGAAATCCACACAGGGATCAATGCTATTGTTCACATGGCTTCCCATCTCCTGGGCTTTCGATTGGCGCACTGTCCTTTCCGATTGGTATATTCGCTGGAAAGGCGGTGGAGCATCTTCGCCAGAAACCAATGCATTGTACTGGATTAGTGGCAGCCAAAGCACCCATAGGAAAACGATCGTCGGGTCCAACATGTTGCCGGAGCTCGGTGAAACCATCGACTGCCTTCCCCAGTCCAAATCGCATTCACGGAGCAGAGAATCCGAGCTGATATTGCCAGAGTTCAGTTGGGGTTATCGAACAAATAGAGAGTAAAGCGGGCAGAGAAAGAGATTCGTTTATAGAAACTGATTAAAACGCTGTAAGCATTACAGAGAATTTCTCTGGAATCAGTTAGCTTTTCATAATTAATTCATTTCATTTAAAATTTCAATGGTGGGTTATGTTAAAAAAGTAAAAAGTAAGTTAATAGAACTAAACTAGATAGAAACTCAAACCAAAGAATGGCAGGTGCAACATAAGCTTTTATTTATTAGGCTGGTGTTATACATTTAGATGAAATGCCTCTCAGTAGAGAGTGCACTTGAAGCGGGCGTTCAGTTTATCCCCCCTGGAGCAACTGTAGGCGTTGGCGAACTGCTGCGAGTTGGATAGCGCCGTGTTGATGCGCAGCTGCTCGGGCAGCTCATCGAACCGCTCCAGCGATTCAGGGTAATCGGTGCAGTAGAGTTGAGCATAACCCAGGTAGAATAGTTGATTGTGGTTGTAATCTAGCAGCGGCAGGCGTTCCCGGTCATATATAGCCGGAGTTTCGGCCGCATTCTTCATCCACTGTTGGTAGGCACGATAGGCAATGTTCAAAGCTCCGTTATCGGCCACAATCCGACGCAGCAGATCCTTATCCTGCACCGGTTTTCCCTTATATTCTACAAAGATGGCATATTGCTCCTGGAAGCACTGAGTGTGTCGAGAATATGAACTTTCCGAGGTGTTATCCCACCAGTTGTTTTGGTAACCATTAGCATCGAAACGCCTACCCACGCCATCGAATCCGTGCAGCATTTGGCGTGCCAGAAGCACTCCCAAAGTGGCGTACTTCAAGGCATTGGGATAGGCGGGATCCCAGAAGAACCTCGCTTGCAGGAATGTGATTGGAACTTGAATGCGATTCTTTTGGATCTCGTAGTGCGGGAGCTTGTACACCTTATCTTCGGCAACCGGTTCCTGCATTAGTTTGGCCAAACCGCGTTGGGTCTGCCACTGGAGAACTGCCACCAAGTTCGGGTAGAAACGTTCCGTGTGAAGGTTGACTCCGTGCATTTGGCGGATCAACTTGCTGTCATCGTGGCTCCGGAACTGAAGATTTAAAGTTTCCAGTTTGCTAATGGCCTTCTGCCTGGTCTCCAATGTTAGCCAAAGTAAATGCTCCGAGGCCTGCAGATCCTCTTTGAAGACTCGCTTTATATCCGACCACGTCGACTGCAACTCATTGATCATCTGCATGTGATTGTAGTTGCGATGGAACAGGCTCTCTAGCTGATGGGGGAAATACCTCTGGGCCAGCTGAACACACCAAATATCGGGCTGCTGAGATTGCGGCACACGTGCGTCATCCAAGGCTTCCAATGCCTTCCACATGGTATAGTTGGCCAGCTTCAGTTTGGGCGTATCCCTTATCACATCCATTAAATTGGACAGATAATCCTCTGGAGTCTCATATAAATCCATGTACAGGTTATCGTTGAAAATTAGTTGCAGGTAGCGAGTCACATCGAGGTAGCTGCCATAGGCGGATTTCATCTCGGCGGCGGTCCTTTGGCGAGTGGTTTGCTCCAAGGTGAGGGCAGCATTGTGGGGTAATCCCTTGGCTAGTTGTTGCTCAATTTCTAGCACTTGACTGGACACCTCCTTCAGCCAATGCTCCGATTGATCGGGAAAATAAAGCTGCAGCTTCTTGAGGATCGAATTTTCGTAGATTTCCCGACTGCCTGCAAATTGAGGCTCCAAGTAGTGGCGACGAGTCATGGGTAATTTGGGGGCTCCGATCTTCAAGCGATGCAATTTCTCCTTCCTTGTAGTCGAGGATCACATCCAGTCCAATAAATATGTCCACGCCTAGCGTACGTTTCAGGTTAGCCACCACCTGCAGCCAATCGTACTCATAATAGTACCAGGAGGAAACTCGAATCTCGGGCCAACCGCCTCGGAAATCAGCCACATTTATCAGAGTTGTCACAGCGGACCGCGTGTCATTCGTTTGAAGGCGACAAGAGCCAAAGAAGTTCTTTAATTGCCGGTCGGCGCTATTTTCAGCTCCTCTCGTGGCACTCTTGAGCATTTCAGCGCTTTTTCGTATATATAGCTCTTGCAACTCCTCCAGATAGTTGGTCCTGTGTTTGGACACTCGTGCGGGATGCAAACGTGGCCAATTTCCGCAGGCAAAATTGTAAAAGTTGGAGCAAGTCTCCTTCTGGTTCTCTCCCATATACGCCTTAATGTGCGCAGCTTTAGCCAGGCGCAGGATGTCGATGGTGTAGTTGGATGCTGATGGATGCGACACTGCAGCATCTGATAGGCAGATGGAGAGGAGGATGACTCCCAGCAGGAGTCTCACTGCTTGATTGGCCATTATCTCCGGCGATAGGGCGACTTTTTCCGTGTGATCCGAATGATTGCCGAAACGAAACTGAGCGGGAATAAAGAGATGCGTCGATTTTTGACTTGAACAGAAGCTTATCGTCACCACCGCTTGATTGGTTAATTAGTTCCATTAACCGTTGCAGTGAATTCGCTCAGCTACTCAATTACGCGACTGACCTAAAATTCTAATTTGAGTTCTCATTGTCATCTCTTTCTCTTTTGCTCTCCCATCTTGCAATCGCTTTTTGTGGGCTGTATTCGCACTTGACCCTCAAGGTAGCTGCTCTCAGAGCCCCCCATCTCTTATACAATTTTATAGTTAATGAGCTAATGACTTTTCCGGGCCCAAGGTTGGGGCCGACTCATCATCATCCTGTAGTGTATAATTAAAATTTGTTTGTGCTCACTTAGTTGCTTCGTGCCGTAATTCTAACGATTCCTCTTCTTCCACCTCTAATTGCAGATTGAAAATTTCCTCAAGCTAGATTTCTAAAAACATTTTTACCACGGAAATTGACTAGAAATTGCCAGCCAGCAATCATCACCAGACAACGGCCATCAAGGAAACTTCACACACGGTAAGAGTTTGCCTTTTCTAGTAAACACCTACAGTTGCGGTCAAAATAATATTTATAAGGCAGCTTAAGAAAAAATAATAAATTAAGCAAGTCAGAGAGGCTCTTAAAGTATGCAACGAAAAGTTATATTTAAATATCTTTTCAAATAATTCTCTATTTTAAATCTTTTAATTTTGTAATTTGCCAATTAACTTTGAAACAAGTTTCAATTTGAAATAAATAATTACCGATTTAAGGAAGATAAATAAACAATAAAAAAAAATTTATAGATAAAAAAGTACATTTTAATATTCTTTTAGTTAATTAAAATTTAATTCAACATAACAGGGTCAGTCGATTCACAACGACTGTAAAAATTGGTCATTGGTCTTTGAAGCGTGTAATCTTATAGAAAAGCTAAAATGTTTTTATTGACCGCAACTGTAAATTCTTTACTTTTTCTGCACTCGTAAATTATAAGGGCTAAGTGGAACTTTTGGGACAAAGCCAAGACAAAAAAGCGTAAATTTTTGCACTGTCAGCCAACTGGAATCCATTAACTGTTTGCCACAAACTTTTTCCTTTTATTATTTGCAATGGCGCTAGGAGAACTTGTCACTTTCTGTCTGCATTGAGTTCTAATAAATAATTCAGTATTTGCTACAACTACTTTCTTAGTCACTAAGTTAATACTTTATGTGCCGTCTAACCAATAGTGGATTTAAGTGTTTGTCCGTTGAGACGTTTGTCAATCTCCAGGGGATCCAAGGAAAAGTTGTACTTGACATGATAGCCACTCTTATCAGCCACATAGGTTGCCGTTTCCACATACACATAGTTGGTCTCCTTGCCGAGCAAAGTGTATGATGATGAGCGTTTGCCTGTGATGATCAGTTCGGGTTTCTCGCCAGAATCCTCGGAGTTATCCTTGAGTTCACCCTTTTCATCTCGCTCCCCGTATACCTCCTTAATGCTAAATACAATATTGGAAAATTTGATTAGGATCTTCAAGTATTAACCAATCAAAAACTTACTGAAATTCATAAAGAACTTTGGTTGAGGCATAATTTCGATGGATATATAAAACAAACAATACGAACACCAACAGGCACTGAAATAATTTTCAAATTGTTTTCTTTTCTCACATTTTCTTAAACGATTTTTACTCACCGTATTGACTCTGATCATTATAGTTCAAGTTGTTGGAAGGCACTGAATGAATGAAATCCCTGATGCGATTCCGATATTTATTTGTTTTTTGTTCTTGCAATAGTTGCAATCTCTACTACGGAACTAGTTAAACCGGTCGCTATCATTGCAACTGAGAGTTTTTGATCTGGCGATTCCGCACCATTTATTCTTCGGACAGAGAGAGATATTTATGATATTTCTGACTATTCTGATGTGCTGTCGGCAAACGCCCCAAAACGGGTTTCCGCCACCCGTGTTATGACTATTTCCATCGGTATTGACTAGATTTAATAATTGCCCCCAGGGATGCTGATTGACAGTAATTGCCACCAGTGGAGCGTCTAGTCGTTGGGGGTTTTTGTGTCATCAAAACTTCGGGGAAAATCTCTGGGAAATGCTGAAAATCTTTTCATTTTGGGGTTGTTAACAATAAAAACGATTTTTTTTAATTTTTAAGGTGTTCTATTTATACTTTAAAGTAGAATTGATATCTGGTATGGATTGGCTAATACTATGTAGCAATGTACACTCAGTTTCATCAGTAACTGAAATTTTATCTGTAGAATTGGGTTTTCTAGTAAAGACGGAGTGAGTAATTCTTAAAAAATTTCTTTAAAAATGATTTGTGAGCCTAGGAAAAAGCTTCATTAAAGTAAAATTCGATAATGTTTTATTTGTGTAGAATATGTACATGTCTTTCTTATTACTCATAATAGTTTGTTATGCTTAGGTTTTTGAAAAAGGTTGTTTATATATATTAAAAGGTTTCTATTTTCTTTTTTTTAAGTTATATTCTTTATATTTAGCGGTGTGCTAGCCGAATATGCCGAATATTTTCAAAAATGGTGCACTCAATCGTGCTCCGATTCCCATGGGAGTGGGTTCACATTCCACAGGAGAATTGGGAACATTTGTACCATATATTCCCCTGTTGACTTGCGTTGTGGTTGAGGTGGTAGTGGGTGCCAAAGTTGGTAAAGGTACTAGTCTCCTCGTACTGAAGTCTCCAGGACTTATCATCGTGCGACTTGGTTGTTCATTTGGCAAAAACTGGGAGGAATCACTTTCCGAAATTGGAGTCATCATGGGCTTACACAATTTTGTATCCACTGGAGATTCCTCAAAGACCCTTAGTGGGTTCAAAGATCTCAAGTTTATGCCAAACGCATTGGCGAATGCAACACAGCCAAGTATTATAATCTATATACAATTTTTTTTGATTAACAACTACCACTTAAATGTGGTTTACCTGGATACTTACAATCTGTTGCATTTTTGATCTGGTACTGAGGAAATAACTCTATAGCAGTCGCTTTTATATGTAACTCGCTGTTAGTTAGTAATTCATAAAATTACCTATTCAGTTACAAAGTAAATGGTAAACGGGTTCAGTTTGTTATATGCATTCTCACACATACTGCGTGACGTTTGAAAGTCCATTTACAATTTTCTTCGTATTTGAAACCCCATTTTTTTATTGAAGAGATTTTTTATTACACAAAAGCTATCCTTTAAGAATAAAAAGTGTTTTTAGGGTTTTTGCATCTAACTGATCAATGAGCGGTGCTATGGTGAAAGTTGTTTCAATAGGAGGCAAAGGTTTTCTTGAGCTAAAGGTAGCTACATTTTCATTATATTTTCCATTGATGTTTTCCTCCGATTTTGAAGTGGAATTGAGTGCAATAATCGGTAAAGGTACCAGTGTACTTGTACTGACGTCTCCGGGACTAGATATTGTACTCCTTCTTTGTTCATTTGATAAGAACTTGGAGGAATCTCCTTTCGAATTTATAGCATCCAGGTTCTCAAATAATTAATTAATTAATAATGTTCTTGGTAGCCTAAAAAAGTTTGCGTTTCGCTCAATTGAATTTGCGAAGGCAACCCAGCAAAGTATGATAAATGTAATCTATTTATAAAAGGATTGGCGGTTACTACTTTCTATGAAATCCAGCTTCCATGGATACTCACACTCGGTTGATTTTTAATTTGATACTGAACTAATGTTTCTCTAGCATTCGTATTTATATTGAACCCGCTGTTAATTAGTTATACATACAATAACGAGTTTGTTAGATACATGACACATGACGTGACTTTTCATTAAACCCATTATAAACAATTTAAAATTTGTTTTGATTTTTAAGGAAATATGCTTTTATGGAATATTTTTATTTACTTTACCAACGAAAGTTTTTAAAGTTTGAGAATCCAATCGAGATCCAATACCCTCGGGAAGCGGTTCGTAATCTTTCTCAAAATGGGTAACGTTATTTTCTTGTGTTGGGCTTAAAGCTGTAGTGTGTGCAGAAGTCGGTAATGATGCGTTTCCAGAAATATTTGTTGTACTACTTGGCAACAACTGGGAGGAATTTTTATCCAAATTCGAAGCCACTATGGAATAGATAGTTTGTAGTTTGGTATCCTTTAGAGAGCTTGACAATCTCTGCTCTATCCCAAACGAATTGGCGAAGGCAATCCCGCCAAGTAGAAGAAATATAATCTGTATATGAAAAGGTTAATAGGTACAAATGAAATCCGGGTTCCTCGCATACTTACACTCGGTTGCATTTTTGTTCTGATACTGAAAGTATAACTCTCTGGCAGTCGGATTTATATTGAGCTCGCCATAAATTAGTAATTCATAAAATTACCCATTCAGTTATTTAGTAATGAAAACGGGTTCAGGTTGTTAGATTACAGACGTTTAAAAAAACCATTGAAAATCAATTTACAATTTTTCTTTGTGTTTCCATTTTTTTTTTTTGTATTCTTATTTTAAACAAAATGTTTTGCTGTTTTAGATTTAACTTTATGTTTTTTGATTACTCAGCTATCCTACTGTGACTTTAATGAGGGTTTTTAGTGTTTTAGCATCTAATCGTGAGCCAATACCCTCAGGAAACGGCTCGCAATCATCCGAAGTTTGATCACCATTTTCCACGTTGTTGACATCGGTAGGGATCGTGGTGGAAGTTGGTTCAAGAATTTCAAGTTTTCTTAAGCTGAGGCTGGGTACATTTCCATCATATTTTCCTCTTACAATTCCGACGGTGCTTGGTTTAAAATTAGGTAGGTTTACTAGTCTTCTTGTGCTGCGATCGGGTACATTTTTATTTTCTTCTTCACTGCTGATTTGCATTGTGGTCAAGGTGAATGTGGGCTTCAGAGTTGGTAGAGGTACCAGTCTCCTTGAGCTTGAAGCGGAACTAGGTGCAAGAGTTGGTAAGGGAACTAGCCTTCGTGTGGTGGCTTCTTCAGGAGTAATCGTAGTTATTGGTTGTTCAGTTGTCTCCCCACTCGTAGTTTCAATGGGATTGCATTGCTTAAAATGACGTGATGCTGCTTTAGCTGAAGGCTGATCATTGTTTTCATTAGATATAGGTTTGCTTGATGAGATTAAAAACAGTTGGCTAAGGCCAATAGAATTCACTACGGCGACCCAGCCAAGAAGGAGTAACAGAATCTATACGAGATAAATTTATTAACACTATTTCGCACTGCAATCCGGTTTACTTCTATACTTACACTCAATTGCATATTTGATTTTATACTGAAGCATTAACTCTCTGGCATTGGGTTTTATATTAAAATCGTTGCTTATAAAATTTCCCAGATAGGTTGAGAGCTCATAAAACAGGTTTAGTTCCTTCGATGCATTCTGAAACATACTTTGAGGCGTTTGGAAAAAATCAAACAAAATAATAATTTGTAAAGCTTTATTTTTCGCAATATTATAAAATGAGTATTTTTAAAACAGTTGCACTGAGACTTGTACAAACTCCTTTGGGATTCTCATTGTCATCATCACTTGTGGTGCTCCGGATAGTTGTTAAAATTTTTCAGTTTTTGTAAGATTCGGTTATGAAAGAATTCAGTTGTTTGATTTTTTTTTTAAATACAACATTGTAAGAAAGTAAGAACGTAGTTGATCCCTGCTTTTCTGTATTTTACGAACTTCATTTTCGGTTGGGGTAATCTTTGAAGTCACGCCCAGTTGTAATTAGTTTTTTATTTGGTTGTACTCCTGTTAAAACTTATTCCGGTTTCTTTGAGAGGTCTTAAGGTTTCTTTGCACCTCTTTTTTCTTTGTACTTTTATTTCGTTTCACAATTCCTCTTGTAATTTTATAAGATTGCACTTGATGTTTTCGGTCCGCAAAAGTGCTTTCCTCAGTGAGACCGTATGAGCTATCTCAGGCCGTCGACACAAGTGGCAGAATAATACTCTAAATAAAAAATAAATGTCTTTAATTTGAATCATCCATTAGGGCTTAATGCGATACTTACAATCTAATGTATTTTTTGTTCGTTATTGATATTTATACGCTTGGAGACTTTTGCCTTTATATTAAACTTAAGGCTAGTTAGTAATTCAGAACATATCCCATTAAGTCAGACCGATTATAAAAGCTTGTTTAGATATCTAGATGTATTTAGGTGCGTAATTAACTACTTTATCGGAGGTTTTATTGAACTTAGGAATTTTTTACGGTTAACGTTTTTAGTAAGGGTACACTAAGCATTATATGAAAATCATCCATCGATTTATTGTAATTTGTTTTGGCACTTGTTGGTGAATCCTTTGCTAGAAAACCTTTCAAAGCTAATAAAAGCTTTGAGGTTTCTTCATTCGGTTGGGTTTTTCCCAAGTCTGGCGAATTGGTTCCATTGTTAGGATCTCCTCTAAGGCAGTTTGATGTATTAAAGATGAGCACCACAAGAAGCAGAATCAAATTCTAAATATATTTTTCTTTATATTTATATCCTTTACTGGGAAGTTTATTAAAACTTACAATCGACAGCATTATTACGATGATACTGATGTTTGAACTGGCGTGTAGTTCATTTTATATTAATTTAACTCTAGGTGTCAGATTATTGATTGAAAACTATATGGCGTGTAAACTCTTTACAAAAACTGGATGTAATTACGATTAAAATAAATCAAATCAAGTCAATTGAAGATTAATATTGTTATGTATAATATATAATAAATTATAAACTTAATAATTAATTCATATCTTTCTCAGTTGTTTCCGATAAACAAATAAAAATCAGTTAACTTATGCAAGAATTTTTAGTAGTGTTGCACTTAGTCTTGGTCCAATAGAGTCTGGGCCGCAGTCATCCTCAAGAATTGGATTACAATCGACATTAGTTAGCTCATTAGTAGTTTCAGATTTAGCTGGTAAATCTTTTGTATAGTTGTCCTTTGCAGGTTGCCGTCTCAGAATAGTAAGAAGCTTTTGTATTCTAGCCTTTGATTTCACAATATCGTCGTCAGTTATGGTATTCAAAGCACTTTCCTTTGCGCTGTGCTTAACTGCATTCTTGAACCATTCATTTGAAGTTAATGGGTCCTCGTGAAACACTACCTCGTTTGTTGAATTTGTTGAGTTTTGGGTTTCCAAACCTCCACCACCCCAACTTAACTTCAACAATACAATAACGCATACAAGAAGTGTACACAATAGAAACTGTAATTAAAAAATAATATTATTATCCTCTGGGATTACAGGGTTAATCGTCATCGGTACTTACAATCGCTTGCATGTTCAGTTCTGTTCTGTTATGAAATTTCACGAGGTAGTGAGTTTTATATCGACGTGGCGCTGCTCGTTAGCAATGCATAAAATTACCCAGGTAGACAGATCGTTGGCAAAGCTTACAGTTTTTATAGTGGGGCTAACGTACAGTAATATTGTATGGGCGTTGTTTGAATTGGGAAAATCTAATTTAGACTTCGACTAGGGGTTTGAACATCATTGATCTGTTCTATATTTATAACTGTGAATGAGATTTTCTTGATCCATTCAGTTGCAATAAATTTTATATAACCCAGTTCTTAGCGCTGATTCATTTTATGAGAATTATGAATTAATTTAAATAAGTTAATACATCAAATTACTGATTACAATGATAAGTGCGACAAACCTTACTTCTTGGTAGTTGCCTTCGTCGGATGGCACGTGTTATGACTCATGGTAGTGACTATGACTAGTCATTAGTAACGTGTTAAAGCGGCTCCCAATGTAAACAAACAAAACACGTTTTCTTCACTTTTTATACCCTTGCAGAGGGTATTATAATTTTGGTCAAAAGTGTGCAACGCAGTGAAGGAGGCATCTCCGACCCTATAAAGTATATATATTCTTGATCAGGATCACCTCCTGAGTTGATATAGCCATGTCCGTCTGTCCGTCTGTCCGTCTGTCCGTCTGTCCGTCTGTCTAGTTTCTACGCAAACTAGTCTCTCAGTTTTTAAATTTAGTTATCGAGTTGAAACTTTGCACACACTCCTTCTTTCCTTTGCAATACAGTATATAAGTCGGAACGGCCGGGATAGGCCGACTATATATCCTATAGCTGCCATATAACTGAACGATCGGAAATGCCATAACTCGTCTGTTTGTAAAGTTAGGAAGCTGGGATTTTCTATGTGTTTTATATTTGGCTAATCAATCCGACCTACCAAATTTCATAAGGATCGGCCGACTATATCCTATAGCTGCCATATAACTGATTGATCGGAAATGACATAACTTTGGTGTTTGTAAAGTTAGGAAGTTTGGATTTTCTATGGGTTTTATATTTGGCCAATCAATCCGACCTACCAAATTTCATAAGGATCGGCCGACTATATCTTATAGCTGCCATATAACTGATTGATCGGAAATGCCATAACTTTGGTGTTTGTAAAATTAGGAAGTTGGGATTTTCTATGGGTTTTATTTTTGGCCCAATCAATTCGACATATTAAATTTCATAAGGATCGGCCGACTATATCCTATAGCTGCCATATAACTGATTGATCGGAAATGAAATAACTTTGGTGTTTTTAAAGTTAGGAAGGTGGGATTTTTTATGAGTATTAAAAATGCATCATATGAATAATTTTGGAGAATATAATTTGCAGAATATTCTGCAAGGGTATTTCAACTTCGGCTCCGCCCGAAGTTAGCTTTCCTTTCTTGTTTAAATAGTATTCTTAAGTACATATGAGAAACTTAGATTTTAGTGTAAATTTATGATTCGGTGAAATCTTTTGCAATAATTTGAATGGTAATTATATTTGAATATGCTTCAAATTATTATCAGCTATGTAACATAGTGCGGTGGCGTGGTTCATGGTCGTTGGACTCCAATGTTTAGGCGTGGGATTATATGTAAAACCATAATTTAAAAATTTAATTCCAATTTAACATTAAATTTTTAAAATAATTTTCATAAATTACAATTAAATTGAAGGAGCTTTTATAATTTGAATATTTTTTAACATCTTGATTTAACAGATATAATAACACCACAACGTATTGAAAAACATCTGGCTAATGTTTTTTGAATACATTTATTTGGATAGCTCTGTTATTATTGTGGTTAGAAGCTGTCGTTTTTGTTTATAATAACACGATGCAAATTTTATCAATTATCGACCCAACTAGCGTACACTTTAATGAATGAGCTTGATTATTTAGCCACACCTTATAATTGTAGTATTTGTCGAACATATTCCTCTCCCCTTGTGTAACGAAACTTGATGTTTACTATAATCAACTGATTTCCCATGTTCTAGTTATAGCTAGTTAAAGTTAGAAAATCAATAATATGTTGCGGTTCATTTGCATTATAGTAGACTCCACTATTAAAAAAAGATTAAGACTATTTTAAGATTAAGACCTTTCTCAGCACTGGGAAAGTTCAGTTTTCAATTTATAAAGCAGATTGGAAAGGATCATCCAGCTAAATCATTTCTCAGTATTATTAGGTAGCATTTAGTCAACTTTGAATTATATTCTATCAATTTTTATTATATGTATAACTATCTATATATACGTATTGTATATATAATTATTTATACCTGTAATGAATACTTACATTATATTATATAAAGTTTATAAGTTGACCAAATTTTCTTAAGATGCATGCGGGGTTTTCTCTTACTGCGTTTGACTTTATGTAATCCAATTTGATCATTAATATTATTAATAGGAACTCCATCAGCACTATCATAGTCCAGTATTATTGTATTTAATACATAATCCAAAAAATACCTGTTTTAATGCAAAAAATAAGTCGCACGGAGCTAATCTATTCGGTATAATTGATGTATTCAGGAAATTCTAAGGAACTCAAACTTGATTTCCATAGTTAGCAGGCCAGAAAAATGGCACTAGGTCAAAGTTTGAGTTACAAAACCCGGTGTGATCCACATCGGTAGAAATCCGAAGATAAAATTATTAAAAGTGGTTTGAAAAATCCCCTTCAAACTGGGTCAAAATCAATAACTTCACGTAGTGCAATTAAAAGCATACAATTGATTTTAACAAGAATTTGTTTATTACTTCAAGTTAATTAATTACTTATAATATAACAATAGTGCTTTAAGTTATATAACAGTTTTGTATAATATTAGGTATATAGGAACAATGCTATTAAAAATTAGCGACGAAGCATAGTCGACGCAACATCTGCGAAGCTTACAGAATCGTTATGTTGTTTTGGCCACACATTTTTGAATTTGATCAATAAAGTATAGTCAGTCAAGAAATTTGTAAAATTAATTCGCTTAGAGGTCACTTAAGTTAGAATCTTCAGCAGTTTGGCTGATAGATTGTTTACTGGCTCCGTGTTTAATCCGTTGCCGGCGCTGTTGTTTTTAGACAGACAGTATTGATAATCCAACGCGGCGAATCCTTTAAACGTGGTGGAAGATTCCTTTCCAAGGGCGCCGGGTACTGCTGGTGCTCCTCGAAAAACTACCTTATAAGTTGGCGAATTTGCTTATCCAAAGTTTAGGGGGCTTGGCTGGCTGGCGGGCTCTCGTAGGTTTACTGGCTGGTTGATGTTTCTTCTGCTGACTGGTAATCGTAACTGTAAGTTTGCAGCGTCCAGCGCTTTGGCTTTTATACGATTCTCGGCGAGCGTGGAGCGGGTGCATCGCCCGTGGCACACGACCGGCACTCGCCGGGTCGAGCGTTGCGTGGCATGCGGAATTTTCCCACTCAACTGCCATCTACCAGTTCACAGAAAAATCACCGAACTATTCAATTACGGTCTATAAAATTGACACTATATTTAGCCCTAGTCGTCATCTCTAAGTCTAGACATCGGCGAACGACCCAATTCACCCTGAAAGCGTGCCTGGCTTATACGAAATAGAAACCAGCAGGTCGTGCTGATTCACTTCAATGTTTGCATATGTTTAAGTTCAGATTACATGAGAATTCGCCGCATTTTTACTTTTATTCACACTCGGACTTTGGGCACTACCAATAGTATACTTTTATGGTTACTAATTTAACCGAAAATTGCGCTTGATCATCGTGAGTTCAGCTACGCTCAGTCACGCAAGTAATATTGCACGAATTTTCGAAGATGACCATGAAAGCTAATATAGAAAACTTAAGAAAATATACCAACAAATTGTGTTCTTTATTTTAAGTCTTGCTTGTGCCTAAACGAATTTGAACTTGTTGGTGAACTTTAAGCACTGAAGAAAACAACAACATATAAAATAAGATGTTTTACCAGGTCTTGGAAAACTCTAAGATTAAAAGATGTCTTTCTTAGTTATTAATAATCTTAACAGAATCAAAATATATTCTTAATTAAAGAACAGTTAAGAATATGGAACAAATAATTATGACGTATGGACGATATTCTACCATGATTTTTTATGTAATAATTTAATTGCTTGTTTTACCAATAAGCAATTGCAATTGAACAAAATTTATAATAACTTTTTAATCTTGATTTTTTAATGATTTTTCTCGGTGAACTCCCAATATAAATTGTGTAAAAATAAATATAATGCAAAACACCCAAGAATTCAAATAATTTTCGAGAGGGGATATGAGAGTTGAATCTTTGAAGATCTTCATTTGCTTTTTGTTACGCATTTTAGTTTTATAATTATTTGCTTAGTTTTTAGTGTCGCAAAACAACAATTCAAAAGCTGATACAGTAAAAACAAATCGAAAAGAATACAACACTAAAAATGAAAGCAAAGTAAACATTAAAAATATTTTTAATTTCTGTTTGTGTTATGCGAAGCAAACTCACGTGTATCCCCTCTTCAAAATTATTTATTTTCAGACAGTATAAAAGTGTTTTGCGCCTCTGCCCCCCAAATAATAGAGAAAGCAAACTGTGTAGGCCAGATCTTAAATGCTCTAACCAAAAGACCGCGCGATCCCGACGAACGACAAAAAAAACGAGGGCGAATCAATCAAAGCAACCACGGTGTGGTCATTTCTGTACCGGTGTGCCGCTGCAGCTCCTGGTGCCGGCATGGGCGCCAACGTTTCGCAGCTGGAGCGGGAGATTGGCTCCGACCTGTTTCCGCCCAATGAGCACTACTTCGGGCTGGTGAACTTTGGGAACACCTGCTACAGCAACTCGGTGCTGCAGGCCCTCTACTTTTGCAAACCGTTTCGCGAGAAGGTCCTGGAGTACAAGGCCAAGAATAAGCGGCCCAAGGAGACGCTGCTCTCCTGTCTGGCGGATCTTTTCTACAGCATTGCCACCCAAAAGAAGAAGGTGGGCTCCATTGCGCCCAAGAAGTTCATTACGCGGCTGCGCAAGGAGAAGGAGGAGTTCGACAACTACATGCAGCAGGATGCCCACGAGTTCCTCAACTTCCTGATTAACCACATCAATGAAATCATATTGGCAGAGAGGAATGCGGGACCCAACAATGGAAATCCGAAATCCAATCCAGGCGGAGCCACAAGTGCCATGGCCAGCAGCATAGCTAGCAAGTCCAGCTCAACGTCAAATTCGAATTCCAACTCAAATTCAACGACTAACTCAAATGGCAATAGTAGCAACTCCACGGGATCACTAAATGCCACCACTAGTGTTCTAGATGCCAGTGGCAGTCTTACGGCCACCACAACGCCCATAATTCCGGGCAATGGATCAGGGACCAATGGGGCCAATTCGGAGCCCACATGGGTGCACGAGATCTTCCAGGGCATTCTCACCTCGGAGACCAGGTGCCTTAACTGCGAGACGGTGAGCAGCAAGGATGAGAACTTCTTCGATCTGCAGGTGGATGTGGACCAAAACACCTCGATCACGCACTGTCTGCGGTGCTTTAGCAACACGGAAACCCTGTGTTCGGACAACAAGTTCAAGTGCGACAATTGCTGCAGCTACCAGGAGGCGCAAAAGAGGATGCGGGTGAAAAAGCTGCCCATGATCCTGGCCCTACATCTCAAGCGCTTCAAGTACATGGAGCAATTCAACAGGCACATCAAAGTCTCTCACAGGGTCGTGTTTCCACTGGAACTCAGGCTGTTCAACACCTCCGATGATGCCGTGAATCCGGATAGACTGTACGATCTGACCGCCGTGGTTATACACTGCGGTTCTGGACCGAATCGGGGCCATTATATATCAATTGTTAAGAGCCACGGGCTGTGGCTGCTCTTCGACGATGATATGGTGGACAAAATAGAGGCTTCCACCATCGAGGACTTCTATGGTCTGACCTCGGACATACACAAGTCGTCGGAGACGGGCTATATACTGTTCTATCAGTCGCGGGACTGCGCCTAATCCTTTTATGTTATCTCTTCGTAGAAGCTAAGTTAAAAGTTTCCAGTCTCCTATAAACGAATGTTAGAGCTAAGCCCAAAATTGTATGACTTTTATCTATCTATCCAAGCCTATACTACCTAATAATCAATAAAGATGATCAATAAAGAAACGCGTTTAGCGATTGCTCTAGGTCAGGGAGCCTTGATGGCTGTCAGGGCCAGAATCTCTGCGGCGGTTCACTCAACCCACTCACCTGGGGGCTTGCCAATCGCGAGCCGGTGCGCAAGTAAACAAATGGGCGATTTCCCGTGCCAAAGCGGTTTCATTGTGGGCCCAAGCTGGTAATTTGCGGGGCGCTGGCGTGCTTAGGTAACCGGCGATCGTTGAATTTCATCAGAAATCCCCCCGCCAAAACGCCGGTGGGTCGCGAGCCACTGAGGGAACTCACCACCGGTCACACAGGTGGCCAGTGGCTAGCGGCTAGTGGCTAGCGGCTAGCGTCTAATTGCTGTCTTCTGGACACTTGGGATGTGCGAGGGGTCGGCGGATCGGCATCGTCGCAGAATTAGTCACGTCGTCATAAGCACGTGAGGAATATACAATATTGGTCAATCGTATAGGAATATGCAAATTCCCATAGCATAAATCAATCTATACAATTGTCTGGAGTTTTGAGAAGAGTTACTTAACCGATTATATCAAAAGTGACACATCGAAGTCATTGGAATGCGGTTAGGGCAATAGGTATATATTGCTAGTACGAAACCTTTATTGCTCACTTCATGTTACGAAATGAAAGAAAATTCCAGAAGATCATAAATTTGTGTTGCGAAATTCATTCAATTTTCCCATTGACTAAAAATTGTAAAGTTAAGTTAAAAGCGTCATATTAATAGATAGGTATAAAAGAATAAAATATTATTAAATTATAGTAAAATGAAAATATCATTAAAAACACAAATATATATATAATATTTAATCATTTTGTTTTTCCTTTAACAATCGCACAGCAAAGTTTTAACCAACAATTAGTTCCTCGAATAGTTTTTTGTAAATAAAAAAGTAACTAATTTCTACATTGCCAAATAGCCACTATTGACTAATATCAATTTACTAATTGAATTTTCAATGTGTCTTTTAACGAATATCTGCATAACAAATCCATTCATCCATAGATAATGGCAAAAGCTTTCACATGAACACATTTCCTTCGGAAGAGGAGAAAACTGCTATTGACAGTTTTGATGGTTATGCAAGAGAAACAACTTGGCCACTCACCGATGCAACAGAGATTCAATTTTTTATGTTTTTTTTATTTATTAAAAATTTCAAGGCTCTTCACATGCAATTGGTGGTGTTGTCTTGTCCAGTTATCAATGCATTGGCAAATGACATCGTTAAGCAATGCCAAACCCACGGAAAGATAGTGGACAAGAAAAACAGGTTGAACGGAAAGTGAGCCCAAAGGCATATTTATGGGTTTTCTTAATGACGTTTGTTAAGTGTGGAATAAAGTGTATCTTTCTTGGCTTTAATTGATTAGATGTGGTTTGTAGTCAACATCCGAATTGGTTAACCCAAGACCTTTTTAACCGCAATGCAATTAATATCTTTTATTGGTCATATTGTTTTAAATTAAATAGTAACTATGATTAAGCCAATTAGTCACAAGATGCTTTTAATGATTAGGAAAACAACATTTCCACTATAAACAATTTGTTATTGAAATTACGTCTTAATTTGATGACCTTGTGGCCATCGTTAACAAATTATACTTTATTCATTGATAATTCCATGTTTCGGTTAGATTTAATTTATTGATTAAAGATCACATGATTTAATTTATACCAACAAATTGGTAAGTACTTTTACAAAGTAATGGACAATTAATTAAAAATTCTTCAAATCCAATGTGCACAAATTAATTGGGAAGCATTGATTGTGAATTATTAACTCCTTTGGCATTTTTTCTTATCTTGAAGAGTGTATAAAGTTCGGTTACGCCTTTTTTGGCCAATTTTAAAATTTTTGTATGTCTTGTCACTGGAAAGATTTAACAATTTGTACACGGACAAGCGTTAAACGCCATTGACAAGCGCGGAGTGAGGGCATGGGGATGGATAGTTGCACGCACCGAGTGGCTGCGTAGGTTTTTTAGTTTTTTGTCGCCTGTTTTTATGCTCCGGCTTGTGGCGCACTTGATCGATCGGTTTTATCTTATGGCGCGAGTAGACTGTTCCGCATTTTATGGAGCGGTAATTACGCATGATTTCGACTTTCACTTTATGACAAGAAAAACCTCACTTGACGCAATTTCTTTCAGCATGTGAAAAATGCTTGTCTGGCATGCTTTCGGTATTGTTTTTCGGTCGCATCTGAGCTGAATTGACATTTGACATATTGCTGTTGTCAAGGTCTGCAGCGGCCACAGAGTAACATCTAAAAACACCAGCAGGAACACATCCATGTGGTTGTCAAAGCCATGTTGCAACATTTCTCCGGTCTCGGCCCATCTGTTTCATTTTCATTTGGGCCGATTGTGAAATTGTCAATATGTTTTTATCGTTCCCGCTGGTTTGTTGTCAAACTAGGAAGCGATTCGCCTGCTGGTTTGTGTAATCGAATCAGCTTTCAAGCGAAACCCATGTAAATCTCAATTTTGTGTCGGTTCCCCCTCAATGATTTCTGCTCTGAAAACTGAGCCTCTTTCGAGTCTGTTCTTCGGGGCTGAGTAAACAAAGAGTCCTCCATTTTCGACGCCAGTCTTTAATTAGCTCGTTGGCCACATGTGACGCTCTGCAGCGACACCCTTTTCGCAGCGATCGTTCGAGATTTGTCATCGGGGGGCTGACATAATTACGGCCTGTTAGGAAATTAAATATGTCATTAAATACGCTTCTATAATATTTGCTTTTCTGTTGGCAGAATGATAAATGACTAGTGGCATTGGGGCATCTATCAGGGAAAGCATTTCGTAATATGAAACCTTCGAGGTTTTTTGTTCATAAAAAAATGGTATTATGAATGTGCGCAAAAGTTGTCAAGCAGAATGGAAGAAAATGTAATAACGATATTAATTCACAACTTAAAATTGAACACATAAGAACACAAGTACTTATTATTGATTATAATATTCTTTAAACGTGTCATTATTATAACATGTATCATCTTAAAGTTAATAACCGATAAATATTCCTAACCCCCGTCTCGAGCTAAGTATACTAAACTGCAGTTTAAGTGCATGATTATATAAAATTAGTAACACAAACTGCTTTTCTATTCACTTAATCGGATTACTACTATGTGCTGACTGAATAATGAAAGGCAAATCGAATCTTTACACTAAACTGATTAACGCCTCAAACTTTGTGTTGTGGCATATTGACAATTATTATAAATAAATCTGTCTCATAGTAACAAGTTGCTAGCTTAATTGTAATTTGGTAGGCATTTTTATAACTCTTAAACAACCAGTTCGCAATTCTTTAGCTCTAAGAGAATTCAACATTTAAGTACCAGAAAATGGCCATTATTATCATGTTTAATTCATACTGGCATTAAAATTTTATGGCTACCTCCTACTATATGGTATGGCAAATTTCTCTTTTTTGCGTCTCAGGTTGTGCGCAGAATTTTTCGCGCAGCAAGGGATGAGTTGATGACCCTTGCCCGGGAGCAAAGTGCATCTCCGTGTTGGGTAGCGACATCATCCAGCCTTCGAGGAGATGGACCCACCGCAAGGAAAGCGGAGCTGCACTTTTGTTTACTTTGGCAACTTATTTTTGTGCAAGACCATTAAAACACGCTCATGCGGGAGGTCAAGTCATGCACAAAAGATATAAACATATATACTTTAATATAGCCGAGGGTGGATTTTGTTATGCTAATTTGGTGCTGCCACAATTGGATCAGCAGTTGGGGGCAAATGGATTTGTCATACTTGACTTTGCAAATCAGTGGATGACTCATTCTTGCAATTGGGAAAAAAACGACTTAATTCAATTAGAATTAAACAGAACCAATCAATAAGGAATGGATATTCTGGAATCCACCTAAAAGTATGCCAAGAATTGTGAATTTCCTGCTACTCTCTATCTCTTTCGCCAGCTGAATTTCAATTATAATTTTCTCTCATTGCGATCGGGCTGCTGTGTCTGGTATTTTAATTTATGGATTATGATCACGACCTCCTCGCCTTTCCATTTTCCCCTTTCAACGCCCACGGCATTTGGCATCCGCTGGGCTTTTGAAGCCGACAATAATTAATTGACAAATAAAAGTAGCAGAAAATACAAAGCGACAAGTTTTTGCGTTTGTTTTATATATGCTTTTTCGTATCTACATGTAAACAAGCCAATTGTTGTTCATTGAAAAAGATATTTGTATATGTATATATTTTTTTGTTATTTAACATTCCCTGCCTGTTTGAGGTTGATTTAATCAGCACACACAGAGGCACATTTGGGTTGGCTTTCCAAAACAGCTGATAATAGATAGAGGGTATATTTATTTACAGGGTGCTTTGTGCTGGGAATGCCGATCATTACTAAATGTATTCAACTCATTCATGCCTTGCTATTGTCTCCGATTTGAATTTCATGGGGAAAATTTATGTGCATTTATAATAGTTTTATTGGAAAATGTAGTACGCTCGACTGACTGATCGTCTGTTTGTAATTGTTAATGAGCACTTGTGCGCACCCCCGACTTTTAACCCCCCCTCGAACTCCGATTCTGTGATATAATTTTATGTCTGGTGTTGAGTTTCAAGAGGGGGCATATGTTTGCTTTCGTTGCAGCACGTGCACATGCGTTCTCTATCGGGGAACTCGATCTTCATCCTGCCGGAAGCCTCGTCTTCAGGCTCTTCGGGGTCTATTTACCACCCTCGAAGTGGCGGAGGGTTGTTTATTTGACCGGACAAAGTAGGCACTTGGTTTTCCACTTGAACAGCTTCATTAGTCTTAGAGATAAATCAAAATCTGCAGTTGATTTACTTCCCAGATGGTCGGGGCTTATCTTTTTGATTTATGCGGATGGAAAGAACAATACTACAAATATTCTTCATCAATTTAAAAATTGTTTCATATCACATGGAATCTTAATCTTTGTATGACAATACAATATGATAGATGGGGTATATGTAAATATAAATATATTTTCAATCAATAAAGATGACTTTTAATTTATTTGCTATTAGTATTTATAATTAAAAGTTTGATAAGATTTTATTATAGATTAAAGTTATTTATAATATACAATTAAATTTTGGAAAACAATCAAAATAGCGTATATTGCATTCATTTGAATGATAATGTATAATTAGACTTGTAAAACTTTTTGTATTGGTATTTTATTTTCTGATTTAATAATATAACCGAATCTTTCTAAAAAAGATATTTTTTATTCCTTAAAGTTTGTGTTTATTTGCTTATTAAGTGGTGTTAAATGGAAATGTTTTTAAAGATTAATAAAATCAAATTTTGAAAAAACAAAAATAAATTTCAAGCTACGACTCCATAGATCTCTAAATCCCATATCAACTTCAATCTTATAGTATCCAACGGATTGCACTTGCTGCGCCACAGATGGTGGCATTACCCGTATCCGTATCCATGAAGTCCATGTCGCTCTCGTTTTCACTTTTTGCTCGTGCCCCTTCTTTTTGGGGTTAACTCTGCGATGCACATTGTATAATGTTCCGTGCGCTACTCCGTGCGTTTTCGGGCGCTTTTCATTCTTTTCACTCGGATACACCCCGAAGATACTCTGGGAGGTGCCCTCTCACAGATACTCTCACACACAGAGGCCTCGTCGCTTTGTAGTCGTCGCTTCGCCTCTTTTTTCTTGTTGTATTTCGGATTGTCGTGGCCCGCTCGCGTATTTTCATTTTCAGTCAGTCTCCTTGGGCTGGTGCAACTGTGAAAATGTGCGCAGCGTGTCGGTTGTGAAAGCCTTGATTATTTCCATATATATTTTATTTTTCGTTTCACATTTCACTTAATTTGTTTGCGCGTTCGTCGCTCGTTCTTCGTTCGTCTGGTGTGAATAATAAACTCGTAGATACTTTGTGTGACGCAGCAGCCCAATCAAAGTGGAATTACTTAAACGGCATTAATTGTGCGTGGGCTAAAACCCCACTGAATTGTCTTAAAAAATACTCGTTAGATTGGCCATCTTAAGTGCATCAGTAGCCAATAGTGTGTGTGCTTTGTTAGTGTTCGATACGAACAAAGGAACTAAAGTTCTCTTTGCCAGCGAATTTTTGGGATTATCTAATACGCAATCCGTTTGGGTAAAGTAACGACAGCATTTAACAATTATTTATGAGTTTTCTGCACAAGGAAATGAGATCATCCGGAGTCAGGAAAAATATATAATCGGTTTTTGGTTGTCAGTTGCATTTCAACTAGCTTCAAAGCTTATCTTATCAACTAAAAAGTTGTCAGGCATGCCAAAATCGTTTATTTACGCCAAATCAACTCGTTCGACTTGCTGATAAACTGCTGTCGCCTGTCAGTAGCAACTGTATCTTTGCATCTGCATCTGGGTCTGTTTTTAGCCCGCTTCGTAAATAGTTTTGACCTTTTCGCTAACCAAAAGACTTCCGCGTCGATATGCACACATGCGTTTGATGATTTCGTAATTACAATCGCCACAAAATAGAAACAACATATCTATATCTGCAACTGCAGTCGCATCTGTAGATGCATTTTCTTGGGCTGCCTCATTTAATTGGCGAGCATAACGTACTCCACAGAAAGAGTTTTTACGCTAGCATTTTCTATGCGCAATGTAGGCCAGCAAGTACGTTGAACTAAACTAAAATGTTTTCATTTCTCTAGAACAATGAAGGAAATATATATGCACTTGCAGGGGAAGGCCTGCTTATACGAATGTTTTAAGGGAGTGCCACTACCCTAGCATCAGCTATAATTTCCAAATTAACATTTTAATAGCTTGTGGGTAAAACATACAGCTTTAAAACACATAATTAGGTTGTCAAAACTAAAAGTAATTATTTTTTTCCGTAGAGTTAATAGGAAATGTCACTACCCCTTATCAGTAACCGATCGCTCATGATTTCAAAGATCATACCCCTTTTTATATTCACGTTTACGCTATTAAAATACAAAACTAATGTGTCACTTTCCACTGAATTCTTCTCTCTGCGGTGCAAACACCTAAATAAACATTTTGGAAAAGTTCAAACTGTGATTGAACCTGCACGTACACCTTGCTCCAACTGGGAAAAACTGTACTTTCCCATCGGCTACATGCGCTGTTTATTTTTGCCCCGGCCGTAATTGCAAGGTGCAAAGAGAAATCCAAATGAGTTGCGTGCGAAATCGAAACGCATCTGCAATTTTCACAATATTTCGCAGTGCGTCGGCTTCTTTACTTTATGTTTGTGATTTCAAGAACTTCATGGCTGATGGCAAATACAAGGCAGCTGGAGCGTGGCCATGGACAAGTTGCCGCCGTGTTTATCGGAGCTGCTTAAATGCCGCTTCGGTGCGAGAGCACTTTTCTTTATATTCCTCCTTATAGCTGAGTGTTGGTTTTTATTTTGGCCGCTTGCCAGATGTGGGAAGCCGTTTGGCATTTTCCGAGGCAGGTCCTTGGTGCGCCTGAGCACTCCTCGGTGGCATTCTGCCCGCTCCGCAGACTTTCCCTTTCTCGATATTAGCCCACAGTCCTGAGGGTTTCTTTTTGCGCATTTGGCCCTTGTGGGTGGTTGCCATTTTGCAAGTCTTTGTCTGCAACTTTACACTCGGAAAAAGGGCTGGATTAGATACAGAAATAAATATTAAAAAGCATTGTACTTTTCCTAAAACTCAATAATTGAAACTAGTAGATAATGTCAACTAAGCAAAAATAAAAACCACCAATAAACCATTTTGTTTTTTTCCAACTAAGGGCATAAAAAGTATTTTCTTTGAAGAACATTTGTTAAGTTGAGTATAGCCAAGAAAATCCAACATTTCTTGAGTGTAGCCAAGAAAATACAACATTTCTTGAGAGTAGCTAAGAAAATCCAACATTCAAGCAATCTTTGGGCGTGTCCAAAACGAATACAATTTATATTCTTAAACAATGCAATTATATTTATAGTTGCATTTCCCCGCTAGATAATGTTAATAAGAGTGTTATCTTTTGCTGATGTCAGGCATCAAGTATGCCAGATATACCATATAATCTCATTATGCCAAGCACCTGGTGGATCTTTATTTTTTTTTTTGGCAAGCTCATGTGCGCTCTAGATAGATTTCAATAGCAAACATTATGACACATGCTCGCCAAAAGTCGGACGACAAGTTAATAATAATGAACTTGGCTAAGTTTTTTCGGCTAGTGGTTTAAATTTTAGACACCTGCGAACCTGGCCAAAGCTTCAAGGCAAAAGCCCTGTTCAGCAGGGAAAGCCATTTCCGTTTTTTGGGGCCGCAAAATGCTTTTTGCGGAAATGTATGCCCATAAATTAGGCTCCTTGAGGTTTGCTCCTAACGCTTTTGCTAACGAGCACCGACTGCAGTTAATTTGCGCGCTAACAAGGCAAAGGAATTGCATTTCGAGGTTGGCCCAAACCGCAGGGGCATAAATCGCCGATGGCAACACCCAACTGCAGCTTTTGTTTGTTCCGTATTGTTATTGTGTAGGGGATTATTTTAGGCGTTTTTCATTGAAACTCCGCATTAAAGTTTTGGAAAAAACATAAAACTCGGGAGCCGACTGCAGAAAACTCGTAAATTATTTTAATATGCTTCTCACACCGAAATCAAATCAACAGACACAAAACTTTTTGTGAGCTGAACAGTGTAGCACACACACTCTGGGTTATTTTTATATATAAAACTTGGTCCATGTGTCGTATAGAGAGAAAACTTACGCGTCAAGCATAACAACATTTATAAATAGCGGAAAACTACGAAGAAATCAAAATGAATAGTGCAGCATAGAAAACAAAACCGATGGAAATCCAAACAAAATGTGCAACCAATCAATGGAGTTGAACCCCTTAAAAAAAAGAGCCAATAACTAAAAATAAAGAAAAGTAAAGCAAAGCCAAAAAGAGACTCTGCCAAGAACTTGGCAACATCGCAGCGTTGGTCCGAAGAGGACTGGCCAAAAATAAACCGGCAGCAACATTCGCTTGCAACTAGATGTTGTTGCTGTTGCTCGCCTTCATCATGCGATTCGTAGACATTTCCAAACGCTGTGCCGCCTGCTCGAGGGCCGGAATCGATTGCCCGCACAACGGCAACAGCAACACCAATCCGCGCGGTGATGCCAACGGCAACACTGCCTGCTGGCAACATGTTGCCGGTGCCACCAGCAACAGCAGCAGCACCAGCAGCGGCTGCGACAGCAACAGCTCCTCCAAGGAGAATTACTATGTGCCACAGCACCAACATCGTCAGAGGGCAAAGCCCACCAGCAACAATGGGGTGACCCCGCAGCAACTGGAGCAAATACGCTTCTACCAGCGCATGCAACAGCAGCAATTGCAACTGTTGCAGCAGCAATTGCTGCAGCGGCGACGCCTGCAACAGCAATTGTTGGAGCAGGGCGTGCCATCACCTCCGGCGACAACCACTACATCAGCGGGTCTCACCTGCAATCAACAGTATTTGCGACAGCAACGACTGCAGCAGCAACCGCAGCAGCAACAGCAGCGATACGTGGACCACAACAGCAACAATGACAATGACTATCTGAACAATTATCTGAACAACAAAATTAACCATCAAAACAATGACAAAGTTGTGGGTCAAGGTGCGAAGTTGTTAAGTCTTAACTTTTAAGTAAATCCAAATATAGTTAGTCTTAATACGTATTTGACTATTAATATATTCCTTATCATTCAATTGATTTTCATATACGCAAAATAGGAATAATTTAAAAAAATGTTCTCTGAATTCTTATTTTATTTTAAGATGTATTTTTGGTTCTTTTTTTTATATCTTTTCAATACACTATATTTTTCTTAAGAAATATTAAGTATTCGTCTTTAATTAAAGGCATAAAATGTTTGTCCTCGCAAAAAGCATCGTCAACTTTGTTTCTTTCTTGGCTTCGCCCTGACGCAACCTCTTGAACATCTCGAGACGGGCTTTTGTAATTTCAATTAACTTTAATTGAGCTCCGAGAGGCCGGCAGTTGGCACTGGGCCTGGCCATTGCTCCGATGCTGGACCACCCTCCCAGCACGACTGCTTTATGCATCCCATATCTACACACAAAATGCATTAAAAAATATATTTTTATTTGTCCGTAATCTTGCGCTGGCCCAAATATGAAATGACTTTCCATTTCATATTTTTTTTCCGCTTTGGGGAGGGAGAGGATGAAAGATAGCCGGGCGGGAAAGACATGTGCTTTGCCACTTGTCGGCTGTTGTAAAAGTTCCATCAGACAGAGGGAAATCTTTTAGAAAATATAATCTCTAGTGTCTACACTTTCTGGGAGGTTGCCGGCCTCGCGTTTCCCCCTTTTTCATGCATTTGATTTGTTTATGCCCGGAGTTAATTTTAAATTTAATTTCTGTTCCCGATACCATAATGAATTGCATAAGAAACTTGACTGGCAAATGCAATCGATAGCGATGCGGCAAAAGAGGAGGTTTTCCACGTACTGAATTACCGCCTTGAGACATGCAATACCATCAAGTTTAACCTTTAATTGCCGCTGGCGGACAAGCATTGCATGTTGCATGAAGCGCCCCGGAAGATGGGAAAATGTGACATTTTCCAATTGAACTTTTTAGGCGATGGCACAGAGCGATCCGATTCATGGGTGTTGATCGTAAAAACGTCTCAGGCGTATAAAAATAATTTTTACAACTTTTTCGTTTGGAAAAAGTGGGAGGCTGTCACCCAGATAGTGTCATTCTTATTTGCTAGACCAGGACTGGCATCGTAAAAATTAATTGAAACATGCCAACAATAGATGGGCGCCTCCGTCAGGTTTTTACGGTTCCAAAATGTGTGGCACGCTAATGTCCATTAGGGGAAGGAAAGTGCAAATGAGAATGGGGATAGATCATTAGCCGGAGTTAGTTTCGCCCCGGTGCTGTCGCATCTTAATTGAGCCAAGTTCAGTGTCAATGCTGATTAGACAATTAACATTAGGAGAGACCTAGTGGGAATTATCGAGGTATTTTAATCAACAAAACTACAAACCACATAAAAACAGTGATTTTGAGTTCTTTAAATAGTACTTAAAGAGGACAAGGTCAATAATAATTTTGTAAGATAAATATAAGTATGTAGCATTAAAAACACCAAATCTGTTTTAAAAAAAGTTATTAATAATTTCAATTGATTCTTTCCCTTGCAGGAACAAAACTTCGACGTGGCATGACAGAATTCTCAACAAACAACGATCACGGCAAACCGCATTTCACCGCATCTCAGCAGAAACCGCTTCAGAACTCACCCATCCACCAGCAAGCATTCACCCCATCCAATCCCAACTCTCACCCACATTTGCTTCAACGCTTGGCCCAACAGCAGCAGCATCAGCAGCAAAATCATCAACGCCCCCATAAATTTCAGCAGACCCTGCCCTTCAGCCAGCTAAACAACGGCAACAACACGGCTGCCCACATTCTGCCCGGATCATCGCCACATTCCCCGCTCAGCTACCGGAATCCGCTGAACAGTCCCAGCAATTCGCCATTCAGCAACACGGCGCAGTCGACGATTGGGAAGCGGTACCAGCAGCAACAGCTGACCGATCGCCTGTTGCAGCAGCAGCATTTGCAACAGTGCCAGCAGCAGCAACTGCAATCGCTGGGCAGCGATGTGGAGGAGGATGCCGCCGGCGAGGAACTGAGCGAGGAAAGTCTCAAGCAGAATGTGGCCATTGTGCTGAGCAACTTGGATCGGTATAACAACGCGTTGCGCAGTATTATCCTGAATGAGCAGGTGAGCAGCAGCTTCATCACTCCCAGCGACAGTCTACTGTTTGGCGAGGATTCGGGCGGTCTGCTCTATTGCGACAACGACAATTCCAGGAAGCAGCAGGGCAACAATAACTTTGTCCTGGGCAAGATGGCGGCCACACCGGAGTCGGATTACAACAGCAATGCCACCACGCCAGGAGGTCGCAGCAACGAGCAACAGTTGCAGCAGCAACAACTGCAGCAGCAGCAACTTGGGGTAGGTGGGATGCTTTGTGGTGGTGGCGGGATGCGGGAAACTACTAATGGCGGTGGCAACAATCTCAACTGCTCGTTGGCCTCGTCACACGACTTTACTCACGACAATTCCGATTACCAGTGGTTCCTGGACTACGGCTATCGAGATGGTTGCGGCGGTATGCAACGCAGCGTATTGAGTTCCCTTTCGGCCTCGTACAATGCAATGGGCGATCTCTACTACTACGAGGATCTTGCCAAGAATCTGGATGCCAATCTGGCCGAGGTGGATATGGAGAGTTTTCGGGCCGAGGATATACATTCCTTGCTCTCGCAACTGCCCGCCTATTGTAAGAGTTTGGGCGGAGCCAACAGTCGCCTGCAGCAATCGTTGCTCCTTCAGCAGCAGCAACAGCAACAACAGCTACAACAGCAACAGTTGCTGCACCACAGCAACATGTTGCCGCACAACATGTCCCAGACGTCGACCACCTCCACCAACGATCTGATCGACAACTCCTTCTGCAAGTCGGAGCTGCTCTTTTCGCCGGTGAGGGAGTCGCACATCTCCGTAGACTCACTGGACATGGACGCTTATCCAGATGACGGGGAGATCATCCTGACCTGCAACAAGGACAACTACACAATCGCCTTCGAGGGCAGTGTGCTTTACTCGGACGATAGTTTCTATGGTGAGTAGTTGTATTATCTAATTGGAACTCGTAACTTACTGACTTCGTCTTCGATTTATAGCGGAACCTAGTGACCTTGCCGCCAGGAACAAACAGAACTGCATCAACTTGCACAGCAATCTGGAGGACATAGTAAAGCGCAACAAGGCCCTGGAGGTATCCATGTCGCGATCGGCCCAGGCCTTCCAGCCCTTGTGTCCCATGTCGCCCAAGGGACAGGCGGCCACAGCGGCAGCAGCCAAGTTACAGAGGTAGGTCTACATAACCAAACACACTCCACACCAGATTCGCACATAATCCTGAGGATTGGTTGTTGTCGGGAATGGGTTTGCTTTTATAAGCACACTAGTGACGCTCCCATTATATTAAGACTAGATCTACCTTTCAATATAATTTGATGATAGTTGAACTTTAATGGGTGACATGTCAAAAATGTAAATAGTTAAGTAATCGTGAACATACATTGTCAGTTGAAGGAAGTATTACCCCATGGATTTTCTGAGATAAAAATAAGATTCTAAGATAAGGCGAGCTAAATATGAGATAACTAATAGATTGGCCGTTACGTGTAACATCTGAATGACAAACATCATCATCAAGAGGGGCGGATGTTACACATTTTCCCCTTCCTTGCAGTCTGTCCTCATTGCAGGCGTGTGGGGTCATTTCAATTGAATTCAATTTAGTTCCATTTGGCTGCCGGCTGAAATATTAACGTATGCTAGCATTTAGGGGGAATTTTCGAATGGGAACTGGGTCTTTTTGGCGTATATTCCACGCGGGCATATGCTAACCTTCAAGGGTTTTATGTCTTTGGGTCGCGAAACGTGATTAGGCAAGTTAATCCTTAAAGAAAACCAATTACGGGCTTAGCCCGTACAACTCATTCACAAAACGATTAGGCAGGACAACCGAAAACCCTAAAATATTATGCAAATAAACCCTGGCCAGACGCCGGCAGGTAACAAGGCCATAAAACCTGGTAACAACCAATCCTAAAACCTAACACCACTCCCTACCCAAAAAAAACCAGAAAAAGAAAACCTTCCGCCAACAAAATTGTAATCCCGAACACTCGACGTGTCTCTTGTGGTAAAGACGCTCGTTATTCCTTGTTTCGCCCGCCCGCAGGTATCCCTCTGGGAATAATAACACGGAGACCATTACCATAACCAGACACCTACCACAGTGTTCCGTGAGGAAGAGCAGCAGTCTGCCCAATCTGCAGAGCGAGGAATCCATGACGGGCAGTTGCTTGAAGGAGCAGCGACAGGGAGAGAGTGGCCAACAGGCGGTTCCGCTGAACGTCTCCCAGGCGATCAGCACTTCGACCATGGAGTCGTGCAAGTCGAGGTCCAGAAATCTTCTTGCCCATGTGCCAGATGCCCATATCCATCAGCGTGTCCGTTTCGGAGCGGCTGCAGCAACAGGCGGATCAGCAAGTGCCCATTCAGCAGATCACACCCACATCTCAGCAGCCACAGCAGCAGCATCACAACTCGCATCACCATCGCCACAAGCATCGCTGCAGTTGCTCGCAGGAGAGTCAGAATTTCCACATTTCCGGCTCGGCCTCCTCGGGCAACTCGTCCAATCCGCCGGCCTTTAATCTAGTCAAGTTGTTTATCAAGCAGAAGAGCACCAACAGCAGTGGCGGTCAGGAGGATTTGGGGGCTCAGGCGAGTGCGCATACCTGCATGGATGTGTCGTCCGGTTGCTGGCCCTCCAGTGATGCGGCCAGCTCGAGCAGCGGATCAATGGAGCAGCGTCTGCGTAAGAAGAGTATGAACGACTCCGGCAAGGGATCAGCAGTGAGTCGCCATGACGAAGAGGAGCACTTCCCGGAGACGGAGACACCCAGGCGTCAGCTGAGAGCCCGATCCGAGGCAGTATTCTACGATGACGTGGGCACCTCCAGTTCGACGGGCTCGTTGACTGCGACCAATTCACCAGCACATCGTCGTCGTAGTATGCCGCTAAGAAATCCCCAACTGTACCAACTGGCAGCTCAGGTTTCCACTGGCAGCCAGATGTCCTCGGAGGCGAGTTCGGAGCAGCTGACACAAGTGCCCAGGCGAGCGGAAGCGGGATGCGGGACCAGCACTCGTCCACTGTCGTGTGCCTCCAGCTCCGAGATGATCACACGCTCCATGCAGACCTCCTGCGGATCTCTGAGCACCACCAGGAGCAGTCTGAGCGATCGGTATCGCTGTGTACCGCCCTCGTTCCTCGAAAAACTTAACAACCTTGGCGAGCAGCGGCAGGCGCCTATTTACGTTATCTATCCGAATTATGCCCTGCCCGACTTGGGATTCGTGAAGACCAATGCCAGCACAGACGTGATCTTTTCACCCTTCAACTACAAGATGACGCTGGATGGGGCAGCTGGGAGTACCAGTAGCTCGGGATCTCTAAAGAAGCAACGCAGCAACAGCCAGAGCGTGAGCGAAGATGAGATCCTCAAGACGCTGGACTACAAGCACATAGCCGACTGGCAGTCGCTGGCCACTTTGCTGCCGACGGAGTACCGCCGTCGGTTGCAGCACATTCCGGAGGTGAAGCATCTGGTCAGGCAGCTGGATGCGGAGCTATCGCAACGTCCGCTCTTCTGTATGTCCCCACCGCTTCGCCGGAATCGCACGCACATCTGTGACTGTGCCAAATTCTTCCAGGGGCAGCAGACCCAAATGGACGAGGCCTCCAGCTCGGGATCGAGTCAGCAGCCCAGCTCTGGCTATCGTGGCTCATCCACGCTGCTCACCGACTCCGAGTTGGATGTGGATCCGCTCAAGCAGATGTATGTGTACCAGTACGATCAGCAGCGCATGGATTCTGGCGTGGAAACGAGTCCTGGTAGTCAGTTAACTCAAACCCCGCCGCAGCCCATGCCTAGAAGTATCCTGCGCAAGGCTCACTCCGCGCAGCCGCGCTCCAAGCGTAATTCCATGATCGAGGCACAGCAGACGCAGAAGCTCACCAAGCTGGAAAAGCGCCGCAGTTTGCAGGAGCCACCGCACAACTACGGATTGGGCTCCAACGACGAACTGGCGGATGTGTTTGAGGAGGAGGAGCACAGCCAGCAGGCGCAGCCGGTGAAGCAGAGGCTCTCACGCAAGGATCTGGATGCCAGGGCTCGGGCTGAGAACTTCCTGGCCTCGTTGCCGCGCTCCGAGCTCAAATACTACGCCGAGATCGCGTCCATCCTAGAGTCTTCCGGCGAGCAGGTGACCTACGATGCCGCCGCCCTCAAGAAGGAAGTGAGCCGAGTGCTTAGCCAGCAGAAGAAGGTGTCCTTTAATGACGAGGGCGTGGCGGCTGGACTGCAGCAGCATGCCAAACGTTTTGCCACGCCTCCCAATTCCCCCAACATCTCCGTAGCCCTGAAACGCGAAACAGTGGACGTGCTGGAGCAGCGCAAGATCGAGAGCAATCGCTTCAAGCGCCTGCAGATCCAATGGGAGCTTATGAGCAAGGACTCGAGTATGCTGAAGGAACTGGCCAGTGAGGCGGCCACCAAGAGCGGTGGCTCCACTCCCACCTCGGTCAACTCGACGGGTTCCAACTCGGCGCCAAGGTCAAGGATTCCACGGCCAGTGAGCTACCCAGCGGGCAGGTCAGTACTTTTGAAATTTAATTTAAAATACGGAAGTGCAAATCGGTCATTACGAAGATATATTTAAGAAAATATCGACTTGCTTATCCGCCAATGAAATTTACAAAATTATTTCTTTTGAAATGGTTTGTTTACAAAATTTATTTCTTTTCATTTTGGGCAAACCATCCCACCGTCCTTCCGTGAAATTATTATTTTGCATGATGTTGATTTTGTTTGCGGGCCTGATGCTTAGAAGTTCCACCCCCACTTCGTCACGTACTGCCCCGGTTATGACCACGCCCTCACCGGCACGGCCAACCACCCCCAAGACTGCTGTCACTAAAAGCCACAACAAACCCGGTCTTTTTACCTCCCCCCGCCCAAACAGACTAACCAGTGCCCAGGAAGCAGCCAGCGGATCTAAGGTCGGCACTCGATCGCCTAGTAGAATGATCCAGCCGAAGCGTTACAGCCTGGCCGGCGCGACCACGCCCACTTCCGCAACACCCGCTTCGGCAAGGGCGCGTACACCCACCAACCGAGTGGCGGTGACGGCGCCAAATACGCCCAAACGTCAAGCGCCCAGGTAAGTGATTATATTTGCGGGCAGTAACTACAAAAAAGGAAGAATTTTGATCATGTTTATTAAAAATGATCTTAATATATCAAAATATATAAAATATATAATAATATCAAAGCAAATACCTTTTACAGTTAGAACTTAAGTGTATTTTTTAAATCAAAATTGCTTCCTTTGTGGTTTCCGCTTCCGAAATATTGTCATACAAAAGAAGACTCATAATTAATATACATATAACTTTACAGACCCACCTCGCGAGTGCGTTGAGCGTCCACACGAGTCCAAGCGTCCAAGTCATCCCAATTAGTCAACGGCAGACAACAGACAGCAAACCCCAAACACCCCAAGAAACAAAAAAAAACGACAAAAACAAAACATATTCAACAACAAACAATGCAACATTGTAAAATTCTAGAATAAGGCTTTGTGTGCGGCTCGATTGCTTAGTTACTGTTGGCCCGGAAGTGATATTTAGATGGGAGAGCAGGGATAAAGGATCAGGGATCACGGAGCGAGAACTGATAGCGAGATGTGCTGGTATATTTCGATTGATTTTGTTGTCCTTATTTGCGGTAGAGCAGTCGTCTGCGAGAAGTAGCTAAATTTTCTTTTTTTACAAGTATACATAATGAAATCTATACATATGCCAAGTACGCGTAAATTAAACAAATATTTTGATGTATATACACACACATACGATATATATATAAATATATATGTATGCGTAGACTCGCTTTTCCACTATCTACTCAAAATGAAATGACAAAGTAAACTTTGCTACCCACGGGAAAAATAATAAAGTGTATAAAATATTTTCTATACCCTATGCAAAAAAGCATATACAGTCAATACTCGAGCAGAATCCACGGGAGTGGCCTACGATACACAAATTACTTGAATCATACCAAGCAGGGCAGAAAAATAAGATATATTGGGTACCCATATACAATAAATGAAAAGCTCAAGAGCGGATCCAATCGATATTACGCCCCGGGTGCATTAGAATAAACATTTTTGTTGCTTTTTCCATGCTCACGCTGATCCTCTCCCTTGAAGAAATACGGAGAATATTAAGGAAAACATTTTCCATATGGCCTTTAATTCATTAGCGATTGGTTACTGAATGCTTCGTAGTTTTTGATTTGAATTTACTCGCAAACTCAAGTTTTGTTTGCTTTTTATGCTGAGACTTTTTTTTCGTTTCTAACGAGCTTATGCTGTTGAGCCCAGGCTCAAAAGTGATTGCAAATTGTACGATATATGTTTACCGCTATACCTACTATTAATATTACTATTTCATTTGTATCTATTTAATACCTATCACTCTGTCTATGACATAACTTTAATTGGTTATTTAACTGCTGGAAGACATCGTCTAATTTATAAGTCAAATACTTTTCTATCCTTAATTGTATAGCTATTCTTATTGTATTATGTACAAGCGGAAGAAACACATATTATAGATTTGCGGGAGAATTTATCACCAAATGGATATGCGGGAGTATATTATGTATTAAACCGAAAATAAAAAATGTATAAAAATACAAAAATCAATAAAAATATTAATAAACAAACAAAAAGTATTACGAAAATAAACTTGAATGCGTTATTGTTTATTCCGAATTGAGAAAAAACGGTGTAAGCTTAGGCTAATATGTTTATTATTAGTTTCTATTACAAACATACATGATAATAGAGCTGCATCTTAATTTAAGACTTAAGTGTTTTTTTTAACTTTTATAAGTCTACTTGTCTCAAATAGCTTTGAACAGTTCTTGTATAACTGTTTATTTTATTTCGTTCCGAAGCTCTCAAACCGTACACATTGTATAACAGCATGTAACAGTTATTCTTAAACTGTATTTTAGTCATACTTGTGGAAGTGCGGTTTGGCCTAAAGCTGTGTTAATATAATTTCACTTTTATGCTGCAGAAATCTGTTATATTTAGGTTTACAAAAGAAAATGACCCACAATTAAACTTCCATAGCCCATAAATTTACCCAATTTAGTCCGATTCCAAAGGTGCATATCTCTAAAGACTTGTGATTCGATTCTCTAAAAATCTGCATTGACCCAAAATTGGTCTTTGAGAAACCATAACTTTACCAAATTTAATCCGATTCCAAAGTGGCATACCTCTAAAGACTTGTGATTCGATTCTCTAAAAATCTGCATTCAAAATTTTTAAATTAACGTTTATCAAATTTTTGACCCATTTTCATGTTAGTTATTTCTAATTTTCGGATGACTTGTTTAACGTTGACCCAAAATTGGTCTTTGAGAAACCATAACTTTACCAAATTTAATCCGATTCCAAAGTGGCATACCTCTAAAGTCGTGTGATTCGATTCTCTAAAAATCTGCATTCAAAATTTTTAAATTAACGTTTATCAAATTTTTGACCCATTTTCATGTTAGTTATTTCTAATTTTCCGATGACTTGTTTAACGTTGACCCAAAATTGGTCTTTGAGAGTCCATAGCTTTACCAAATTTAATCCGATTTCAAAGTGGCATACCTCTAAAGACTTCGATTCTCTAAAAATCTGCATTCAAAATTTTCAATTTAACGTTGATCAAATTTTTGACCCATTTTCATGTTAGTTATTTCTCATTTTCCGATGTCTTGTTTAACGTTGACCCAAAATTGGTCTTCGAGAAACCATAACTTTACCAAATTTAATCCGATTCCAAAGTGGCATACCTCTAAAGACTTGTGATTCGATTCTCTAAAAATCTGCATTCAAAATTTTTAAATTAACGTTTATCAAATTTTTGACCCATTTTCATGTTAGTTATTTCTAATTTTCCGATGACTTGTTTAACGTTGACCCAAAATTGGTCTTTGAGAAACCATAACTTTACCAAATTTAATCCGAATTCAAAGTGGCATACCTCTAAAGACTTGTGATTCGATTCTCTAAAAATCTGCATTCAAAATTTTTAATTTAACGTTTATCCAATTTTTGGCTCATTTTCATGTTAGTTTTTTCCAAGTTTCCGATGACTGCAAAAAGGTGACCCAAAATTGAACTTCTAGAGGCCATAACTTAGCCAAATTTAATCCGATTTCAAACTTGTGGTTATATTCTTTAAAAATCGGCATTTAAATTTATCATTTTAACGTTGATAAATTTTTTTACCTTTTTCATGTTAATTATTTTTAAGTTTTCGATGCAACAAAATTGAACTTCTAGAGTCCATAACTTTACCAATTGGACTTTAAGGACTTATCTAATAATAAATTAGAAAGAAAAAACCAGACACTTCTTGTTATAACCAATTTTATTCGATTAACCATAATTAATACACCTTTTTTTTGGACAGCTTAAACTCCCAATTAGGCAATCTTATTAATTTAAATTATGGTTTTGTGATTTATCTTCAAGCTAAATCCTCTTAAATTTCTCTCAAGCTGTAAAGTTAATTTATCTGGTGAGCTTTCTGAGAACAGGAGCTAAGCCTGAACCCTTTTTGGGCCATTTAAAGCAACATTATTAAAAGTAATTGTAATTACCGAGGCACATGTTGCGTGGGTGGGCACACATACATATGCATAGGCTGGATGCCTTTGCATACATTTACCTAATTAAATAAAATAATGAAAACGCAAAAGTTGCAAAAGGCGCGAAAGTATGGCTGGAAAAGTTACATAAGAAACACCCTTCGTTCCACCGAAAATTCTGCACATACGCAACTGTTCACACATTTGCCTTGAAATTGGAAAATAAAATTACCCAAAAATATTTTCAAATATTTATTATGGAGCTGGGAACATGTGTGTAAGAGTGTGCTAGCTTGATAATTATCATTAGCCATGTGGCAGTCTTGCCACTTTTGCATTTGTGCTTTTGCACTCTTAAAAATGATACCATAAAATTCTTAGACGAATTAAATTTTCAGAAAAAATTCAACAATGTGAAAAATCGTATTTACTTTTATAAAAGTTTATATTTAAAAATTTGTGTCTTTATATTTCTCTTGAAATGTTGAACATTATTATTTTGCCGACTGGACAACAATTCTATTCCGGTTTTTTGAGTGTTTCTAAATATTTTGTCAAGGCAAAGAAAAACGCTGTTGGAAAAGCAAAAGAGGAAATGTGTTGTAAAGCAAATATTTTCACTTTTCTTTTTGTCTTCGATTGAAATTTGTTGGCCATTAAGTTTGCTCATTTGAGCCGCGAGTGCTGCGAACAATTTGCATACGAAATTTTATACTTGCTCGCTTTTGTGCGTGGTTTCGAATGTAATTAAAAGTTTTTTGTTTAAACTGCGAAAATATAACTGTAATTCTCAAGAGCAATGTCGCTGTTGTCAACGCTGTTATTGTCGCTGTCCTCGTTGTGTATAACCCCCTCTGCTGTGCCACGCCCCCTGCCAAAAAAAAGAACACGAAAAATAACTCGGTCAAATAAATTTTGCTGTCAAGCGAAAAGCAAAAGTGCATAAAATATACACATTGCACTGAGAATGAGGCCTACAGTATTTGCATTCACATATTTTTACTAAAATAATTACATGCACATGACCCACCAGGACGAACAACAACAAGTTATGACTAAAGACATGCCTCGACAAAGGACATGAGATAGGCGGTCGCAGCATGAGCTGTCCTTTTTTGAATTAACGCGAAGGGGATAGTGCGAGTTTTACATCCAGTTTGATGTAGCTAAACTTTAAAAAGAAAAACTTTTAATCTCTGTAGAGATTTGGATTACAATAGCTTTGAATTGCTTCAAAAGCTAAAATATTTTTATTTATTGTATTAATTAAAAGTTAAGCTATGATAAGTGAAATGAGTAAAATACAGAAGGTGAGCATAACATAAATATGAATAGGTTTTAAAATAAGTTGAATAAAAATTGTATGTTTAAATATGACGCGGTAAAAATACTATTATTTTTCTACCTAAGAAACATTTAAATTTTTTGTAAGGGTATTTAAAGTTTCGACTTTTAAATTCGTAATAATGCTGCTGTCCTTTTCTTTGTGGTTTTTGGCAGTGCCAGGACACGCCACATCGAATGCCAGGAGCGGGAAGCCAAACTTTTTCAGCGCCTTTGTTGCCGCCGTTTGTTTGCCGCTTCTCCTGCCGGCAAGTGGCATCATTAGCCCGTAGTCTGTAGTCCGTAACCCGTAACCCGTCTCCCGTAGCCCCGTATCCCCGTATCCAGTGCCCCGTGGACACGCGATGCACAGGGCGCTGCTTGGCGCCGAATTCCAAAATGAAGCAATAAAAGGCCATAAAACGAAATGCAATTGATATACAAAAGGGAAATTGTAGACAACACGGCACACATTGTGTTGTGTGTTGTTTTGTGTCAGAGTGCCAAAGTGAAATGCTTTGGGCGAATTCGCCGCAGGGGAATTGGTCGAAAAAGAGCGCATGCTCGACAGTTGGCACCACTTCTGTGGGTTGGTGGGTGGTGAAGTGGGTGGATGGGTGATTGGGTTGGCGGTGTTCCAACCGCAGCGAAATCGTCGGCCGCGGCGTTTGGCCGGTGGGTCTGACCTAGTTCATAGTGCTGGCCATCCACCACCCACTGATTTGTTGATGCACCTCCTCCGCAGACACTAGAGCTTGGTTTGTTTGCTCTGCGGATGTTTGATTTTAAATTTTAATAAACTCAAACGCATCAGAGCGGGTGGGAAATCCAATTTCCTGTCGTCTGATCGAAAGTAGCTCGATCGAAGCTAGACATGGTATGTATGTAGTTCATATACAGTGTTTCATGGTGTATTTATATTTCCAATTAACAATCTTTATTTATTTGGCTTGCATCATTTATATTCTCTACACATTGTACATGATAAATACTTTTATTAGCACAAGAACTTCTCCGTTTCTAAAGATTTAAAGCAACGTAAATTTTGTATATGCTTTGTTTATTTGCACAATTTATTCATAAAAAAGGTTTATTTTTAAAGTGTTCGATGTTGTTATCATAAAAATACAAAACATATAGACATCGATTCTAAAAACATAAAGAATAAAAATAAACAAAACATACTAAAGGATGAGTATTTACATTTTTATTCAAATTGAAAATGTAAGGTTCATACTTTAATATCTATTTTATCAACAAAGCTATGAAATTTATTTGAAATTATTTGCCAAAAATTAAGCACACAAAAGATTTCTTGATGATAAAAATATAAAACATGAACGTATATTTTAAACAAACAAAAATGCCTAACTTGTGGCCACTTGCTTACACCCAAACATATCGAATTGGCAAGTGAACACTGTATGCTCTCTTCACTTGAGGTCAGGGTTTTTTTAAATTTTCACATTTTTTAGTGCTGGCAAAATGCTCACATGCACTTTGGCTCACTTTCGTCAGGTTGGGGTTGCTTGGCTGGCCGTACACAAAATATGCAAACAATTTCCAATTAAAAATCAATTTTATGCTTCAACTGCGGCTAAGTGCAAAATAGTTGTTGGTATTCGTCGTTGAGTTGTCCGCTCCTCCTGCAGGTTCATAAAATGCGCAAACATTAAGCCAAAGTTTTTGAACCGAACTATTACCATCTTCTTCGTCCTGTGGCTACTTTTAAGTTGCAGCCGCAAAAGTAAGGAAAAATCTATTGGG